ATTGAGATCATTAGAAGTCGTGTGTCGATTGAAAATGAAATTTTATTGATTAATATGTTGACAATGAGACTAACTATTAACTTGTCAAAATGTTCATTTATCATTGTAACGTTCAAAGATGAACGATGGTCATTTTATGAGAAATTGTTTTCATTAACGAATCAATTTACAAAGAAAACTTTAGGGAATACAATGAAATCAATTCAAATATGCAAGAAAAACACATGGTTTGAGTAGAGATTCGTTCCATTCGATATTTCAATAACAATTTTCCTTATTTTGACAAGTCAATCTAGTCATTCATCAATATTGATCTTCTTAGCTATGTGCAACATGTACCACTGAAGAGGGCGTCACATACCGACATTGATGCAAAAGTGTTAATACATAGACATCAAGAATTTGTTGAATTAGGTGTGATTAAACACATTTCATTTATCAAAACATATCAAGAGAATATTCTCCTATCTGAATTGTAGAATTTCAACAGAAGATATCGGTTTCGACAGTCAATCGGTTAAGGCATGAAATCTACAACTACGAAAATGAGATGAACAGTGAAGCTAACTCCGAGCCGTTCGTGTTAATTCATGAACAGTCATATTCGGATTAGAAAATCGGATGAGTTTCTGCGAGTCCTGCGAACCAAACCGAAAGACATAAGATCCCTAGATGAAAAAGAAATCAAATAAATGAATGTTTGTAATCGAATAGACGTACTTCAGAGAGCAAAGCCACTGATCCACATATTGTCACTGTCAGAAAGATCACGAATTGAAGACGATCAATAACTGTTGCAATGAATTTCCATTCATCACGTACAGATTCGATTAGGGATTCTTGTTCGCAATGTGCGGCGATATAACGAATGTTTTGCAGAGCTTGAACAAGTTCTTGTCGCATTTGTTCGACTTGTAATCGATGACCACTGGGTTTTTCTTTACTCTTAGCATTTGCAGCGATCACGCGTTTTTCTTCTTCGAAAAAGAAGTACTTTCGCTTAGAATTTGGATGTTGCGAAGGTTTCGAATGTGATATTGGTTTTAGAAGAATTGTCGACGTTCGGCGTTTATCATTGATGTAAGTAACTAACGAAGCATTTGATTCGCAGCTAGAACGATGATCCTGTAATCAGAAAGTAGACAAAAGATCAGATGGTGAAGATTTGTTAATGTGTTACTTTATGAGTGTGTTTGTATTTCAGTTTTGTCTGGATGCTTTCAGTCGAAACATGAGTCGGATTTTGAAAAACAACAGATTTTTCCATTGCGTTTGCCAATTCGTATTCTTGACGTTTGGCTTTTAACTTCGGAGATTCCATCCATAATAACCGTGGAAGTAAATGAATGAAAATTCGTCGTACCCAACCTGGCATTGAATGAGTCATCGGTGTACGATAATAAAAATTCGTTATTACAACTGTATTAACTACAACAAAAATAGAGTGACAGATATCAGCTGAGTTGTTTCTATGATTACCAATGACGAGAACATTGAGTGAAAATGTGAAAAGGAGATACTTAGCAATCAGTGGAACCACAGCTGATGTTGGTGGTAAAATTTTTGTCACAAGAAGTTGAAAGAGATTCAACGCTAAAAGTATTGACATGCAGAGTGTCATCTTTTCTCCGGCTGCAGTTGGCAGACAGAAAACAATGCAGATAAGAATGCCCATTAGACCAGTTGGAACAATTAGATTCACTGTGTAGTATAACGTTTTGCGACTCATTTCGATAGAAAAGACAATTTCGATGTAATCGGGTATGGAACTCGAACCATTTGAATAATAATGAACGAATTTACTTGGAATCTACAGTAATAGAGAAAGACTTCATGGAAGAATTTGATGCAAAGGTCTTTGCGTACATTCAGGACATCCCAAGTTCCACTTTCGAGATAATCGTCTTTGTATGGTTCATCTTTAGTGGCACTAATTGCCTGTTGTGTTAATAATTTGGTTATTTCTGACTTTTTATCGCGTTCTTCACTATAATGGGTAAATGCGACTTCTCGCGCATTGTATGTCCACGATGCAAAACGCATTTCACATTTTTGAGTATCAAATGGAAAGAATTTCACATCGATTCGGCATGAAGATTTGTAGATTGCAGGTGGAATCCATTGAACTTCGCCCGTATGCAATAGAACGACTTTGGATTTAAATGAAACTTCATAATTTCCATCTGTTGGTTGAGTAAAGTGGAAAAAGAGAAATGGTATACACAGAATGTTTACCTGCATTATTGAATAAAACAACATCCTAAAAGAAGTGAATTGTTAATAAACGTTTAAAAATGTTGCACAACTCACTGGTGTCCAAACATTGGTGTAAGGTACACTAATTTGATCGACACCGCCTATGAAAAGGGGAAGTTTGTATAATCACTGATTATTTATTCCAAGAAGAATCAAACCGTATCGTTCCGGATTCCATCTCAACTGTGGATCGTACCTGAAACCATTGATTTTACAAACTATTGAAGTTTGAAAAGATGTTACCTACCATTTCATGTGCAGCCATGTATTTGTTTTCATAATTTGTTCTTTTTCGTAAACCTAACCGAACATATTTCGTAGAACAGATTGAAAATTCGATCGGAATCTTACATGAATTAATTGCACTAATAGAAGACCAAATGACACAATCACGGTTTCATTAGAATGCTGGGTTGGTCGTACAAGTGGGTTATAACCTTGTTCGGAGAAGAGATAATATACAAGACGATTTTCACCTTCGGAAGTTTGAACAAATTGAAATAGAACGTCACAAACCCCAAATAAAACGAGACTCGAGATAAGATAAACGATCGACATGTATCTAGACAAGTTCTCTTACACCATATGCGTATTGATACAATAGATCATTTTCGTCTTCTCGATGACAAGAAACGATGGGATAATGACGAGTAGCAGCTGTCTTTCTAATGATCACAAAAAACTAAATTGTCGTGACATGGAGAAAAGAATCTGATTGAGTAATGAAAGACTTTTTTGTAAGTTTTTCAGGCTTGTTAGTGACATAGTTAACTTCATTGTATAGATCGGTCATGTCTCATTCTGTTGTTAGCGAAGAATATGAATTCCTCGCGAGTTCTTTTTCTGTTTGTTCGTGTTCTTGAGTAGATAATCAATTCTTCCTTTTTTTTTCCTTTTTTGTCAAAGAAGAAAAAGTTACCGGCAATCGCAGAGAAACAAAATCAAACAGTGAAATCCTGTAGACTTTAGTTGTTGGCGATGATCAAGGTCGATCTAAAAAACAAGAAGATATAGAGGAGAAAACGTTTGCGAGCAAGAGAAAAGAATGAATATATGGAAAGTCTTCGAAAAACTCACATAGGAAGTCAAATAATCGAAAGAGAAAAAGAAGGAGGATGGAGAACAGCACGTCTTCATCGTCAAGAGCAAGATAAACGAGAGATAATCAATTGGGCCAAGTGGCTGCAATCGGCAAGAGCATATTAGCATATAACAAATAAGATTAACTCAAAGTTTACTTTATTCTATTTTTAATTTACACAATTAAGTACGTCGTCATGTTCAGCCAAATACAATTGTCGAAAAGAAAAGAAAAATGCAAGTAGAAAAACTGAGAGAACGACGAGTTCTTGCATTTTCTTCTTCATCTAATTCCATTTGGATCAAAAAGGATTATCTTTTACAATAACAAACAGGACCCCAGTAATCATTTAGACATAGACAAGTTGTTTTTTGACAACAATCATATAGATCGCATGATGCACAATGATAAACTCGTTTCCGTTGAAAAATATTATTGATACTATTTATATCCCTTTGCGGTTTATTCGAGATATTGTCATTCGATATCGCTTGAAAGTGCCGTAAGAAGTACGGTGGAATTGTCGATCTCCGGAACAGTTTACTATCGATGTTCTTTGACATTAGTAGTAATGAGATGATGAATAAAGCGAGGGAAATCTTCATTTGCACTCAACAATCGTTACTATGTGTATTTTGAAATGAAGTTTTGTTGTGGGAAATTTAGACTTATTTATTATATATTATAAAATAGAAAGATTAGATAAATCAGAAGAAAGAGAAGAAAAATATTCAATTGATTTTTTGATAGTGAAAAAGAGAGAAGAGTTAATCGGTAAATAATGGTAATGTATAAGGTTTATTGATACGGCGTTCGTTGCGTTCCAAAATCTTGTAGTTTGGAAACGGTGTACATGCTGGTGTAACACCTGGTACTGTTTTAACTACAAATGGTAGAGTAAAGTAGTTTTCTTTTGTAGACTCATTCTTGTCTTTGGTGTGTGCGATCGTCAATTGGGGTTGATAATCATAAGAACCAGGAATATGACCGTTGAGCGCAATGACTTTTTCTTGAACGGCATCGACATCATAATTATCCATATTTATAGTTAAACACTCTCGTTTTGGTCTTTTTGTTAGCCATGCAGGTGGTTTTTCGGCGACTATGGAATTTTTACCACTACTTCGCCGTTGACAATGCGGACAATGTGAACAGTAACGACCAAGTTCTCCATTGTGTGCCGCCGAACCGGCTCGATGAAAATCCGAATGAGTACTAGTTGTTGTTGTAGTTGAACTCGCCATAGATGATCGTTTCTTGAGCAATGGTATAGGACTTGGTGTTGTAACTTTCGTTGTCGCATGAGATTTTGGTTTTCCCAGCTGACTACTAGTTGATGGTCGTTCATCGTCATCATCGTCATCATCATCAGTACTCTTTTCATCTGCGGATTTATGGAAACTTTTTTCTCGAACTGAAAATGCATATAAAACATGAGGTAATGATATGAAACTAAAAGAGTACCTGAAGCACTTTTTTTCGTACTGGCAGAAGTTATTGGCCGTAATACTGGGCTAATTCTTGGACGTTCTTCCTCAACAGGCGAAAGAGTAGACGATGTTTGCGGTACCGGCGGCAAAAAGACATCTCCCTTGGGTGGTTCCAACGGAGGTGGCAGCGGCTGTCGTACTGGCGGTTGATCAACTTTTTTAGGTTTCTTACTTCCACCACCACCCATTGCTGACTTTGCTTTGACTCTTTCTCTCTTACAAGCGAACTGACGAATTTCTTTTGAAGAGGATTGTCGAAAGCGGTCGGCGTATTTCAATATTCGCTTGAAAAGATAAGACTTCCATATCGTGCAAAGCTGGATATACACTGATACTTGAAAGTAATAAATAAAACACTCGATGCTATGGTTTCTTTCTATTGATTCAATGACATGCGCTTTTCTTTTTCTTTGCGAACCAGATAAAGGAATTTTCAGTACCATTACAAAACGAATTTACGATCGAAAGTGTAAATCTTTTCTTCAACCGTCATCTGATGATTATGACGACAGAATTACTTCGCTCCACACAAACTAATATTCAGATGATGATACGAAGTCAAACAATCATCAATAATCCAATATGAAGTTCGTATCAGTAGAGTCCGAAAACCTAGATTAACGGAAACTTATTGACTTTTCTATCAGAACTAATTCATATATGAATATCTTTCATAGAGTAGATCATCTCGCAACAAAAACAAGATCTCGACTGCACTATAAAACTGATATGTAAAGTACATGCAATAATGTTTCGTCTGTCAATTATTGTAATCGGCAATAAATTCCCTAACGAGCATGTAAATTATAAAATTCAACGGTAATTCTGTTTGTCTATCGAAAGTATTTATGAAGGAGAAAAATTCTGTTTTCGTTTTCTTTTCTTCGATGCAACCGAAACTGATTCTCTGCGTTGCTCTATTTCTTCATACTGCAATATCAGTTCGAGTGCTGCTGTAAACTCTCTATCAATAACCGGCATTTCATGTCTATCGTCAGAAATCGCATCGAAGCATGATGCAAAAGTAAATCCTTACAGTCAATACCATCTTATTATCGAATTTTCGGATGAATTTTGTTCGTACTTCAATACATCTCTTCAAGGCATAATCTAAATACAATTTACTTTCACTTGAACGAAGAACATTCTTAATTATTCTTGTTAACAAAACAGAGCAAACAACTGTCATACATTCCCATGAATAATTTCTAATTTATCAACTCAATTCGTTCATTACATCTTCTTCTGCTTATCTATCCAAGATTGAGTTTAACTACATACAGTAGAATACCGCATGACAGATGGATACATTCGTCTTCTCATCGAATCAAAATTAGATATGCTCTTGATAAACAAATCGTATTTCTGAATGGTCTCCATCATAAAGATAAATAAGATCAAAGGTCGACAAATCAAATTCGGATTCTTTTTACTGGTGGTTTATATCACCATCTGTATATTTATATAGACACACATACATACATATGATCCAGGTATATATTTGACAAAACAAGAAGAACAACAATCGTAATAAAAAAAGGAGACCAAAGAATCACTGTTACCAAAAATAAGAATCTTCTTTTTGACTTTTCAAGTTCGTCTGATGTAAATAGCGCCAAGTGTGAGCATACCTAGAAGAAAACAAAAGACACATATATACCATGCTGAGCGTGTGTAATTAGTTTTATTCTTTCGAACCGGATAACGCACATATACACGTTTAGCTTGTTATCACATTAGCCTAGTAGGTGGGAGGATGAAGATTCATGCATCTTGATTGTTTAATGGATTGTCACTACTGCTGTGTATGCAGAGGGAAAAAAAGCTATTATCCTCTCAATACATATATATCACATCTGGCTATTGGACTCGTTTCTTCCTCCCAAAGGCATGATGGTGTCACGCATATATGCCTTTTCTACTAATCTGTTGTTCTAACACATATATCTGCACCCCCGTCCCGNTATACACATATTCAGCTGCTTGCTTACCGACCAGACAAGTGTCGATATCGACAAATAAACAAAGTTTTTTCAACTTTCAATACGCAGTAAAAACAAAACAATTGAAATAGTACAAATACCTGAAGTAGGAAATCGAAAGTAGAAAGAAAAAAGAGGCATTCGACGCCGCTATCGGATATCCGTCGTGATCAAGTAGACAGACAACAACATGCGATGGCGGATAGTTTTGATGAGAGATTGAACACATTCGCTTCAATTATCTATATTAGAAAATCTATCAGCGGCCGTGTGCGTGTCTATTCCATACAAAAAAAGAGTCGATGAGTGAATCTTAAACTTTTATCTGATGTCGAAATGAATTTAATCTCTAAAGAATCGAGTCGATTGTATCCTGTTAAGAAAGCAGAAAATTCCTCAAATTCTTTTATCTTCAATATTTAATGAACATTGTTGAGAAAGAATGTTTATATCATTCAGATGACATTGTTTGAATGAACACGTTCAATGTGTCAAACACACCTTAGGAAAACTATCGTTGTTCAATACATCCAGTCTGTGTCGATGAAAGAAAGTAATTAAATTGTTAGCGTGAACAATCCACAACGAAATATCTCGTCTTCCTATGCACATTCATTTCCGTGTGTAAAGGAGGTCTAGTCAAAGAAGGGAGAGAGAGAAAGAAGAAGAAGAAGAGAATATGTACATACAATCGATCGTGGGAATCTACACTTATTTGATAGTTCATATGATATGCAATGAGAGAAAACAAAACAGGAGAAGAGCATCTTGAAATGAAAACGAGGTGACGGGAAAGAAAAGATGATAGACGATACTGTGTATACTCTGTTTCTCATTAGAGAGCGGGGATCAACAATGGAAATCTTTTGTGTTCAAATGATTTGAATTAATGGACATAAATCGTGATTAAATAAAGCAATATGATAAACAAGGAAAAAATACGTTGGATATAAAGAAAATAAACAGATCCTGTTTGATCGAAGTCAAATCGACACGATGGTGATTATCCTGAAATGCAATCAAATAGAATATGTAAATAAATCAGATCGATTACTTTTCGGAGATAACGTAACTTGACGAACTCTAATGGATGCCAATAAAACTGAAATTATCACTAATACGAGAAGAAGCCAATTAAAATCGTAGGCATCAGATTCATTACTCGTGGACTCCTGCCATGATTCGCAAATAATACAACTAGGTGAGAAAGTAGAAGTGATATTTATATGAACCATCACCACGTTTTGCATTCACTATCGACTATAGTATCACATTATTAACGAAAACATATTGTCTAGCTCATTACTGAGAGTATTATTATTGTAATATTTTTATTATTCGTTCAAGATCATTCTCACCATAATTTAAAACTCGTACACGGATGCATACAGTGACATAGAAAAAACATGAAATCGTAGAAAGCAAACAAAAAGATAGAAATGGAATCGGCGTTGCGTGCAGACGTAAAAGTCTTGGAATGGTTAAATAAAGTACATAAAAATATTCACAATCACATTACGAAACATACAACAAAACAAGCAGGGAGGGTCCTTCAATAAGGTTTAAAAACATCGAATGTTTGAATTAGTTTTCTTTAGAAAAGGCGTTTTTCAAATGAATGTAAATTGTGTACACCACCTTCAACTTGTGCTGAAGCTGTACGTTTCTCAACTCGAATTAGGCCTTTGGTTGATTCTTCGTGTAATTGCATTAGCGACTGGCAGCCAATATCTTGCAGAGATTTCTGTACACCTGTGTATAGATAACCGCCAATGAATCGATGAACACTGCCTTTGTCGACAACACTACCAGATACACCTTGGGCAACTTTCACATGGTCTGCTTCGGAATAGTACCGGCTTGCGGCAGATAATTCCTGACAGGCATTCATCGCGTCGAGACTTCCCATACCACGATCTGTGAAAAGAAATCAATAAGATTTTCTTTGTTTTTTCCTCTCTTGTAATTCTCTCAAGCAAATTAAAAGAAAATCATAGGTTGCGGTGTTGATTATCGATCAAAGTATTAGTTTCTTTTTAATATCCTATTCTTTTACCTTTGGATCGACTAAAAAACCATTCGAAAGACTCTTGATTATGAAAAACTTCCGTCGAAACTTGATTCTAAACTTACATTTCTTTAGTCGAACACCGTCTTGATAATAATATTCTCCTGGTGCTTCATGCGTACCAGCTAATAATGATCCCATCATCACACAATCAGCTCCCAGCGTTAAGGCTTTCACAATATGTCCTACACATGAAATTCCACCATCAGCAATAACCGGCACACCAAATCGACGAGCGTATTCTGCTACTTTATAGACTGCTGTTGCTTGTGCTCGTCCCACAGCCATGACTTCTTGTGTAATACAAATCGACCCACTTCCCATACCCACTCGTAGTGCATCAGCGCCCGCATCAATTAAACTTCTAGCTTGTGCCCGTGTCACAACATTTCCAGCAATCACTTGTAAATTTGGAAAAGTTTTTTTAATATATTTGATCATTTCAATTTGATAGATGGAGTTTCCTTGGGAAGAATCAAGTACAACAACGTCGACACCTGCTTGAGCGAGAGCTTCGAGACGTTTCTCGTCTTCTTTTCGCGTGCCAATGGCAGCTCCACATAGTAATTGTCGGTGTTTGTCTTTCGATGCTAATGGATAATCACGATTCTTTTCTAAATCCGTACGAGCTATTAATGATACAAGGTTACCATTCGAGTCTATAATTGGTAGTTTTCCTAGAAAGAAAGTACTGGGTTATTTTTGTCATTTTTTTTTATTATGATTCTATGCTTCTTGTAAGATTTCTTTGTATATGAAGTATAAAAACTGATCGACGAGAATTTCTTTGTTGACAAAAAACGAAGGAAATCGTTGAAGTGTAAATTTCATTAGCGAACTAACCTTTTTTACTGCGTTGTAAAATTAAATACGCATCTCGGAGAGTGAGATCATTTTTTGCTGTGATCAGCTCGTCGACTGGAGTCATCACTTGACTAACTGGCGTTATTGACCATTGATCTTTATTGATAAAGTCAATATCACGAAATGTGATTAGACCTAGTAATTTGCTATTAATTTTTCCATTTTCCGTTACAGGAATGCCTATTCAATCAAAAACTCACGCGAATGTCTTAATAGAAAAAATATAATGTTTTCTTTTACCAGAAAATCCATGAGTGTTTTTGATTGCATAAATATCTGCTACTGTATGTGTTGGCGATAACACCAATGGATCTGTTATAAAGCCTTGTTCATAACGTTTGACTCGTCGTATTTCACCAACTTGATATTCTATCGAACAATTATGATGAATAATGCCAATTCCTCCATTGAGTGCCATTGCAACTAAAACGCAAAACGTGAAGTATTGGATCAAACGATTCTTCTTCAACTCACTAGCCATGTTCGATTCGGAGACGGTGTCCATGGGACTTGATACAAATGGTGTTTGAATTGTAATCGTTTTCGTAAGTTTTGACGTGAGTGAGACATTATCTGATGAGAAATCGATATAACCAGGTAAAACAATAAAATCGTTATAAGTTAAGCCATCATGGTTTTGAAATAAATCTTTGATTGTCAAGCCATCAGATAAATTTTCATCGGTATCGATCATGCTAATAAGAAAAATAATTGGAAAGAAAAAAGAAAAATCTGAACACGAGAAAAAAAGATGTTGTTGAATGTCTACAGTTTCATCTAATTATATATAGTGCGCCGGCATTGACAGTAACGCAGACTAGATTAATCGGATTGGCTTAGAGGCATTCAGCAAATCAGAAACAGCTGAATTGAATCATTACATCTTTTTTCTTGTTGTTTTTCGATTGATTTTTTTTTCTAACTAGTTATGGTAAGTCGAAATACTGAACAATTCGTAAATCTAATTGAACTTGTCTTTTAAAATTCGCTAGATTCATCCTACAACATTTCAAGACCGATGGCCTCAAATGAAACGTGTTGTGCTGAAGATTCTACGACAAGAGCCAACTTCACAAGTGGAATGGCAGAATCTATTCACGTACAGATATTTCAAAGTGCTAACAAACAGATTTTCATTTGTCGAAATTCTTTTAGTGATGTGTACAGTGTTTCAACTTGGTATCCAGCTAGTATACCGGAAATATTCGCAGAATTAACAAATGAAATCACACGACATATCAAACAAGCACAAGAAGTAAAGAAACTTACATTTCGAGATCATTATTCAAATTTTTGAATGTCTTTTAGCGTGTTTTAAGACACGATGAAGATTCAGCGTACGTAGATTATTTCCTCTGAGGAACTCCATGACCCATGGCTTTATTTTTAGACTGCTCAAAGCATATATTCAAGAATGGTCAAAGTTCTACGAACAATGCGAATATCTACCAAAACCCTTCGTTCGAATTGAAACGAATTCCACTTCNCGACGAAGATTCAGCGTACGTAGAGTTTTTCCTATGAGAATCTCCATGACTCATGGCTTTATTTTTAGACTGCTCAAAGCATATATTCAAGAATGGTCAAAGTTCTACGAACAATGCGAATATCTACCAAAACCCTTCGTTCGAATTGAAACGAATTCCACTTCAAGCTCAGAGAAAGCAACACGAAGCACCGATCAAGTTCGACAATTGATGCTCGAGTCGTGGAATAACAATATATTCAAAGATATCAAACATCGTCTACAAGTAATCTTGAACCACGGAGAAATATTTCATGTTAATTTATTAAATTTTAGAATAGTGCCATGAAATTAGTTCAAGCAGAACGAAATGGCGAATCGTTTGATTCTCAATTAGTTATTGGCGTTCGAGATTCTTATGGTAAGGAAATTTGTCATTCTTTCTCTGCTTTTCCATCTGAAACCTGATCCGATTAAGTTGCACAGTTTGACATCTTGTTTATTTTTAGTTAGTCTAAAGACTGATGAGAAAGACAAATATAAAGTTTATATCGAAAATTTTGAACGTGCATATCTGAATGAAACAACTCGGTTTTACAAGCAAAAGACCGGTCAATATCTTGGCGAACATGGAATACTCGCGTATCTCCATTACGCTGACCAAAAGTTGAAGGTAGTTGATTGTTAAACAAGAAACAAACAAGAAGCTATCTTTTGTCTATAGGAGGAAGAAAAACGTGCTAGACGATATCTGGAATCCGTACCGGAATGCAATAGTGTACCATTACTAATCGGCCGCTGTGTTGATGTATTTGTGACGGAATTTCGCGAGCAAATCACCAATGAATGTCCGAATTTGATTGAAAATAATGATATTGAACGTAAGAAAGTCAAACAAGCTGAATTCTACATCTTCATTTTTTTTCCTTGAAGGTCTACGACTTGTATTCACTCTACTGGATCATACGGGCGATATTACCTCATTAACTCAAGCTCTCGAGACATTCATTGTTAAGCAAGGTTTAGACAATATGTTAAAAAACAGAGATACAATTAGACAGGTTTATTGAATTAATGTATATTCGAAGGTAAAACGTTTTTTGTTCAATTTAGGATCCGGAAAGTTACGTTCAACAACTACTAGATCTCTATCGACAATTTTCAAATTTAGTTCACGATGCTTTCTCGAATGATCCTAGATTTCTCACATCAAGAGACAAAGGTAGATGGGGATATACTCAACTTTTTCTACTGATGAAAATGACTTTTGTTTGAATAGCATTTCAGAAAATTATTAATGATACTTCAGTCTTTCAACTTGATATGCCGGCGCGTGCTACTCGAGGGTAAAATTAAGTTTGAAAAGTACGTTCGGTGAGTATTGATGACGTTTTCTTTTTCAAGAGCGACGCGAACGACTCTCGCGGAATCACGTTGTCCAGAATTATTAGCACAATATTGTGATATACTACTGCGCAAAGGTACATCCACGCATAAGAAGTATTCCTCAGAAGAAATCGAATCTAAAATCAAAGATGTGGTGAGTAAACGTAAAGATCTGATTATTCATCGAAGTTTCATTTCAATATTTTAGCTATTGTTATTGAAATATGTACAGAATAAAGACGTGTTTATGCGATTCTATAAAGGATCGCTGACACGTCGTCTCATTTTGGACACATCGATTGACAATGAACTAGAAGAAAGTATTGTCATTCAATTGAGGGCACGTATACGAGATTTTCCATAAGGTATTCATGCATTCATTGTACTCTTGTTCAGGATGTGGGTATGCCAGCGGAATTTATTCTTAAACTACAACAGATGTTCAAAGACCTAAAACTAAATCGTGATATGAATGAAGAATTTCGAAGTGTGTGTCCATCATCGCGGAATAATAATACGATGATGGGTATGTTGAAGAATGATATTGATAGAGCAACATTCCTTATCTTCCATTTTGCGATTTAGATTCCTTCTCATTTAAAATTCTCAGTGCTGCAGCATGGCCACATCCCGGCGATAAAATCGACGTGTCGCTACCAGCACAGATCGAAGATGTTCTACCCGAAATCGAAGAATTCTATAAGAAAAAACATTCCGGAAGGAAACTAACTTGGTATCACACAGTATCAAACGGTCAGGTAAACTCTACAATAGAAATCGGCTTCTTCTTTCACAAAATCGCCAATTCTTCTCTCTTCAGTTAACGTTCGCATCGAAAGCCGGAAAATACGATTTGGATGTGTCAACCTTGCAAGCATCTGTGCTATTCGCATGGAACCACCGGCCAACTAATAAGTTAACATTTAGCGAACTGAAATTAGCAACGAATATTCCTGAAACTGAACTGAAGAAAACTCTCTGGTCATTGGTATCATTTGCTAAACTAAAGCAACAATTGATATGCTACGAGCCACATGGCCAATCCCATCAAGATTTGAGTGAATCGAGTTTATTCTGGATTAATTACGACTTTACGATCATCCGTGCAGGTAAAGTACAGACACGCGGACATATCAATATGATTCAACGGCTACAATTAAATACGGAAAAAGGACGTGAAGAAGAAAATGAAGAAATTATGTTTTTACGTGGCGAGCGAACGAAAGAAGCAATTGTACAAATAATGAAAACTCGTCAACGTATGAACAATGCTCAGTTACAAACGGAGTTAATCGAAATATTGAAGAATATGTTCGTACCATCAAAGAAATTAATCAAAGAAATGATCGAATGGTTAATTGATCATCGATACATGGCGAGATCGGAGACAAATATATCAGAATATGTTTATGTAGCTTAAAAAACGTTGTACAGTGTAATTTTTCGTGAATAACATTCCTTCTTAGGCAAATACGTTTTCTCTCTCTCTCCTTAATGTTAACTGTGATAATTTGACTGCTTTTCTTTTCTTGGAAAGAGAATCCTTCTCTCTTTCCCTCTCTGTTTCATCCGGTTCGGAAGTGTCTGTCTGTACGTTTGCGTGTATATGTAATCAGCACTAAGAATGATCATTATCTTCTCTCATACACGTTTCTCCTTTTATGTAATTTAACAATGATCACAATAAAACAGAATCAATGTACTACTTCATTTCCAGAGTGTTAAATACTTGCTTAATGAATCCTATCTAAAGGATTTTATTGTTTTCTTTTGTACATGCAAAATGAAATGGAAAACAAGCATGATTGACTGAACAGTTTTGAGCGAGAGAACAGAAAACTCGAGTTGTTGTACACTAGGCACTTAGTTTTGTCATTGAAGATCACCGTCTGTTGATGACAGCGAACTACTGGATGACGATGAGGAAGAAGAGGATGCTGAGGAACTACGACGTTTTTCATCGTTGTTAGTTGTCCTAAAAATAGTAGTGCATAATCAATAACACAGGTAGCACATGACATTTCATACCGTTTCTCTTGTTGATATTCATCGTTGCCAATAAACAGTTCTTCAAATGGAGCAATAACTTCAGCTGTCTTGAACTCCTGATCAACTAGTTTCAACAAAACTTGACAAAAATCATGCCCGATTGATTGTAACGATGATATTTGGATTTGTAGACCCTATAATGGTACTATTGATCGAAATCATGAATTCCATATAAGAAAACGAACCTTGTAAATTCCAGTATCAAAACCACAATATGTTGCTTCCATTGTATAGGCTAAATCAATTTTAAATTCATCCCAAACCACAATACGCGCGCACCCTTCTTTCTGTTTTCGCATGGTAAATAAACAATTTTGTAATGCGAAACCGGGCACACCAGTGAATAGTTTTGGAAATAGCTTTGTTACTGCTGAACGACCGACAGCGGGACCAAGATAATGAAGACGAGGATCATTGCCATAGAAAAAGAAATTCTTCTGCCGAGAATGTCCATGAAAGTCACAAAATAACTAAACGAACAGTTCGGTAAAAGAAATTGTCTGTTGTATGACAACTCACTGTAACTGGCCGTGAAGAACACATTGATAGATATGCTATTAAACCTTTCGTATGGTATATCGTTGGAAATAATGTTGAGTTTGGAGACGACCATTGACGATTGAGATCTTTCGTCGCTAATGAACAACGCGAACTAAGAAAAATAAATCAGTAGTTATAGCCAATTGAAAAGTTAGATTTTGATATCTACCATCCATTGATAACACCGTCTGGATTCAGCATTGGAACTATCTAAAATTCGTTTGAACTGATGATGAGTATCGAAATCAAATGAAATATACCTTAAACACATATCGATCTCGTAGAATTCGTGCTGTTTGCTCATCACTGAGTAGATAATCAATAATTCCTTTCATAATCCACGATGCGTTCGATTCACCCGGATGAACACGTGCTGATAAGACAATATAAGACCGTTCTTCTACAATTGACATATGAAAACATTGTTGTTTTTCCTCGAAGAATTCTTACGGATTGGAATGGTTTGTTTTTCATCTTGATACATATCATCTTCATTATATAGACTCGTTATTGTCAACAGAGGACAATCGTTACCAGATAATGTTTTGCAAAGTACCTGCTGATGGAAATAAATATTCGATCGGTCATACGTATTTGACCAATTTGTTATATCCGTCTAAACATAGTATGTAGAAACCCAACAATATGAATTCGCCTGATTTTTACCAATAGTTTTGTATATGTATATGGATAGTGATAAGCAATATAGCAGATATCATTGTCGTGTGGAAATCGTATGTTGAATGTTAATGTGTAATAGATTTTCTTTTTTCTTCCGTAGATATTTTTATAGTAGGAAACTTTTTCACCGATTCGACGCCAATATGGTTTACCATTTCGAGCATTGTGTACACTGAATATCACTGGTTGCATTCCGGCATTGAATTGACTATTGATTTTTTCAAAATTGATGATATTGAAACGATATGTCATGTTGTTTCGCATGTTGGACACTTCGAAATAAAACCATTGATGATGACGAGATGTATTGACATCTGGACGGAGTATTAAATCATACTCTTCTTCTGTGATCTATGTAAATAGGGTAAGTATACAAACGATGCGATCTTGAACTTTACTTGAATGGCTTTTCGTAAATTGCTGCTTTCAAATTGAGAATCGAACAGAAGATGATCAACGGTTGGTCGCATTTGACATCTTGTGACGAGCAAAATGCAAATTTCATGACATCGAGAACTTTTCGATAGCCTTACCTTTGTTCATCATCGTTGTCCAAAGTTGTTACTGACGACCGGTTGACAACTGCATCAAAATCATACACAGTTCGATAGAAAATCGATGGTGGAGAAAGAATTCGATGAATATCGCCAAGTAATATCGATCTACGAGCATACAAAAAAGAGAAACGATGTAATTTCTATGTAAAACAACATCAATAATCTTACCGAATACTTCGTTCATCTGATTTTTGCATGGGTTCACATCTTGGATAGGATAGTCCATTAAAAGCGTCTGGATATGCAAGTTTCGTAAATCTTTTAAACAAAAGAAAATTGATCATCTATGGATATAGTTGTATGTTTATACCGGTAGGCACTTTTTGTAGACGTCGCATGAATTGAATAAGCTTGAAAATGTAAATCTGAAGGCATACGCCAATAACAAAAGCTAGATCGATCTGAGATGCGCATCAATGTTGATGGTAACGTATTGCTAAATAATCGTGTCAATAAACTCTCTGTCCGTGAATCCACGATAGTCTGTGTCATTTTCAAACGTAGCTATTAGAAATCAAATCAATAATATATTATTCGAAATGTCATGTTCTATGCATACCACATGAATCGGATCGACTGTTTCATCAAAAAATTGATCATAAGATGCAGCTAGTTCCATTGGATCACGCTAAGAGAATAGATCGGACTGTCAGTAAGCAAATGGCGGGTAAAATTCTTACCGCGATTGGTTCACCGTTCGGTAATGGTACAGAAGAGTTCGTAAAGTTTTCTCGATTGGATGGATCATCTTCTTCATCATCTTCTTCATCTTCTTCTTCGTCATCGGACTTACCACTATCTAACAGATGAAATATTATCTGGGTAGGGTAATAGAGTTCTTTTTAACAAGTATTACCTTCATCATCGAGTTCTTCATCTTCGACTAGAGAATTGCTTTCTTCGTCGACTTCATCATCGATTGTTGACACTTGACGATCTTTGAGCCCATTTAAACTCGATTTCTTCTTTCGTACTGCTTGAGAATCGTGTGGTTTCTTTTCTGCTCGTGCTCCTTTCGTTGACTTTGGTCGACATGCCGCAACTGCTGATGATTTCGATGCTGATGGCACTCGAGTGACTACATTAGAAGCTGTCGATGACTTCGGTCGAACACGTTGTTCACTTGTTGGAATAACTGATTTACTTTGTTCAGGCGTCTCATTCGTATCCTTATACATATTAGGATCCGAATCTAATCATTCAAAAAAAAAGAAGATATGTAACACGAAGAATAAAGCTTCCTTCATTACCAGCCATGAACAATTCATTAGAAACAATGTAATCATAACCTTGCGGTAAAACATATCGCACTGGACTAAAAACATTTTCAAGTGGTAACTGTTGTTTAGGACAGCAATGTAACATAATATGACAAGAAAGATCAAGAAAAGTAGTAAAACTATCATTTTGTAGAACGTTCATCGCTGATTCATGCAAAAGATAAAAACCATTAGCTTCCAAAAATTGAAGACGACCAGCCTCTGTATAGACGTAAGTGAACGAGAAAATACAAATCAATGCAAAATTGTTTCTATCTACTTGATTTAACTAGATTTAAGAGCACTTTGAGGAGATTTTCTTTGATTTTAATTGAACGTCCACGACTCGGTCCTTGAGATTTATCCATTAAAAAGACGATAGCTAATATATCACGAACAATAGTTGTAGTCGCTGCTCGAGCAGCTAATTTCTCTAGAAAAAGTCCAAACAGATCGACTCTTTGATTTTCTAATCGTTTCCTACTCGTTTGTGTAAGATATCGAACTACAGTGATAGCAGCCTTTTGCAGTTTAGCATGACGTCGGTCGAGTGTCAGTGCTAGACGCAATAGTGGTTGTAAACCTTGAACGCGACATATCGCTGACGCAGTTATTGCTAGAAAAACGAATCCTTGTCCAAAAAATTGAGTTCTTTAAGACAAATAGTATTTTACCGTTTTTAGCATAGATTTTCAACAGAGTCAGAATCACTGGACCAATCTTGGCATTATAACTATATATCCGCAACAAGCCAATCGTACATCCTAAGGTTTTAAATAGGCGAGCTTTTAATGGAAGACGTTTATCTATAGAGAATAAGGTTGAATAGAGAAGGAACAATATGTAAATGGAACGTTAATCTACCGTGATGACCAATAACTGCTAAGATTTGATGAATTTGAAGTGAAAGATCTTGTCCTAGACCACGATCATCAGCAACAGCACGAAGATGATGTAATAGAAAGCTGCATACATCGTTTTTTATCAGTGCTTTAACCAATGGTCGTCGCGTTTCTTCAAAAGAAAAAGAATTCTCATTAAAACGAAGGCCATGCGAAAAATTCCTATCAGCTGGTCCAATCATCTCGAATTACTCCTGATTAAATCAACTACGCATGTTAGATTCTCTTTGGTTCCTCACGAGCCAGGGGTTGCTCATAGAATCAATAATGTAATAATATCGTCAAGATCGTTTATCTCTGTCAGAGTTGTTTCTTCCGTTCTTACTCTTGTCACAATCGAGTACGTCGCGTATAAGCACTAATATTTGACTTAATAATTCGAAATCATCTGAACAACGATGCATGGAAAGTAAAAGTTCAACGATGAGATTTGCATGTTTGCCAATCGATTCATGATTTGGTTTTTCTAAAATAAAACTTCATTCAACTTTCTTCGCCATTGCCAAACGATAAGACATACCCGCGCTGAAATATTGATTGATCTTTCGTACAGCATACCGAATATCTTCTTTACCATCAGCTGTCGGTATTCTGTCCCGTCCTAGTGCTTGATTAATACGTGCAAACCACGAATCAATTCTAAACAGAAGTAGGCGCTTAGTTTCACTTGTCTGTTTTTTTTTCGTTAGTAAATTATTCAATCATGCGATTATTTATCTATATCATTGTTCTCGCTCTTGTTTTCATCAATATATTAGAGACAACATATGCTCTTGATTTACTCAATATGTTCCGTCGTGCAGTTGGCATAACTAATCAAAAAAACAAATCGTCACGCAAGTATCATCCATCTTCGAGATCAATGTCGAACACTAATCAAATGAAATCGATCTTCTCTGGACAAAACTATTACGACGAAGCGTGTGAACAACAAATCGGCTCACTGGCATGTCCCTGTTGTTCATGACTGAACTGCAGACAACTGAAAAGAGACATCTTTTATAATCAAACATATGCTTGAAGTACTATAACTTAGCTAAAGACAACAAGAAAAGAAAAACAACGGGTATAACATACTTGTTGAGAGGCATCAATGCTCGTTCGGAAATGATAACTGTGAATACTTGACGAGAGTACTATCGAGATTCATAAACAGGCACAGATGGGAGAAGTACAACTTGGAAACAACCGAAAGATCAAAGCAATAATCATAATAAACTACATAAAATATCTAGAAAGACAGATAGGCAATGGGTTAGATTACTTTTATAACAACAAAACTTGTATCGGAAAAAAAATGACGTCAGTTCTGCAGACGCAAAGAACGGCACATTTTCCTGCTCGACGTCATCCAAGTTCGGAGAGAAATTTCTGCGTGGCAAAACAGCGCTCTTAGTATTTGTCATATTTTTTCCTAGAAATGTATGTATCCATTAATAAATTACGAGAATTGCCAGCGTGTAGATACACATATATGTTTCTTTTATTTAGTTTTTTTAAATGTCAACTATAGCCTTTGGAAAGCGTCTAATGGAAACAAACTTTCGGCAATTTATTGACATTACTGATGGAAAACATCTTTTGTTTGTTCGGTCGCTTCTTTACGATTGAAACATTGCAAATAGTGAGAACTAATGTATATATGATCTGTTAATTCATCGTATATCTACAAGAATAACTGTTGAAAACAAAAGCATATCAATACAATGAATCAACATGAAAAATATGTATCAGATATCCAGCTAACTGAATTTGAGATCATATGAATTCAATTGTAATTCAATCTGCAAAACGTCTCTTCATGTAAGAAAATAGTTCGAGTTTGAATTTAGAATCTATTTTTATTGTTGTCAAGTATGCCTTGTTGTTGTCTAGCACATCGAACTCTATCATTAATGGATCAAAGTTTTTGATTGGTTTTCTTCTCTTACCAATGCATATAACTAACTCAGCTGAGCACACACAAGTTCTGTTCTCTTCTTTTGTTATTTACTCTTCTTTTGCTGACACAACCGACAATTCTATTTTGGATTATCACTGAGACATATTAACAGTTGACCGAGTTCTTTGTTAGATAGATTATCTTGTAGTCAAGAACAATGCCGATACTGAGTGAAAAAACTAAGGCAATTGTCGATGAAATTGAACGAGAACGAAAAAAAAACGACGATGAAGATGATCACCATCATGGAACAGCAATGACGCCACCCAATCAAGATTTTTCGTTCCTGAGAACACCTTCACACGGTAAACGTTCGATTCATTATGACATTGAATCGATAGATCGATCTGAACAACGACCGTTGCGAACTATTCCAGACAATGAACCTTCCGTTGACAATGTTCTCCGACGACGATATATCGCACATTGGGGCTTGCCAGGTTTGTATTTTGAACATGAGTTTTCAAGAGGTTATCCACGTATTGAAAGAAGTCAGGAGAGAAAATCTTTAGGAAAGGTCATGATCTTTCTGTTATGTATCTGTTCTCAATTAGAAAAGTTTTTCTAGATCAATTATCTGTTTACAAAATATAAATGAAATTTTCTTTCTCCTTATCTTTCATAGAATGGCTTGGAGATAATCATTTCCTATTACAAAAACATCGACCACCTGCAAATTCCGTTCGAGAATGTCTTATATCCATCGCCTCAATACATAGCGAAACAGTGAATATCTGGACGCATTTAATTGGAGCGCTATGTGTCGCTGTTACTTTCGTTCTATTTCTCGTTGATAATCATAGACAGATGGATTTGAGTGATTACATATCATTTAGTATTTTTTTCATATCTGCGATCTTATGTTTAACATTTTCAACGTTATTACATGTATTTATCAATTATTCACCACGTGTTATGGTTATCGTTTCCAAACTTGATTACATGGGTAAGAAATCAACGAACTTTTTCTTTCTTTGCCTTTATTGACGGCTCTCTACTGTTCAAAAGATCACATGTTTTCCAATGACATTTCGTTATTTTATCGATATGTCGAACGAGAAAAGACTCGCAGGACAGAAATGAGAAAATTTCTCGGCGTCAATCTCATTTATCGACAGTATTAACTTATAAATGCAGTCGAGCATACAAATGTTTTTCATTAACTTCGTTATCATTGAATCTTGTTCTGCGAGACTAAGAATTACCATTCCTATCGACCTTGTCACATCTTTCTCACTAATGGATTGATTTATGTTTATATCCTATTCAATGTGGTTTCTTCTAGGCATTAATATTTTAATTTTTGGCTCAATGATTCCAGTTATTCATTACTTTTTTTATTGTTATTTTAAATTAAAAACAATCTATATTAGTATTCTACTTGTTTTATCACTGGCTTCCGTCATTGGCACGAGCAGTGCTACATGTTCACAACCACACTGTCGTCCATTCAAAGCTATTCTGTTTATTGCGTTGGGTCTTTACGGTAGAAATCAAAAGTCATTTTGGAAGTCTTATCAGTTGAACCTTTAGGTGTCGTACCGGCCGTTCATGCATGCATTCTTCACGGTTTTCCTCGTATGTTTCAAATGGGTTTTCTTTATCTTTGTATCATGGCTGTAACATATATCGCTGGCGGTGTAACCTATGCAGTTCGAGTGCCAGAACGATTCTTTCCTGGTAAATTTAGAAGAACACGAAGTTTCATGTTTTTCATTCGAATTTTAAAGGTCGTTTTGATATCGTTGGACAAAGTCATCATATCTTGCATGTCGCGGTAATAGTTGCTATTTACTTGCACTTTTATGGCATCTGTACATTATTTCACAATGTTATTCGAACTGAACAATGCATCTTGCCGATAACCTTCAAATTTGGAGTGGCCGATTTGCCCGTTCTCTCTTCCAGTACTTCGATCAAATCTTAGAAATTGTATATAGACAAATCAAACACACTCGTGTCGAGTGATTTTTATTCTCATAATTAGTAAATTTATTTTTTTTTGTGTCTTTCACACTGTTCTATTTCAAATCTCCATACATATAAAAACGTTTGAATCACTTTCTTGTTTTTGTTTTTCAAAGATGATTTACTATATGCACTAAATTTTGATCAGATCATTCTTCAATAAATCATCACCAACAACAGCCATATATGGTTTCACGGAATATTTTCTAGCGATACCATTGACAACATACGGATCTCGTTGAGCAACTTCCTCAATTTGTTTCGACGACAGATTACGAAAGATAAGAAAAGCTTCCGAGGGTGGATTACCAGCAGCACCACCTAAAATAACATTTCCACTCTCAACTTGTTTACGAATAAACGCCAAATGAGCTTCTCGATATGGTTTGCGTTTTTCAACAACATTTTCGACATAATCATAATGTAAAATATGAAGTTTTGGTGTGATCGCTGTTGTCGACGCCATCCGAGATAAACAAAACGCGTTTTTCGCGACAATTGGCCGAATAATTGAGAACGTCCACATAGGACTTCTTTGTGTATATTTATCTCTACAATTGATCTTTGTTTTGTAAATAATTGCAAAAAGAAATCTCTCGGATGTTTTCTTCTTTTCAAATATACACATTAATGAATACAAGAGAAGAAAAATAATCGAAACAGATGAACATCGATTACTGTTGAAAATTAAAACGGCATGATGACATGAAGTTTCATCGAAGATCAATGAGGTTAAGAAAACAAGAAAACCAACGACAAAAAGCCAAATGTTCATTTTACAACAAGACTAAAAACAACATTTTTGTTGATTGGTATTGTCTATTGCTTGTATGTCATCAAACAGAAAAACATGAGATTCATTTAGTATGTATATGAATATGTATATATGTATACGGATGTTTTGCAAATCTCTTTATGATTTTATTAAGACTCCGGGTGTACGCTCAACACGCGCATTGGTAAAACCTTTTGATTTTTCATCTGCATTTCGTGGCTGTCGAACAATAATTAACTTTTGACGAGTATTTGCGTCGAAATTGATCGTTTTAAGTTTCGTAATCAATCGATCAGGTCGTTGAAGGTTACTAGAGACAAGCGATATTGAATTCTCCAATTGAATCTCTCGCTATAAGTTCACTTACTTAATTCGACGTAATTTACTCGCACATGGTTTGTATGTTTTCACATTGTATTGGGCATAAAATTCGACTTCATCACCGGTTCGCAGTTCAAAGCCACCCTCGACTTCTGAGTTATGAAAAAATATCTTCTTATTTTCTTCACATGGAAAATCGATAAAACCAAACTAGAACAATTCCAAATTTCATCAATATCAACTTCACTTTTGTCTTACTTGTCCTTTGACAGTATCGATCTTTCCTTTGCGTGTTTCATTTTCTAAAACAATGTTCACTGCACGTTTGGAATAATCGCGTCCAACAGCAACGGAGAACGTCACTGCATCATTTGGTAGTAAAATCACGCGTTTGTTTTTCACACCTGTTATACTATATGTATAGCATTCACCTGGTGTGCCATCATCTGTTATTTTCTGAATTCGTCCAAGGATTTCACATTCGTCAATTGTGATCAATCGCACAGGTGATACTACACGACCACGATGAGTACTTGGTAGAATAGACTAATGACAAAAACAAATGCCGCATACCGATGATTTGATATGATAGAAAGTAGGCTTACGTAGAGAGTGCTTAGTGTTGAAGATACTTTAAGAATATTTTCAGCGACGAGACGATTCGAAATTTTTCGTAGACTAAATTCTAATTCATCTCCTAATTCGATTTGAACATTATCACCGGTAAATGAATTAATTGTGAATAAAATTGGTTCAATATTGCCGGACACATTCGCTTCTTCAATAAAACCTTTACCCTCACGAATAATTGCGATCCAACCACGGAGACGATTTCGTTCAAGCAATGTCACATCCGTAGCAAATTTATTACCAAGTATCAAAGTAAATTCAACCTGAAAATGTTCAAGTCTCGACAGAAATCAAATCATAGATTCTACTTACTTTATCGCCACAAAATAGAGCTGCCGTACCACTGATATTCGTTGTAGGAAATTGAATAGTAGCTTCTTTGTCATCCCAAAAATAACGAATTACACCTGGTTCATGTTGCCGACTTGATGGAATAGTTATTGAATCATTCCCATTGGCTTGTTGAGATTTGTTGTCCGAACTTGTATGATTATCTTGTGCGTCTCGCTCAACAACTCCTATGACGCGAAATTCATGATCGTTAATCATCGATCGGAAATTATCTTTAGTTAACAATTTAATACGTATGGCGTGTGGAATATCCTAACAAACGAACAGAAATAATCATGAAAATCATCTGATTATGATCAACGAACTCCATTGTGTGGATTGAGTGCTAGAGAGAATTCCAATGGATCACCTTCAATAATTTGAAAATCATCTTTCATAACTTCACTGAATCGGAACGGAACGACTTGATCCGATGTGATGCATTTGATGTAACCTGATTTATTATCGACTAATTGTAAAACAGTACCCTAAAATAGAGATTGGATAAGTCTAGTTAGTTGTGTACTGAAGATCCATGACTTACTACTTCTCGATGTTCCTTCGTTTTGAGAAAACTTTGATCGAGTAGTGATATTTGTGTTGCACGTGTCATACCGTCGCGTTTATCTCTTGCAATGACAAATTGGACAATATCATTTTCAAGTAAAGTATATAAACCACAGCGATCGCGTTCACCAAATGGTAATTCACTCATTTTTCTACATAGAGTCGTGTAAAATTGACAACGAAGCCTCGATTATAGGTAGGCTTACTTGTCTGGTGCATCGTAAAGTAATCGACCAGATAGCATATCACTCGATTTCTTCGTTTTCATTTGTAATGGTTGTGTTATTCGACCAATGTGCAGCGCTGTATCAATCTCATCAAACTGCACTGTACCTTTCGGTAGGATAGTAATATTACTTGCTAAATCTTTATTCTAAACATAATGTTTCTCAACAAATTTCCCGTTCTTGTCTGGCATCTTTGCTTACAAGTCTGTTTTGAATGTCGAATTCCACTTCCACACCTGGTTGAATTGTATTTGGAGCAATGTTGTTTCCGAACTCCGTTATATGGAAAAAGATTTCTTTCAATGCATCTTCTCGTTCGATGAAACCAAAACTATCTTTCATAGTTGATATCACACCACGGAAACGTTTTGCTGTTGACACTACTGGCGGACCTTTCTGCGTAACAACGATGTTTCTCGCAAAAAATTGATTCGTACGACGATCTTGGCTCACATTGAATGTTACCTAAACAAAACCATAATGAGAAAATGACTGTCGTAAACGAAGATATCCATTTTTTTCATCATTACTTGATCTCCAACTTGAACTACTTTCGATGAATCTTGAAGATCTGATATGCCATATGGTAAAAAGTATGTTTCGCCTTTCTTCACGTATGTTACTTTCCCATCAGGCATATAATTCAAATGATCAAACTAGAAGATGAATGTCAACGATGAAAAATGAAATATTTCCAGCAACTTACGCCATTATTCAATGGTTGACGAGCGACAACAGCGATCGCTCCTTCAACACGATTTTCACCAACAATCTCGGGACTAGCCGGTGTTATATTCACAGCAACAGGCTTTTGCTTTCGTTTATCAATCGTTGTTTCGAATTCGACCACATCTACGCACGATTTTCCACCAAAGTGTTGCTTTCGTGTACAAGTATCTCATTACCTCCGATCTTTGCTTGTTGAATATCGTTTTTATATTCACTGAAGTGGAAAAAGTAACGGCCATCACGATGACAACAATAGACAAAACCATAGGTTGAACACAGTTTCTCAATGATACCCAATTCTCGTTGAGATTTGTTTGGAATACTATCTTCAATACTATTTGGATTGCTCATTGCTTTTCAAGAATATCTATTGGAAACTAAACAGTCAAAATACGAGATTGACGCTCAGATGTATATTTTTGCTTACTATTTGATGATAAGTTCTGGTCAATCGAGATGTTCAGTTTATTCGATGGGTAGTTTGCTTCAATTCAACAGTGAAAGACAAAAGAGATGTGCGAAGAAAACAGATTTCGATCTTATATAATATCTAGAAAAGAAATTCACCAAAATATTTGCTTTTCTATGTATACAACTGAGCGTTCAGGTGCAATATGAAATAAACAAATATTTAGAAAACAGAGGTCGCAAAGTTCGAAAGAAAATTATCAGAAAGTCTTTCAGGAATCGATGCAATCATTTTCGCAGAACAGGTATTACGACACAAAAATTCAATCTCTATATCTTTACAGATAAACAACACAAGAAAATGAGCATCGAAATAAGGTACGCATATGCAGAAAAGACATCAGCTGTTACTCATGCTTCCCGTGATTTATTGGTTGATGGTATTGGACGAATCAGAATAATTCATGGTAATTTCCTCTTCAACACTATCGACACGGTTTTCATTGAAACGAAACATCAATTGATAAGAGAAAATAAAAATCGTGAAGACGAAAACATCTTCAGTGAGTCGATCGACTTTCCGTCATTGACAAATGATCAATTAATACATCACACATTTTGTCAATATATCTGTGTGTGTGTAAACCAATCAACGCGAATAGCTTATTGAAGAGATCATATCGTCGTATGTCTAGTCCTATACAAGAAAAGATAAAAATCAATTAATTTGCCAGTTGGACTACAATGTCTGTGTGTGTGAACGAGCAATTTGGAAAATTATCTTTGTTTGTTTCCGACAATGTAGAATGAAATTAACATATAAAAAGGCTGTCTAAAGATAAAAAAGCAAAGAATATTCATCCATAAGCAGGTAACCAATTTTGACAGAAGTATCCTGAGTTTTCTACACACATGTTACATTCAGTATCAACTAATCGTCTATCACTCATCTTCCTATTATGTCAGGTTCAATATGTTCATTATAAATTCTTCGTTATCACTTTAAGCTGTTGTAGAGCGTATAATCGGTTCCGGACGAGAATGACATGTGTTTGTATACACAACACTGACGACACATATCATTGATAAACAGGCACGGCTAATAATTTAACGGACTGTAATCAATGAACAGCATCTAATAAATAGATTATTTTCTCCTTCCTTCCAGATAGTGTATCAGTTGAATATTTTCCATAAGAGAACAGGACCAGAACGAAGTGTGTATATATATATATTCATCGTCTACTTCATTTAGAATTCAAACAGCTCCGAATGATGTTTCGTCTTCCGCCACCACCACGCTTCACTCTTCTACCACCGCCGATGCTCTCATCCGATATTTTCGATCCAAAACTACTCTTTCGTTTAAGTTGTTCGTCCATCCAACAACATCAACGTCAACAAAAACAACAGATGATTAATTCGCGCTTGATTATGTTCAGCTGTGTTTGTCTTTTCATAATTCTTCTAGTTATTTTCATACAGTATCATCGTCGACGAAAATCTCGCCCTGATACTCATCAACAACAATCGAAATCACTACCAGTCAATACCACTACATCGCTACAATCCAGTCGATCGTATGAAAGTATCTCATCTGGAAACACCGGTTATTATGTGGAATCTATTGATACATCAGCAACAACATATTCTACGGATCCAAGTAACACAATCTGCTTTTCTTATTCCGAAGAACGTCATTACTCGTCGATTTCGCCGCCACCTCCGTATTATCATACACTTGATATTCTTCCTTCCTAATCGTTATTTTTTGTGTAAATAACTTTGAATTGGTTGGATTTAACAGTGATTGTTGTTGTTTTTTGATAGTTACAAATAAGAAAGAGAATACAACGAATGAGAATCTTGCCTATGAATCGAATAATCTCATTAATTAGCGATTAATCCTATTTGAATTGATGTCAATCTCGTTAAAGAAGAGTTAATTGATTTGGTCGTCGTGATATAGCGTAAGGAAATGATAGTCGTATTCGAGTTTCTAAAGAATCAAATTTCTTTCCCATTAGATGAAAATGATATTGGGCTTACTAATACAATGGTAATACTTGATTAATATGTTCTTTTTCTGAAATAAGATAAAGAAACAAGAGCTTCGAAGGGTTTTGGAGAGCAAGAAAAGAACGAACAACTGAACAAGACATCATTAATTATTTCTAAACGTGGTTGCGCGTGTGACTGTAACAATAGACGTTTCTTGTTGAAAGAAGTGAAAACTTGTTTTCGATTGTTCGTTCAGAAGCGTGATTAGCATCATAATTGATCTTGAAAATAAGATCTACGTAAAGTTCTCCTGAGATTGCTTCCATGCTTGTTTTGGTAATGTGGTGGAGAAAACATACGGAGAGAAGTCCGTTGGTAAGAAACATAACGGTGGCAATTTATCTTGTCTCGGGGAGAAATGGAATTATTGTCCTTTAGGTGCACGATGACACTTTATATTTTTGAATCAAAATGGAGAAATATTTCGGAAAGTAATCGTCTAAACATGATCTGTCAAAGTATTGACATCCGATTGGTTTTTCGTATATCAACAAATGTTCTTTTCATCTGGTCTATTTCTAGTTAAAGGCAGCGATATTTATCAAAGCACTTTTTGACATTCTCCGCATACTTTCTTCTTGTCTCATTAGTACGAATAGGCAGGCTCGTCGTACAATCTCATTTTTCTTTATCCAGCAGATTTCTCATCGACATGGTATCATCAAAAAAAAAACGTTCTCTCTCATTTGAATGGAATTAGAAACGATCTCTGGTCTATTTATATTCCCGAAAAATTCTATATAGAAAAAAAAGGAACATTCCGTCGGCGAGTGATGTTTATCTAAAGAATAATTCATCTGTATGATAGCAAGAAATAAAAAAACAATAATATGAATAATGAAATTATCGGTTCTAATCTAATGAAAACATTTATCAACATGAATTCATGTCAAATATCTTCTTTATGGGTTGATGATTTTCACCGAGAAGAAAATGTCGTTTTAGCTGTAAATCTTTGTTCATGCATATTTCTCTTTGCTTTTTATAAATAAATGTGATAAAATTACTGACATTCAACATATATAAAAAAACACATTCATCTGTCATCGATATGTTATTTTCTGTTTCATCGAAGAACAAAGGTATGATCATCATTCGTAATATTACATATTCAAGTGACATAAAAAAAAGAAGAGCGACAAAGAGAAAGGAGGTATTTATATGAACACATTGTAGACATACTGTTCAAAATCCGAATCTTTAGAAGAGAAAGAAAAGAAAAAGATGAAGGAGGATTAGTTGTGCGCATTATTAATCGACGAGAATACTATCTAGCTTGGCAGCAATTCGTAAGAATAGAAGAGAAAGGAGAAGAAGCATTTGTAGCAGCATGGAAGAGAGAAGTGTAAAGGGCTTCACACAGTGCATGAAAAAAAAAAGAAGAAGAAGAAGAAGAAAAGATCATTGACTTTTCGTTTGGCTTGCTAACTTAAATCGAGCTTAAATATACAGTGATGTTTCTGTTGTTCATTTTCGTTCGGACTTAGGGATGAAAGATGTAGAGCATCGATAAGTTGTTTACCAAAATAAATCGTATTGTTGAGTTCATTTGCATATGTTGATAAGAATTTTCTTTTACTTTTAAATAGAATTATATGTGGAACAAATTCTTGATAATTTCCTGCGAAGAAGATTTCATTCATTTTCTGTTTCTGTTTTTGCTCACATAGACGTTCGATAATCAACGTTCGAAGATTTTCCAAGCGCGCATTTCGTTGACATTTGACGAACAATGTCTTATTATGAAAGGTGTCAATTCCATTGAACTCTAAACAAATACGTTCGGGATAGGAGCAATGATAATGAACTTCTTCTTGAATACGCTTCAATGCTAATATACACTGCTCGATTTGTAACGGGGATTCGAGACGTAAGGTTAGTAAAGTTAAATGAAGATAATGCGGGTCGATTGTGAATACGTGTGACGATGACGACGAAAATAAGCTTGGATTGGATGCAAGAAGATGTTCACGGTATGTGATATAGTGTGAAATAAGAGATGGATCAGTTATTGGGATTGATAGTAAATAATTCGGTTTGTATAAACTATCAGTTAAGGTTAGGTAACGTTTGGTTGATAAAGTAGGATCAATCTCGATGACTTGTTCATTTTGTGAAGTCCTATCCGAGGGAATAAAGAAAAACATGTGATTTGATAGAGAAGATAATCGTGGATTACTTTGTTTCTGATAGATTTTCGTGTCGTTTGATCACATCGGAAATTGTCTGTTGATTACTTGTTGAGCCAAAGATTAAATCAACTCGTGATTCTTTGTCCCAAATAAGTTCATTTGCATATTTCAAGTACTGTATACGAGATTTCGAATTGATTTGTCGATCAGTGAACGCGGGCAGATCAGTTTTCGAATCGAAACTATGCAACAATTTCTCTTGCAAATTTTGATGTTGATCGAAGTAACCGATACGAATGAAACGCTTATCGAGACGCGTGTCCGATTCCAAATGTGAAAGAACATCATCGATTGTTTTAGCTGAACTTTTTTTAGCGTGTTCAGCATCGTGTTCATCGGTTTGAGCAGGCCTGGTGTGATTATTCAATGGGAGAAAGGATGAAATCGATTTACTATTCGTTGGCGAACGAGGACTCGGTGAAATCGATGCATTATTTGTGTTAGTATTACTGTTATTCGTATTGACAGTCAACGTTTGAATCTTGTTTTCATCGAACCATTTCAAGAGACGAGTATAGATCGATAAGATCATCGGTTTAGTCGCTAATGTTTGACTGTACGTTTGAAGAAGTTGTTGTACAAGTAGAATTTGATCCGGGGTCAGACGAGGTGCTGTGATCATGATTTCAGGTGCTTTCGTCGGATAGGATTCTTCAATGGAAAAGGAATGTGTTACACGAATGATTCCGTTCGAAAACTTACTATCTAATTGTAATGTTAAGGAAACATCATATTGATCGGCGCGAATTTTAAGAATATATGAAAATTGTCCGATAGATGATAGAATACGAATGTTATCTTTGAAATAATCACGAAGTGAATTGATTTCTTCTTCTTGTCCGGCGCTTATTGATTTATTGTCGGTTGTAGTGGCCATACAATGATTAATGGTGGAGTTAAATGCTCTAAACGTGCAAGAAAAACATCTCGTCTCTCTCATTTTCTTTGACAAATATGTACACACCTGGAGTGTATAGAGAAATACGACAAATAGATGGATTACATCGACAATTTTAACATACTACTATCGTATATCGTAAGTAACTTACTCAAACACCGACCTTTACAGGCTATCTGCCTGAATGAATGAATGAAGCAATGGCTGACGACTGGCAATAGATTATCATATCATCAACACTCTCAATAAATAAATAAATGCAATTGGCCGCAATCGTTTGGCCAATGAAATAATTGTATGTCAGGAAGTTTTTACATATGCAAATATCAGATGCGCAAAACAAATCCTCTGACGATAGTGAACCAATCAGAAAAATTCATCGAGCCTTTCCCATGGCGGATCAGTTTTCTCTCTCCTTCGAGAATAACGCATCTGCTTAAATGTGCTGAAACTTGCGTTTTCATCATGGTGGTGGAGAATGGAGTCATTGATTCTTGAACAGTCAAGATGACGGTGCAATTTCATCTTATTTATTTATTTTTATTTCGTATATAAAGCGTTTTCTCTAGTCGTTTTTCTTATAAAGTGAATTGAATATTGATTGTGAATTTTTATTTAAAGATAAATTAATTAAAAGCAAATATGGGTCGACGACCAGCCCGATGCTATCGTTACTGCAAAAACAAGCCATATGTATGTGATAACGCTTTCGAAAACTTGTGAAATGATTGTCTTCTCTCTTCTAGCCTAAATCTCGTTTTTGCCGTGGTGTTCCGGATCCAAAGATTCGAATCTTCGATTTAGGCCGCAAGAGAGCCCGAGTCGATGAATTTCCATTATGTGTTCATCTTGTTTCCGATGAATATGAACAATTATCCAGTGAAGCACTCGAAGCTGGACGTATCTGTGCTAACAAATACTTAGTTAAACACTGTGGCAAAGATGCTTTTCATATTCGTATGCGTGTTCACCCGTTTCACGTCATTCGTATCAACAAAATGTTATCATGTGCCGGTGCCGATCGTTTGCAAACAGGTATGCGTGGTGCCTTCGGTAAACCATTGGGTACCGTCGCTCGCGTGAACATCGGTCAAGTGATCATGTCAGCTCGTGTTAAAGATCAACACAAGGCTCAAACTATTGAAGCTTTACGTCGTGCTAAATTCAAATTTCCCGGCCGTCAAAAGATCTTCGTCTCAGACAAATGGGGCTTCACGAAATTCACTCGCGAAGATTACGATCGTTTGCTACAACAAGGACAATTACAATATGATGGTGGCAACGTGAAATATCTACCCAACCACGGCCCACTTGAACACTGGAAAAAACGACAAAATGTTTAAAAAAAAATTCAATTTCGTTTAACCGTTCTTGCCGACTTGTTCTTCTGCAGATAACAACAGCAAAAAAAGCGTTTTTATGAATTAAGATCCTCATTGTTTAAGAAAGAGAAAAAAAAACAAGAATAAAATCTAAACCGAGCAGTTAATTTTTATTTCGAAAGTATTCGTTTATGCTTCCGTTCATGTATTAATCGATGACAACATCTAGTTGTCGATGATAAATATTTTCTACGTGCTTGTTTATTCGTCACATCTACGTTTCATTATTCATTTGAAGAAACACGTGATAAGACAATTTGATTGCATGCAAACGAACGAGAGAAGAGAATATTTTCAAAAAAACATTACATTTTGAAGAATGTCATGCCGGAAAGAAAGACGATTAAGAAAATATAGTGAAAAAAAATATAGAAGAGAATTCGGAAATGTAAAAAGTCGGAGAGTACAAAACAACGATGAATCGATCTACCATGGTGCACATGGCGCTTCTTCATCACGACAGTATTGCCAATACGATTCCAATCGACCGGTGGCCGGTTCCATCAAAGCTGTATATACAGTTAACTAGAAATAATAATGAAGTGCAGAGTACAACTCCAACGAAAAGATTCACTTACTTTATTGAGCATTGGTCTTGACGAAAACACGTTGAACAACGATTGAAATGTCACTTGATTTTTGCCTTTGGCTTCCATACATTTGATGCATGGTGTGACACGATCATCGAAGAAAGGTGGTTTCTTCCAATTATCATAATTAGTTTCAATTAAAAACCAAAGATTATCTTTGCCTAATGGCTTAACATCATCTGATCCATTTCGTGAACGTGTTATGATAACACCCTGGAAAATAAAAATATGTCATATGATTCTATTTTTGGAAGCAATGAACTATCTTACTTGTCCAGATTTTGGTCCAGCAAGAATATAATAACATGGCGCAGTGAGTTTTACTTCTGCCAAATATTTAACTGCTTGATCGTAACTCTCTGCTTTGGTTAACATGTCACGCATGGCAAATGTAACAAATGATTGTTTACGATTGATATTAAAAATCCATTCAATTAAACCGATATAGCCACCTTTGAGACCATAACGTTCATTCATTGAAATACTGAAGACACCGGGACGAATACCTGTGATAACACCAATGTAACTAGATACAGACAGAGGAAATGCTCATAAGAGATGATCCAGCCAGTGAATTTACCCAGCAAAACTGGTGGTTTTGAAAAGAACTTGACCGTTTTGTGTGAAATTCACTTGTGTAATCAATGGACGTAACTTTTCGGACAATGTCCAAGTGTTGTTTAACATATCCCAACTAGAATGAACGAGTCTTATCTTTAATGGAATTAGAACTTTTCGAAATTTACCCTAATAGAAGTCCAAAATCAAGATTTCGTCCGTGAAGTATATTTCCATTCTGATCCTGTGCCACGATTGATGTGCATAAGGTGAAAATTTCATAGAAAATATTATACAAGACAATTTCACCTACAAAAGTCGACAAAAGAAACCCTTTTCTTCCTCATATACGACCTTTTCTTACCCAGTGGTACACCAGTTGCTTGACTAATGCCTTTCATTTCATCACCATATGGTACTGGCAATGTATCGGCCATAGCAGGCTAGAAAACAAGCGATATCCAAACGGAAGATGATCATCAATATCGAAGTTTACCAATTTAGTATCAACGAGACTGACTAAAAACTGTAGCTCAGGTGAAATTGATAGAACAAATTTCTTGATATAATCAACCAAATCAATGATCTAAATAAAATCAAAGGGTAGAAGACAACAAACGAATAATATGATTTAATGTACTGCTGGTTTGTAAACTGCGGCGATTTCTTTCCATCGCTCCGTAGGAGGTAAATCTAGGTTGACCACATGTGTTGGGACAACACGATCTGAATTCGGTGGCCATTGATCACTCAAACATTGTTCACCGAGCTAAAGAAAAGAGTTTTGGTATTAAGTTCGATCTTTCATCGATACGAATACATACGATTCCTTGAATGGAAAACACAACAAGCAAAAACGTGAAGATAGTTCGACAAATTTCCATCTAGAAAGAAATGAAACACTTTGTTCGAATTATATGCGTCGACATACATAGATAAGAGAAGATAAGATATGAAGACAAAGGAAAATTATCGTCACAGATGAACAAAAAAAGAAGTGTTTGATTTTCAAGATAAAACATTTAATCGAGGAATATTCGTTGTTGCTGATAAAGCTTCATTATCGTTTGTTTCTAACAATCCACTCGTTTTTTCAATCTGTTTGTATTCTTCGATCAATTGATTTAAGTTTTCGCGTGCTTGATCGAAGTCATTCAATTCAATATGATCAGTATAATGATGAACATGCGCCTTTCGACGATAGAGTGTTGTAAAACGCTCTTTCAATTCAATGAATGTTTCCTTTATACAGGTGTTATTTGCTAATGTTAATAATGAATACGGTAAACCGTTCGGTGGTACAATGCACAAACCAATTTTCCATCCATCTTCATTCCATTTGACAAATTTCATATGTTTCAATTTTAACATATCAATGTTACGACGAATATCAGACATCTGTATGGTTTTACTGCGTAGAATCATTCCGCAAGCAATGTAGACACCGTCAGTTTGCGGTCGAACACGAAGTGTTTGATAATGTGGAGACAAGGCGTCACGAAAGATCTGATTTGTATTCCGAGGAATGGAAGAATTGGCGGCCGATGTTTTAAATGGTGCTGGTACTTGTGAACTGATTAAATAATGGATTCGAGGATATGGAACAAGATTCATTGGTATTTCGCTCAAATCAACGTTCAATGGACCATCAAAACGTGATGACGAAGTTAAATTTAAAATTAAATTAGCTACTATCGTATTCATTGAATCAAACGGATGCCGACCGTCGTCTTTCGGTTTCGACGAACTGTCACAACGTGCAACAATATCGATCAAGGAATCATTATCGACAGGTATCACACAATCAGCATGTTCAGTTAATTCACGTGTAGCAAGAACTGAGTTGTACGGCGATGTAATGACATCATCATCTTTGGATGGATAAACTGGCGTGACAATACGACATACTTTCGGATACATTTCATCCAGTAAACCCAAAATAAATGTTCCGAGACCACTACCTGTCCCTCCGCCCTAGAACGACAAGATGTTTGTAAAAGTTTTATATTTCTCTCATGTAGAAAATAGTTAAGTTAGTAGCTTTACATACACTCACCCTGTTCTCAGCTCACCATAGAATGTATAAGCATGAAACTTTGTAGCGAATCGCATTGCTCTGCTTGTCGACGAATTTCTTCACTTAAGACGTTTCGATATTTTCCACCGTAGAATCGATTTCCCACTGCCCAGTTATTTCCAGCACCACTTACATCGCGGATAAATTGTTCACCTTCGAACAGATCTCGTAATGGACTAGCCAGTATTGAACGAAGTACACCTTCTTCCATATCAACGAGAACAGCTCGTGCTTTCAACGTATGGATAGGAGATGGATACGCCAGTGGCGTATTCTTTGAAGAATCAATATTACGAAAGAAAGCATTCATTGATGCATCGTAGATACATTTCTTTGCATTCGTTGGTGACATCAGTGAAGCATGTTCGCGTAGAGCTAAATCCCAAAATCGACAACCAATTTGCGAACCGCATTGGCCAACTTGTACGACAATATTTTGTGACATGTTGAGATATAAATTTACACGTATATACAAGTTCAGATTACTCTTTTTATTCTGAAATACAAAAGAACACATGATGAGTTGAGCTTGTATAGATATACAAAATCTAGATAGATACATCATTTTGATATCTAAGTTTTCACTCTAACTAAAATAAACACTGGGTTTTACTTTATCATTGAACAAAATAGCACAGACAAGTAGAGAAAGAAAGAAAGAGAAAAAATACATTGTATCGTTGATTTTGCTTCTCAATGCGAGAGAAAAGGAGTGAATATTTACATTAATACGTGTCCTTAGGTATTATTTGTCGTTGGATTAATAGTTACACGAGGAATAATCGGATTTTTCTTAAGTTTTACATCAGGTTGTTGTCGTTGTAGCATTTCTGCAGCCGCATGATGGAACACAGATTGATTGAATAGAAACGCACTGATGTGTCCATACGGAATATATCGTACGTGACAACCAGGCCATAGATCATTCATATCAGGTATACCATGGCGTAATACGTATCCATCATGTGTACCAACGATAAACATGGCATTGGGAATATTCGATTCTGGAGGACGTGCATATTTCTCTAGAGATGTAAATTCATCCATCACTAAACGCATCATATCTTTAACAGGATCAATTGGAATTAGATTTGATCTTGATGGTTTTTCTCCATCGCGTAAGTATTCGTAGAAGTTTTGATAAGCTTTGTTTTCGTAGAACTGTTTTTTTAGAAGAGACCATGGAATAGTGCGTGACAATACACCTTCACAAAAGGCTGTTGAGCTCGTTGACCAGGAAGCACATGATAGGAGAGACAATGGACCAGACCAACTGCAAAATTCGTCAAGAGAGACAGAGAGAAAGAGAAGTTGTTTCGATAAAGAAAAATGGTGATTCGAACTTACGTAGTGAAAGCTAGAGAAGCCATATGTCCACCAAGTGAGAATCCATGTAAAATAGCTGGCGTGAGTTTCATTTTTTGACACCAATGTAATAGAACCATTGTTTCTAACATAAGTGCACCACCCATAACTAACAGATCTGTGACATAGAAAAGTGATGAGCGAACTTGATGCTTTGGTTTCCTCAGTCCATAAAAAGGATTTTCAAGAATGATTGAACCAATACCATACTGTTTTATCAATGGGTTGGCTGTTAGAACGCGTCGTCGCGTATAACCTTGATCACCTGTTCCAGGATAACAAATACCGATTGGAATCGAATCAATACCCAATCGGTGGTTATGTGGTAAGACGAGTTGAAAATGTGCTGTAGCCACTTCTGGTGGAACCTATTGGAAAGAGAAAACGCATTCGTTCGTATAAAAAAGAAAAAGATTCACTCTTACCAAATGCGGAAAATGAACCGCGAGTGGTGAAGGGAACTTTGCATCGAGAATAAGTCGGTTGCCTCTTGTCTCTTGTTTAACGATTTGAATAGTATTTTCTTGTACACTTTCTGCTGGCACAAGTTTCATGCATTCGCTTCGTATCGCGACTCGTTCGCGTCGATTGGCGCAAAGTTCTTGTAAATGTAACGGATTCCCCCAACCACGTATGAATGATTGAGTTGTAATGACTCGACGAAAAAGTGAATCGAAACTAGTCATTTTAGACGATTTCTTATTTTAATTACCATCTAGAGGAAACAAGAACTTTGATCGAATTAAATGACATCTTTTTTCGTATATCAATAGGAAAAGCAAAGTTATTGTCTACAAATGGTTATCAAAATATGGTTTTCATCTCTGTTTCTTTCCTATCGATCTCATTGAATTGAGAAAGACAAAGAGAGAATATGTTATTGACCAGCGGAGATATTCAATAACATCTGTGGACCATGAGGTAGATAAACAATGTTTCGTGATCTAGCTAACTGACCAGCAATATCTTCGGCTGCTTCGATACGTCGAAGTTCAATCAAACCTAGATGAAAATCAATCGTAATAGAAATTGACGGACGAGAGAATCAAACACAAACCTTCACCGGCTTCTCCTAATGCTTTACCGATCAGATCAGCAGCACGAGCATCACCTTCAGCAGCGATTACATTGGCCTGACGACTTTGTTCAGCCTGTGTACGTTTGCATAACTCCAACGATAAAATCAATTGTATTCAATGAAAATTTACCTTTTCGACTAGAAATCGTTGTTTTTCTGCATCTTGTTGTGCTACTTGTTTTAATTCAACAGCACTGGTGAATTCAGGACCAAAACTCAAATGTGTCTAGTTGAAAACAGAATGATTTTCCAAAAAACGTATCTTTCAAACTAATTTACAATTGAAATATCATCAAGTAATAAACCGAATTGCTGCGCACGTTCAGTTAATAGTTCACTGACACGCTGTGAGATAAGTGTACGTTGAGTAATCAATTCAATGGCATCGAATTGAGCCTAAAATGTTCAGGAATGTATCGAGCGAGGATATGGAAAGGAAGTTTCAATACATACAACGACAGATTTTAATACTTCATTCGTAATCGATGGTAGTACACGTTCTTCATAGTCTAAACCCAAGTTTGTGAAAATTTTAGGTAAAAATTCAGCTTTCGGTCGATAGAGAATACGTAAAGTAATGTTAATTGTTTGTAAATCTATAATTATGAACTTAGAGAAAAACATATTCTTCATTAATGATATTTCCGTACCTTTTGTGCCTGTGATAGAAGGTATAGAACGTGGACGAGTTCGAATATCGAAAATAATGGGTCGATGAAGCCATGGAATCATAAAGTGAGTTCCTTCTCCAATCACATCGGGTTTAATACCTTGGAAACGATCAAAAATAACTGCTCGATGACCACCATCGACTGCAAACACATTCATCAATTGATTTCTACAATACAAGCTCGTTTTTCATACATTACCATTGTAAAGCATGGCATTCACAACGCCACCGGCAACTGCCAAGCCTATGCCAAGTCTTCCTAATTAAACGAAAATAATTTTACTGTGCAATGAACGAAGCACTTTCGAATTAAGACATTGTTCTCGATCAGATCTGTTCTTCGTCTTACCAATATTATTGAAAATTCGAGATGATGCCATTAGGTGTTTTACTCTACAAGAAATACGTAAAAGATCTTAATCATCTGTCTGCTTCTCATCGAAAAACATTCAACTTTTCTGTTTGTCTTTCAAGGCCTCTCTCTTTTATTAGCAAGTAGTGTTTTTTTTCAAAAGAAGAAGAAGAAGAAGAAACATCACACGTAGAGAAACATAAAGGAGTCATATCTCCGTCGATCCGAGAATGCATCATGGTTTGATCTACCTATCCACTACGGTAACAAACTGATGCAATATGTACACAGACAAAAAGACATACAATGATATACGTAAGGAATAGAAATAGATTAATCCAATAACAAAAGAGAGAAAGAAGAAAGGAAAAGTGCAACGTAGCAGTTCGATATCAAATTGTAATATCAATTACCTGCATAGTGGCAAAAAAAAGAGAAAACATGAAAGTTAAACGAAGAAACTTGGAAAAGAGGAAAAACATGCACACTAAGGATCGACCGAAATTCCAACCTGAACATCAAGTTACACATAAACATCCGCACCGTTTGATACCTTGTACACACACATACATACATGTGAGAAACAAGAAGGAAAAAAAGGAATAAATGTAAATTTAACATCGTTCAGAAGTGGTCCGTCGATTTTGTTGTCTTGGTGGAGCACGATTACGAGATGGAAAATGTTCACCGCTAGTCTTTAATGAATTTGGCATTGTTGATGTATCACTGTTATTTCCTATTGCGGCTTCTTTGGCTGCTGCAGCTGCAACTGCTTCTGGTGCTGGAACAGTCTAGATGAATAAGAGTTTGAATAGAAAAATGTAGATGTAATTGGTTTCTTTTACTATTATTCCTGATTTCGTCGAATAGAATTGTTGTGGAAACGAAGCACCATCGACACGAAAATCTTCAAGACGTTTGAATTTCTTCAAAATTTCCTCAAGTTTTGGATTAATTTTTGGTTTTCGTCGTGAATATTTCAGAAATGCCCAAAATTTCTCCATACCATATAATTGTCCTAAACAAGAAAGTGAAACAAGATCTTCTCGATCCAACCATTTACCAGCATCGTGATCACGAAGTGTTTCATTTTCAAAATCTTCCAAAACTTCTTGACGAAAATGTTTTTCAAGACCATATGTATAGAATCGGAATAAACACTCGAGTCCATATCTACAAATGCATATTATTCTCATGAAAATCCAAGAAAAAGAACCTAAAGATGCAGCTTTACCTATGACCTGTTTTACTATCGTCAACAGCATATTGTCTGAATTCGTTATACATCCGACGATTGAAGTTTTCACGTAAGAAAAATGACCAAAAACGATAGAGAGTATTCATTTCCATAGATTGACCAGGTCCAAGTTTCGTTCTTTCTAAACAAATAAATTTGTAAGCAAAGTGAAATATATCGAACTTGTGAAGTTCTTTTTTTCTACCGTCGAGACATTGTTGTTTGTATTTTAGATAGACTTGTTGGGTAAAACCATTCTGTTGTAACAATGAATGCGATGGATGTTGAAATTGGGGAATTTCCACCGGTGTTGAACCATAATAATCATACAGATTCGAATTACTGCCATATGAATTGCCATACCAATAACGATTCTCATTGTATGATGATGAATATTGATCATAGAAGTCTTGCTGGCGACTTCTAAACATTAGAGACAATGTATAGAACTCTTTGTATGATTATATAGAAATAAAGATACTTACGATGCACTGGTTGTAGTATTACTTCGTTGTTTGCCTGTAGTCGCTGTGGTGGTGGTGGTGGTGGTTGTTGTTGTTGTTGTTGCTGCTGCTGTTGAAGTTGATGCTGTCGCTGTAGTTGGATGACCACGTGAGTCGAATACCCAACCAACTGAACTTTCTACCGGTGGATTTTCACTATGACGAGTTTTACGTTTCAAACCCGGTGTCTAGGACAAATCATCTCATTGACTAATGCCTACGATTTCAAGGTATACTTACATCCGGTTTAACGACATGGGCATCTTTGGTAACGGGATAAAATCGAGCGACATTTTTTGCACGAGAATGAGGCGTTCGTGGTTCTTCTGGATATTCATTCGACGCTTGCGACTGTTGTTTCTTTTCATTTGCAGTCTTCGCTATGGGTTTTGATTTTATAGTTGGTACGACACCGGCATCAGTATTAGCAGGTAATGAATGTGAAGTGAAATCATCTGTTAATGATTCCAATAGATTCTGTTGGTGTTGATGTTGATTTGTTGTTGGAGGATGTTTCGGTCGGAAAAATGGTTCGACTTGTGGCGGTGCACGGTTATTCGAACGACTAATAGTGATTGCTGGACTACGCAATAGTTTTTCATTGTTTGTCACTGATTGATTGTTTTCTAGAAAAAGAGAGTTTTCAAATGAACGCGATCGCAATATACCATTACCTTTATCATCTTGTGCTCGAGAGTTTTGATTATTCTCAGTGTCATCATCATCAGCACTGATCTTTCTTCCACTAACCGATTGAGATTGATTCGATGCTTTACGTAGAACATCCATTTCTTCTTGACTGATTAGTTTCACTGTTTTCTCATTCTAGAAAAATAATTATCGTCGGAAACAAGAACAAGAATGATTGGATACGAACTGTTGTTGCTGATGATGGTCGATCATGCCATAATTCTTCTTCGTACCATCTTAGGCCATCATCAATGATTTTCGCTATTTCGGCTGTCATTCGTGCTCGCGGTGTGTATTCACCAGTGCGATCATGATTCTTATGATGTTGTTTACGGTTTGATGGTGGTGTTGGTGTAATAATAAGGATTTTATCGATATCGTCATCATCCAACTCAAAATCGGATTCGTCTTTGTCGCTAAAAAGACAAATTTATGATGCATAGAATTCAAGCAGCGAACGAGGATTACATACGATTCATCGTGTAAATCAAGTGTTAATGATGTTGTACGACGTCGATTTTGCCGATTTTGTGGAAAAAATGATGGTGGAAGGTAAGATGAGAGTGTATTATTCGTACTATTATTAGTCTGTGTACTGGGCAGTTCTTCGTCGAATTTAAAGTCCAATTCTTCACGATTATCCGATTGAGTATTTGGTTGTTTTGCTTGATGTTGTTGTTGCTGTTGCTGTGACTGTTGTTGTTCGGAAGTTGTTTGAGATTGTTGTTGCTGGTGTTGTTCTTTTTTCTCCTAGATTACGGAATGATCTCAATATTATTTCTATCTGTTGAGAATTCTTTTGAATCAAACCTTTTTCTTAGCTGGTTTCTTTCGTTTCGTCGGCACGTGACTCCAGTCAACTTCATTCGTTGTTGATCTTCCTTTCTCTAATAGATGCGATTCATCATCTAATCCATTCAAAATTTTACTGTCTAAATTTGGATAATAAACACAAAGCTTTATTAAAATACGAAACTTCCCCTGGTGTATCCTCTTACTTTCATTCTCATTCTTCCACATTTTACCCGGTTGAAAATCAGGTACATCTGGGTTCAGCGCTGTCAAATGATTACTAACATCCATAATAAGAGGCCATCGTAATGGTTCGGTTCGACAACGTGCCATACACTTATCATTCAATTCAATAATAAGACTGTCTTTTACCGCCTAATGAGAAAAAAAGAAGATATTCTAATAAACAAAAAAAGAACAAGAGTTATTCCAACATACATCAGCTATCAAATTAATGTCGTCGCATAGCGTTTGAACTCGATTGAAACTTGCAATCAATGACAAGGGTACATAGCCATCTTTAGACATTTGTTGTCGAAGAAAGATATCTGCTTCGAGATTTTCATTACTGAAATAATACTCGCTAAAAATAGACGAGAAAGAAGTTATCTTTCTAAATGTTTATCGACAATTTCAATCAGATAATTTACACTTGACGACGAAGAAGTTCTTTCAGTTGTTGTTCAGTGTAAGCAGGTACTAGTGGAGTTGTGTATTCATCTATATTAACATCAATGTCGGTTAAAGGTATATCAGTAGCAGGGGGCGGTGTTGTAGATTGATAATAGTAAGCACCTTCTATATATGGGAGTACGAAAGAACAATCGTCAACCACTACAGCTTCATCATCGAAGATAAACTTATGCACATCACGTTTAATAGCTGCTTCATGAGAATTATCAGCACTTGTTGTATCTATACCGGATGGAAATGTCAAGTTACCGACTCGTGTCAACTAGAAAGAACTTTTTACCTTCGACTTCGGCATTAGGGTCGATTCCAAGTGGTCCTTCGAGTTTCTTCTTACGTTTGTTTTGTTTATCAGAACGCCATGGAACTTCAGTACCACTTTCTGGTCCATAATCTAAAAAAATTTGTTCAAGTTCGCCTAGAAGTGATACTGAAGAATATCGACATACAGTAATATGAGTAATAATCTTGATATGCATCGTACGTTTGTTGATAGGCAGCGGCGGCCGCTGCTGATGCAGCAGCAGCTGCAGCGCGGTTTTTTCGACTTTTTTTTGGTGCAGCACCATCAAGACTACGTGCACGATTTCGACTGCCTCCGCGTCCTGCACGTGAACTTCGATTTCCATGACCACCTTTTGATGTTGCTGCTTTTGTTGCTGTTGCTGGACGATTAGCACCGTTTTGAGCATCAGTGTTAGTTGAGTTTTCACCCTCACCATTAGTTTCTTGCTGTTCTAATGGAAGTGGCACCCATTTTTGTTTACCCTTCTTTTTTCGTGTTCGAGGTGTATTCGGTTGAGATGTTCCGTTTTCATTCGACACGGTCTGTTCATTTGTTGACACCGTTTGTTCTACAGTTGCTTCAGCGAGACTGGGCCAGTCTTTCGGCTATGGGAAGAGAGCATGTTGTATCATATCGCTTAAGGAGAATCAAATTGTTCTCACTTACTGGTAAAAGAGCAGTTTCTGGTGGTGTGTCTGTAGAAGTTTTGTTAGAGTTGGTCGCTGAGGATTGTTGCCAGGCTGAACAGCTGGTTGTAGTTGATGTTGCTGTTGCTGTTTCGTTTGGCATTACGCCTCGGATTATAGTTTTATTCTAAGAACAAAAAAGGGAGAGCTAGATCACCTGAACAATGTTGAAGGAAAAAAGAGAAAGATTTCATTTTGAAAGTCTTCTTTTCTGTCTAAACAGGAAATGACGCTAGAGAATTACGAAATTCCATCGCTTTTACGCAATTCTAAGGGATAAAGCGGATCGTCGTCATATATTGGCAGAGAAATTGTACACAACTAGAGACACGTGAGATTAACTTCTTAAGTTTTTTTCATTTTGTTTATTTACTATATGCGTAGGCATTTACATCAGGTGCGCATTTTATCTCGATTTGGATAAACTATGGATCATGATAGATGCATTTGATTGGACGAATCTTTTCACTGTTTGAACCAAAGAAAACGAATATCAATGAGAGAATGCAGACCTCACCGAGAAATACTCATTTCGTAATGGTGAGAAAATTATGAAAGTCGAAACTTCACAAGATTAGGAAAATAAAGAAGAACAAAAACACTTTTCATTTGACAATGATGTCGCTGTCGTCGAACGCACGACATATAAATTAAATGAGCAGTTGTTAAATGACACATTCACATCTTCATTAGTTTTTCCAGTACCGTCTACATTCACAGATGAGAACATCTATGATTCATTTGAAAGGCTTGCTGTTTGTAAGGGAACTTGTGTGCTGTTGGTCGAAGTCAAGAACATTCAGCAACGATTGCATTTATTATGCTAAGTCTACACTTGAGAATGAACTGCTTGAATAACGTAGTTGAGAGTGAAATCTTTCGATAGTATTTCTTTATTTAACTTCTTTTTATTGACTAAAGTATCTTACAAAAATAGTTCGAATTGTTCTCATCAAGTATGTTCGTTAACGATCGTTAGAGATGATTTGCCTTTTTTCTCAACATCGGCAAAAGTCACTAGACGTGTGCTTGATCTATTCGTTTGATACGGCTCTACAACACTAGTCTCTTCATCAATATCATTCAATTGCTGTCGTTCGAGTTTATTCGATAGAACAGCGGATAATTCGACCCGAGAGCAAACTGCTGGTGCGGTTTTGGCAAATGATGTTGCTACTGTTGACGGTAATGATGGCGGCGATGACGATGTGACTCGGCAACAACAAGGATAAAGCGCATAGAATTCTCGACGGAAACTACGATTGACATAATTATAAATAACAGGGTTGATCCAAGCCGGTAATGATGATATTAAATAGGCACAAATGAGATAAGAGTAGATAGTGACCAAATCTTCGCTTTTACCACCGCCTAATTGATCTACATAGATTTGTACGATGGTTAATGGTAACCATGAGATGGTAAAAACAACAGCTACACAAATGAGCAATTTCTTGCTTCGATGAAAGCGTCGTTCACTATGTGATTGACTTTTGACTGTTGGCATGAGTATGGTGCCAGCATTCGATGACGAACGAGAAGTTTGATCGTCTACAACAACCGAATCTTGATAGCTATCACGAGTTTGTGACTTGTTGCGAAAGCGTGATAATAGATGGGTCGATTTATGGCTAGTGGTCACAATTGTCACAGGTAATTCATCGCAACTAAATGACTCGTGTTCGGTCGGTTCATCGGTTTGTTCCTTTTGAGAATATTTTTTTCGTCGGATACTTCCCGAGGGGATCGTCGTTTTACTCACGCTACTCGTCGGACGATATGTCTGATACACACGCATCTGTTTCATTCGTCGTTTTAGAAACCGACTAATTGAATAACAACTAATCGAGACGAACAAGAAGGGAACCAAGTATTGGACAGTGATAACTAAGTAGGAAAATATGCGCGTACCTAAATTAGGCATCAATACGCAAAAGTAAACTATCATCGAACGGCATGATGGTTTATGGGTGTGCGTTTCTGATGAATTCGTTGATATGGTAGGATACTGTGATGCCGGCATTAGAACAATGTCTATACTACGAGAGATAAAGTCTGGCAAAGCAATTAAAATCGATACCGTCCATAGCAGAATCAGTATGATAATGGTACAGCGCCGATCGAACTTCCTCTTATTAACAATGAATAACCAACGTTCGACAGCGATGACAGCGACGGTAAATGTCGATATCAGCGCTGTTAATGTTGGAGTCGAATGAACGAATTTACAAAGAAATCCACCAGATATCCAATGTTCAAATACGGCAGATGATAATGTCATTGGAATTGATACACAAAGAACAATTAAATCATTTATACCTGGAGAAGAACAGCGTTTCCTTTCAAAACCTATTTTGTTCATTCACAGATTTAACTTACAAAGATTCATCAAGAATGTATTGGTAATTGAGCGCAGTTTCTTTTGTTGAAAGAATATCAAACACACACTAATATTTCCGAAGACGCCGAAACAGAACGGCACAGAATAAATGGCCCATATCAACAGGGTGATACGTGGCGAAAATCGTAATTTCACTGGAGCAAACAATTGACTTGAATCATTATCGTTCATACATTCCAATTCGGTGTTATTCGTCCAATTCGAAGCCATTGCTCGATGTAAATAAAAACACAATCTGAAAGAAAATCATACCACAGACTTGGATATTTATATAAATCTTATCTCATTAGATAGAAATGAGATAGGACTGAATAAATTAGCTTAGTTAATTCCTTACGCAAACATGAAGCACTCGCACACACAATCTCGATGAAATCTGTTCATTTAAATTTGATTCTTATCTAAAAATAATCTAGAAAAAAAACTCAAGAGCAAAAGAAACACACGTCACTCTGTTCAGTTAGGAAAAATCCTTCGGTAAATCCTGTTACTAGTTCTACTCGACTTCTATCATTGATAATAAATACTACCAGTAAAAAATTATGCTTCAAACTGGACATCTCTATAATTATCGTTGGTGGAAAACAGAAGTAGTTCGAGAAAACTAATGTAAAATTATTAGCTGTCAAGGAATGAAAATGAACACTAATGACAACTGACATTTCTAAACATACGTTCTTGTTCGATTAGATACTGACGATCTGTCATCAACTATGACTTGTTGTTCTAACTTGAATTCGATTGTGGTTCAAATCTCGTGGAAGAAAACAAAGAGAGAGAGAGAGAAAGAGAGAAACAACGACCAGGATGATAAATGACGAGCATCTTGCAGCTGTATGTGTACTAATAAGGCAGAACGTCTAAACTAGTCGAAAAATGACTTCATATTCTGTAGAGATCCTTCATGATTTAGTAGGAATAAAAAGAAACCTAGTTAATTATTTATTTCATCATCTGCTTTTATTAACTTATCGCAGCAAATGTTCGTCTATTTCATCGATTTCCATAATTCTAATTCTAGAAACGAGTCTAACGTCGCCAGACGGGTTCAAATGCGCTCTTTGTGATATATGTAAGCTCTAAATTCTTCCTTCTTTTTGTCGTTACTAAGTCTGGTAGGAACATGATTATCTCGTGATTTTGTCGACTTTTACAATGACTGTTCATTATTTATGCTCGGACGTGGGATACAATCTATTGAATGTTTTGTATTCTTCTTTCTCAAAAGATACAATATTATTTACTCGTGAAATTCTACCAGCGACTTCTTTCTTCGACGAGAGAAATGTAAGCAAAGGGAATTTGCCTGACGATCATCACCATCACGAAATTATACGATGTTTGATTAGAATACAAACGTTCGAATACCATGATGCATTGGAAGATGTCAATCGACAGATCATTATTAGGACAAACCAAATTAACACATCTGAAATGTATTTTTCTCCAAAGACTTCCAGCTTTTCACCAAATCAATTAATAATTCTCGGTTCGAAAAGGCTGCTGATAAAGATGTTCATACATTAGGCATTCTAAACACAAGTCTATCAAGAGAATATCTCTGAAAAAAAAAAGAAAGGAGCGTTCTTTGGTGTCAGACGAGCATATGAAGTATATGCATATATACATCTAACACTAATGTGTTTTCGACAATGATGAATTGTTATTTCGAAAATATGTGTTCGAGGGATAGAGAGAATAATGAGATGTTCTATTCTCATTTAGTAACGAAAGTTCGAGCGTGCTAAATACATTTTGACTAAAGCTAAAGAAAACTGCAAGACTGCTTCTCGATTCTCAAGCCCGGAGAATAAAGAGAGAAAAGTCTGCTATTTCTTTTTCTTCTGCTCCTTAATCATCAGACGCTGCGATAATCAATCATAATATATTTGATATGAGAAAAACAATTGCATTTGTGAAGATCTACATGCACAATAAATGGCAAGACAAACGTGTCTACCGTTTTCTTCCTCTCGTCTATTGTGTCTATGTAATTTAACCTTTTTCTTCCTTAGATTTTCAAGGAAATAGAAATACTTAATATATAATTTGGATTCTTAGCGGAAGAAACAGCGAACAAAAATAATAACATATGTACAGTATATTCAATTCCATTTGTAAATCATGGATCCTAAGAGAAAACAAAACGGAGCTGTTTTTATCATTATACGTAGGATAACATTCTCGAATGTTTACTTTCAAGACTAGACAGATTATACAAAACCTTTTCATACAAATTAGTTTTCTTTAAAAAGAAACATAATCGGTTGGCTTACCGAAAATATTTACTCTGCCTATTATCCATCATTAATAATAGAGCATAAACAACGACATCATGCTTAATACATCAGTTAACTGATGTTATCTGATCATAGAGGTAATATTATTCAAGATAACAAACATATTTACCATTCTTTCGTACAGATATACGACAATTATCAATGAAAATGCACAAGTCGAGCAAAATCGGTTTTCTCTCTCTATGAGTAAAGAAAGAAGATTTTTAAATTAATAAATAATTATGAATCTTTAGGATAAGTATACTAGTACTTAAACATGCCGTCGTGTGTGAAACAAATAGAAAATTCTTCTAATTATTTTCTCGACTTAATGAAATAGTAGATAAAGAAATTTTTGCTTACTTGATCACGATCTGTAGTTTAGTGCGTTTGTAAGCAACAAACCGAACCGACGCCTTCGTATGTAACATGAACAATGAATGTCATAACTAATCGGTTGTAAGATTACACATCCGACGAAACGATAGGAAGAAATATCAAAGTTCTTTTCTTGTTCTCTGTGCTTAAAATAGTTCTACCTTTTGATATCTTATTGATTCTATATAGATGATGCATCTTAAGTGTGTATTTATATGTGCATCTCATTATTTAATTAATAATCAAAAGGACCAAAATAGAAATCCAATTCTGACTAAACGCAACCTATCGAGTTGATTTCTTAGTCTAATGAAAATCGTGACTAAGTGTTATTTATCCGAAGCAAATATTCTCAAACTGTTATCAAAGTAGTATATTCTCCGCATTCATTTGAGATATGTTCGGTATGTTTAGTGTCGAGGAAATATTGACATCAGACAAAATAAGACGGGCATGTCGCAATGAAAGGTTAGATACAAAATGAAAAAGAAAAGAATTAGATATGCAAGAGAAATAACGCATTAATACACATGGAATCGATCCAAAAATGAAGAAAACTAGAAAAAGAAAATGCTAACGATGATTCGAAGAGAAAAAGAATATACTCCATACTCATTAACATATTCGTAGTACTTTAATTACGATCTGTGAGTGTGTTGTTGTGTTTTTTTTTCTAGTAAAGATAATATCATCTAACGATTATAGTTCTGTTTTTGAACTTAAATGAGTTACAACAGATTTATTTGAAATATTAATAACTGAATTGATTCAACTTCTCGAAAGAGACAAAGGTCAAATTTCTTTTCGGACAGAAATCAAATCGAATTTAGCCGAGCTTGATGTTAATATATCTAGACAATGCAGAACACACTTCTGGTTTGATTTACAAATGTCAATTCCACTAAACGCTGATTTTATATACGTCATTCAGCTGAAATCATCACTGGCGGACGAGTATATAATCAACATTAGCTTTGTTTAATTCGAAGGATAATGAACATTCTATATTCTGTTCGTTTTTTCATCATCATCTATCCAGCAGGTATGATTTTTCCGTCTCGGAAAACTCTCAGTATCCCCGTTTCTTACCGATAATCGTGGAAACAGACTGAATGTTCTGTAATTGTAAATTAATATCTACATGTCGAATATTCACCACGCAGACAATCGAATGAACTGATTATTAATCACAGAAAAGTCTAATAGTAGTCGTCGTTTTTCTGCTCCTGTAAAATCTACTGATATTGTCAATCAGTACTAACATGCGATGTTAAATATAGACTCGTTTCAGAGTACATCCAGGTGAATGGAGGAAGTTATTTTAAAGACTATCTAAAAGTATATATTTTTGGTTCAATTATATCCAGATGAACTAAAAAAGACCTTTTTTTCTGTGTGTATATAATTTTATTCATTCATTTGTGCCGAAATATGGTAGAGCAACAGAGCACATGCAACAGACGCATTCAATGATGAAATTTCACTTCTCTTATTCGCTTGAATGCATACATTGTAATGACATTCCTTCACGATTTCATCAGGAATACCTTCATGCTCATTACCGATTAAGATTAGAATTCGTTGGAGATTTTTTTCGGCTAAACGAGCTTTGATTTGATCTAAACGTAAAGTTCGTAATGGAATGGTTCCTTTATGTGTTCCGCAAACAAATGCAACATTGTGTTGTTCTTGCAATTGCTTTAAATATGTAGGTAAGTCACGGCAAGTGTAGATTGACATTAATTCCATTGCGCCTGAGCTCGCTTTGCTTGCAACTGGCGATGGTTGACATGTGCCACGGGTCAGAAGAATTCTATCGACGCCAAAGAAGTGTGCCGTACGAAGAATAGCACCTAGATTCATTGGATCATGAGTCTTAACCAAACATAAGTCGAGAAATATTCGATTCGAATCGGTTTTCATTTCTGCTTGATCGATATTTTCTACTGGCAAAGGTGAACAGTCAAGACATGCACCTTGATGTGGTCGATCGAACGCCAAACGATCCAGTGTCAATGTGTCGGTATATTGAATTGGTAGAGATATTTGTTTAGCTAGATGTTGAATATTTTCGATAATCGGACGATTTTCTTGTGAAGTTTTACTAAGGAATAATCGATAGAATTGACGACGTTTTGTTTTTAGTGCTAGTTCAATTGGATATAAACCGAAGAGACATTGTCCACGTAGTGAGAGCTTTAACAAGGATTGATCATTGGAATGAACGGGTTCGTTTGTGGAAACTTTTTTCAAACGTTCGCTCATTGGTTTAGTAAAATCAAGTTCGGGCAAACGTGTCTTCTTATGAAAATAACGAACAAAACAACTGCGAAGATACATCTAGAGAAAGGTTTTGCTTGTTTTGTCTTTTTTCAATCGTCACATTCCGTATCTAGCTAGATCGATTTTATTTGACTTTTTTATTAAGAAAAAGTGATGCAACAATAAATAAATCTCTAATCTTCATTTTAAAACAGAAAAACAAATGTAAAAAGTTAGTTGTGACTGCAGATTTAAATACATATCGTTTGTAACAGAGAAAGTTCATATGTACATCGATCAGTTTTACTGTTAAGAATCTAAACAAGAAGAAGAATAAAATTAGAATCATAGAAACTCAATACAATGCCGATTCTACCTGTTCGAACTCGAGGATATGGATGATCAAGTAGCGCTTTAGCTAAGGGCCGTTCATTTAGATCAGGTATCAAACATAATCCAATGAAATGGTATGCTTCATGATGTTCTTTGAGTTCATCAGGGATCGGCGGACCCTTTTTAGCTAGCAATTGATTTTGAATGTAAAGGCGTTCCTCTTGTGGACGAACAACATTAGCCCAAGGATGCTAAAATTCACTCGAATAAAACAATTCAACTGAAAAGTATTTCGCATTTACTTTGCCAGTAAGCATTTCGATTACTGTACAACCAAGTGCCCAGATATCAGACTGATAGACATATTCCGGTTCGGGTGGTTTGAAATCTACGAGATAGTAACGAGAAAAGTTATCGTCATCATCAAAAGTATGAAGAAATCTTACAAAGTGTTCCGAATTGTGTACTCCGAGAATCACTTACATCTCCCGATGGTGATTCTAATTCTAATCGATGAGATAAATTAAAATCCTAATGATAGACAAATGAGAATCGAATGCTTTTTGTTAATGTACAAAACTTACACCTAATTTAACAATGTAATGTCCGTTTTCATTCGCGATAAATATATTATCACCTTTGACGTCACAATGCACGATAAAATGTTCATGCAGAGCGAGTAATGCTTGTAAAAGTTGTTTAACAAAGCCTCGGACAAGTTCATAAACGTTCAAAGAAGGTGCTACATGAATATTATCGGTGTTGATTTCATCATCTTGATCACTTGAATCTGTCCACAGACCACTGATCGATTTTCGACTATGAGCACGATGTTGAAATGCTCGAATATCATTTAAAAACTCATTCACTGTCGATAGACAATATTCCATACAAATATAGATCGTTCTCTAAAACAACATTTCTCTAATTGTGCAAGAAGAACATCTTTCACTTTACCTTATATTTTTCTATACCGAAGTATCGAACAATATTTGGATGATTTATTGACATAATCATGTCGATTTCTTCCGCTATGCGTCGCAATTTCTCAGGATATGTGCTTGGCAATGAACGCGAAGCGATCGATGATAGTTGAATTTCTTTCATACAAACAATGGAACCATTTGAACTATTGATTGCACGAAATGCTACACCTGCACCACCTTGTCCAATTCGCGTACCACGCCGCCACGGAAAGGCAATATTACGAGTTTTCAAGGATATACCTGGATCTAATGTCGAACTCGATGTTGTAGTATTGTTACTATTGCTATTGAAAATTTGACCGATTTGCTTTCGTTCGCGAAGTTTTTGTTCGAGTTCGTTCTCGCGAGCTTTAATACTATTCTGAATGCGTTCCAGAGGAGTTATAGAAATAAACGGTAAGATTTCATTAGTACCACCACTACTATCAAAACGTCGATGTCCACCTAAACGCAAAAAAGAATCATTCCTTACAAACAGTCAAAGATCTTCTACGAACTCGCACTCGATCGATTGCGTGGACGACTTGACATCGTCGATGTTGATGAAACACTATTTGAACGTGCTAAGAAATAGAAATATTATAGAACGAAATCAAGATAAAGATAATTCGACACCAGTGAGAGCCCAATGAAAAGAAACACTCTTTAATCACAACTGACAAATGTCAAAGTTCAGATCGACTTCTAGAAAGATGAATATGCTATGCTTTTCATCGGAAACTTGACATTTATATCAACAAATAAATCAGATTAGCCGAAAGCTTTTGTTCTTACCAAAACTGAAACTTCGATCGAAATAATCGTTAAAAAAACCGATATCTGTTCACGTAAAGAAAATACCGAATTGATCTTTAGTTTTCTCATGTCGATAATCTCGAAAATAAACTCGAATTTACCTTTAATTACTGGTGAATCGCGATTATTCAACGTACTTCCACGTAGAGCCTTCAACGCTACGGGCATTTCCGTCATCAAATTCGAATATTCATTTTCGGTTAACAATTGTAAATGTGGTGATTTTGCGAGAAATCCCAAAAAGATCATTCCGGGTGAAAACCATCTGGGTCTGTATGATAAAATCAATGAAAATTTTTATTTCTTTACTCGTTTCCATACCTCAAAACTTTATACTTTGCTGTTCGTGCTTGTTGAATAGATGCATATTTGAACTTCTTTGTTACACATTTACACCATTCGCAAAAGAATTCGTTCATTGTGCTCACAAATTTCTTTAAGATTTTATCATCATTGATCGATATTGGTGGTAACAGTTCGTATAGAAGACGAAATAACTCAAAGCCTGAATTGTAAACATAGAGAACCAGATCGAGCAGTTTCGACTCGATGGTACGTAGTTGTCGTTCATCAAATTTGACGATGTCAGTGAGAAAGATTTTGATTGAATCCTGATCCCAAATTGTATTCAATGTTCGTACGAGGTCTGTCAATTGGTTGCTTAATCGATCGATCTGTTCCTGAAAACAAAACTCTTGTCAATAAGTGAATTGGAAACGGAATGCAAATACGAACAGGTAATTGATCAAATGTCAAACGAATATCTTCATCTCGTGCTAGTTTCTTAATCAACTGAATATTGTTATTCGTTGATCCCGTATGATATTGAAATAGATCCGTTGCTTGTTTCCAATGATCGGATCGCGTCACGACCAAATGTAAACATGGCAGTTCAGTTGAATTCAATGCTAACTGTGTACTTTCACTTGCACGAATGAATATAACATTACCGATCCAGGAGATGTTTTGTAAATATTGATTTCGTTTCGGTATGAAGATCATAAATGCCGGATTCGGATTCGAATTTGATGCTTTCATCTCATCTGTTGATAATTGTTGACTACAGATAATATAGAGGAGTTTCTCCACTTGATTCTTATCGTTTGATAACCAGGGAGGAACGAATAGATAGAAACTATCGAAGTCATTGGAATTCTGGAAGAAGAAAAGCAATTGACAGTGTCATTTTGATAGACAAAATGCTAAAATTGTACATACGCTAGAATCTAAATGAAGTTTGACTTGTGAATAATTGTTTCTCTCCAGATCATGCCAGAGATCAACACAATTATAGCATTTAAATTCTGCTGCAATTGAAAAATCCTTGAGCAAAGAATGAAACTAAATGCAAACAGTCCTAGTAAATGGTATCAACTTACATTGATCAGAGTTTTTGCTAATGAGCATATGCGTATGGTTCGTTGTTTTATTTTATCAAAACTTCGACGGAATTCCCTTGTACTAAATATGATTTCACATCTAAATCACGAAAAGAATAGCATTCGACAATACTATTCGATCTGAGTTACGTTACTTTTTCTGTTCAGAAAGCGATGCTGATGCATCACAGATAGACAATTCGCTTAAAGAGAAATCTGGTGGAACACTCTGCGATGAATGAAAATATGGTGGTTTTGTCGATTCTGACATGACGCTAAAAAGAAAGATACTATAAACCGTTGATGCTTGTTCTGGTGAACATACTCTGCAGAATAAATTCCATCACTTGCACTTGATGTATTTGTTGTATCAGCTGCAAATACTTGATAATAATTTTCTGTTGTTTCATTCAATTCTTCTTTTAATTGTGCTAAGATTCCTCGGACCAGATCACTGAAAACAAAACAAAAAAAGAAATAAATGCGCTATTGGGAAACTTGCAATGACGTACTTAAATTGAGAACCAAGAGCATGAATAAGCTCTCGATTGCCTAAGGTTAATGTTAAATCTCGTGCAAAATAATATTCTTTGATCAGTTCGGATGTCTCCTCATCAACATAATAGTACAATTCCCGATCTGTATCGTTGATTGCTATCGGATTAGTATCATCATGGATATCATACGTTCGATTGATAGAAACGGTACTTAAAAATTGTTTATAATGCTATAGCAAAAAGAAGAAAATAAGTAAACTTGAGAATCATTGAAATAAAGTCTTAACCATGTATAGATTCACAATTTTTTCGTCAAAATCTGCTAATTCATCAGCTATCTGACGATTGGAAATAAATTGTTCCATCATACGAACACTATACAAACGAGTAGCCAATGCATCCCTAAATAAATTCATTTTCTACAATGCATTATCAATGTGATGTGTCCATCATGTTTACCTTAGTACCAATTTTGCTTCTCGAACAAGCTGAAAGACAAAGAACAACTTTATTACAGATCAAACAATTTCTTTTGTTTACTTGTTGACGACAAAGTGCATCTATTTCAATGATATCATTATTCATATATGGTTTCATGTAAAGACTCAGACATTCATTCATAACATCGAGTAGAACGTTGACAATGAAGAAATACAATGGTAATAGTGACGGTAAACCTAGCTGTTCATGTATTTCCAGCCAATTATGCTTTAATATATCTTCAGTATGTGAACAAATTGTTTTTATAGTTGAACACGATTCTAAAACATGATGTAACCATTTCTCGATCGTTAATTCACCAATGTTCAAGTTCGTTGTCGTATCGTCTTTCACTGGGTTGTCCGTGTCGACTAGTTTATCATCAATATCATCATTATTTGCATTAGTTTTGGAACTCGCTTGATTCTTATCTGTTGATTGAAAATCACATAGAGATAAGCCGGCAAGAACTTGTTCGACTTTGATATCACGTCGATTACTTGTTTGTAATAGTGCTAAACGGGTTTTAACTAACACAGGTGCCACACGTTCGATTAGTGTACGAGCTAAACCATCGTATTTTACTTGGTACGAACGTTTGTCCATGTAATAAACAAAATTTCTACAAAAGATATTCACATGTTCGTCTTAGTGGTCGAGATTTGTTCGTGTTTACCGATAGCATTTGGTTCGATCGATTTTCTGTGGAGTCGGATCCACATTCGTCTGTTGTGAATCATCCGATACTAATGAAAACAAGAGATAACTTGTGAACTCTGATTTTCTCTCTCGTTAAAATTACTTTTAAGACTTGAAAATTGATCGTACGCATCGTCCGGCCAAATATTCTTTGAAAACGAATCAAAATAAACATTGCACAAGAATGCATTTATTTGGTCTTACTTTTGGCATCGCATCAATTTCATCTCCGCTCTCGGTCTTTCCGATTCCACTTTCCATGTGTTCGGATTCATTATCTATGTCACTTTCTTCAGTTGCTTTCATATCTTCTTCGTCATCAGTACCGTCGTCTTCACTTGTCGTATAGTAATCACTTTCATCGGCTCTTTTGGCCTTTCGTTCACGTTCTGTTGCCAACGAACGAAAGTGCAATTTTGGCCAATCATCACAATCATCACAACGTAATAAACCACTTAGTTTCTTCACCGATATCGTTAATTCATAGTAAAGATTGTACCAGACAAACATCGCATCAAGTCGACTGTGAAAAACCGAAAGTAAATCATTCGTATGGCCACTGTCGACATGTTTTAAACAGTAGAGGATGTATTGTTTATCAGCAATATCGTATAGTTTTTGTGTTAAATCCTTTTCTGTTTGTTCACAATCAAGAATATATTCGTCAGTTAGGGTACGGAAGAAGCGTAGTGGGTGCTCTTTGAATGACTCCACATTATTGTTGAATTCTGTTAGTTTCAAATTAGATAGAGAAGAATTTAGCAGAGTATCATCGATTGTCGAAAGATCATCTTTAGTTTCATTTGATAAACGAACAGGCTTAGATAAATCTCGAATACTTTGAATTAAGAACTGATAATGATGTGAGCGATTGAGATTATACGTTGTTATCGAATCAATAAATGCTTTTGTTTCGACTCGCGAACAACGTTGATTCATTGGATTTCTTAATGATAATTCACTTAAACGTGTGTAAAGATAATCGCGAATACACGAATTTTGCGATGGATATTGTATGCTTGCATTGCACGAGTGTTTTAAAAGTAAATCATTAATCATTGCTAAATGTTCTTCAAGAATGGCTTTGATGTCACGAACTAAAGGACCTGTTTGTTGTTGAGTGGTTTGTGAAGTTGTTGACTGCTCATCAAGTATATTTATATTCGACTTTGAAAAGGAATTCTTACGATCTCGATGAACGGTAGCGCGACCATTTAGATTTCGGCGATGCTGACCAGTTCGTCTTCGCTGAGATTGATTAGTGTTCAACGAAGGTGTATTGCGTTGCAAGTGAAGAGAAGAATTAAGTGATGTTGTGCCCGGATTTGGATTTGAAGATGGTGCTTTGGTATTGATTAAAGATGGATTGAGACTAGAATCTGAATGAATACTACGTATAGAAGAATAACTTTGAGTTAGAGGATCAACAGAAGATGTTAACGCCTGTGAGGATGAAGGTGAATGAGGACGATGTGAGTTGATAGGTAATGAATGTACTTGATTTGAGTTTTCATTCGAACTTGAGAACAATTGGGGCGAAACTTTCGAAGTGATTGTCAGCTCTGATTCTGCATGCGGAGTGACGGCTGTTGTATTAGTTGATCTCATAGACGAACGAGCCTAACGAAAAAGAAAAGAAAAGGAAATCCGCATGACCGATTTTCTAAATAACATACGGATACTAGCACTTGAGCTGGCTTTCGACGTGTTGGATTCAATCGTGGATGAATGGGTGGTCGTTTCTCCAATAACCATGCTAATTGACGCAGGACATCTAATCTTTGATCGTATGGTGTTCGTGGTTTTTTTCCAACTTTATTCAAAACATCAAGTTTTTTGTACATGTTGTTGACTCTATCTTCACTCGACGATGTCGGTAAACTTTCTGTACTCGCAGTTTGCGTTGATCTCGACGAGGCCGAACTGGGACGCTTCGGCTGTAAATGCAATAAGTTCTTTTCGGTTTTTGTTCTAGTTCCTTGCTGTTGTTGCTCCTCCTCTTCTTCCTCGTTGATGCTTGCTGTATGGGGTAGTTCAGATATGCTCGTTCGTAAATTTGATGATTCAATACCACTTTGGCCAGACGCGTCGGACACATTCGACGTTTGTTGATCCGATGAAATCATCGATGTAGATGATGGTATGGCTAAAAACTGTGAATCTACTGGCATGTGCCTCGTCAAATTCGCATGATGCAGGGACAAAGGTGAACTGATCGCTGATGTGGAGAGAAAAACATTATCAGAATAGCATGACGATTGATTTGTTCTATGACTTAGAAATGATTGAATTCCAGACGGCATTGACGACGAAGTAAAGTACTGTTTTTGATTAACCCGAGGATGCACTAACACTGGTTTATGTGATACCGAACGTTGATAAGACACAGGTTTGTTTTTGTTTGTATTCCAAGAATTATTTCGACGTCGTTGAACATGCAATGATTTACGGCGAGGATCGAATGAAACAGACGCGTGAAAAGAAACATTTGACGAGAATTTCCTTTCTTCTCCAGTCGACGAACGTTTATTTGATAGAGATGTATTTTCTGATAGAGGTGGTTTTTCTGATTTTTTATCGATTTCAGAATCTTCAGATTCTGGCACAGGTAAGAACTGTGCCGTAATATCGTCTTCGTTTTCTTCCGAAATGAATTGATTCTGTTCGTCGTCTACATTTGAATATTGATGTTGATCAACAGTTGGAAATGAAAAGCTTCGTTGAATATCCATGGTAGTGGATAAATTATATGATACTGTCGATGACATTGTGTCTGAGAAGACCGCCGTTTGTGCTTGTTGCGACTGTGTTTGATCACATAAGGTCGAAACAGTCGAATTCCGTCGACTACGTGTTGATATTTGTTCCAGCATGGATACAGGTAACGATGGCGAACGTTCAATCGGAGAAGAGACAATTTCAGCTGTTGTTGATTGTACCCATGCTGCAACTGCGCGTTCGTCCATGTGAACATTTGCTGACATTTTTGGTAAATTAAGTTGATCTGAAGACTTCTCGGATGGTGAGGTATAACGATCATTTGATTCTGAACGTGTTCTCTGAATGTTTGTTGTGTCAAGTATATTTTCTTCATTATCATCAACAGGTTTAAATGAAGTAATAGATGTCATGATCGAAGGAGGATTAATTTGTATGGTCGATGATGATTCATCTTTCTTCGATGGAGTATCATCACTATTATTAATAGTCGAGTCCATCTAAAGTAATCATGTGATGTGTTCAGTTTTGTTTTCTGTTTCAGAGAAAGAAAAATGACTAATCCCGGTACTGAAATTCTTATAAATAAATGTTTTCTTTCAGTTTTTCACGAAACGAACAAAAAATGTAAATAATGTAAAATAGAGAAAACAAAACAAAACAAAACAAAATAATGTTCTTCTTATGTTCTTGTCCGGAATATGAAATAACGCTGTTTATGGTTTGCATCGACCAATAAATCGTGGATAGAAACAAACATCACGAATATGATGACGGTTTGTCAACCATGTCATAAAACGATCAAGACCAAGACCGTAGCCGCCATGAGGAAATGTACCATACTTGCGCTAAATAATGAAAAATACATGTTTCCAATGTTCACCTGCACTGTATATATAATAACTTACTTGATCCAAATACCAATAATATGGATCTGTGTTAAGGCCATTCTTTCGGAAACTATCAGATAAATCTTCGAAGTTTGTCATCCTCATGCTACCACCAACAATTTCACCGACACCGGGCATCAAAACATCGACCTACCGTGTTGAAAAAGGAATAAAAAAACAAGGATAGTCCACTAAATGAAGAATTACCGATTCTGTTAATCGATTATCTTTGGCATCCCGTTGCATGTAAAATGCTTTGATTTCTGCTGGAAAACGACAGAACAAAATCGGTTCGTTGATTGTATCGGTCATTTTTCTTTCAGGCATTTCCGGTATGTCTTCGCCGAATTCATAAAACTGACCATTGTCTTCGTTTTTAACACCGTTGGCTTTTAGCCATTCAATACCTTCGCTATAGTTCATACGTTTGAATGGTTTTTTCGGCGCTTTAAATTCCTGGAAAACAGAACAAATAAAATTTTATTTGTGTGGAATGTCTATGAGATTCGTTCTCGTACTGGATTGACTTCGAACAAGAGATGAGCCTCCGGATGTTTCAAGACACGATCAACAACATCAACAACAAGATCTTCAATACGATCAAGTAAATCTTCGAATGAAATAAACGGACATTCAGCTTCAACGTGCGTATATCTACAAATAACTTGTTCGTGAACATAATACATCTCTCTTTTCAATATTCTTACTCAGCTAAATGACGACGTGTACGAGATTGTTCAGCTCGATACGATTGAGCAATGCAAAAGACATCTCCTAAGGCTGGACATGCTGTTTCGAGATAAAGCTGTGACGATTGTGTTAAGTATGCTGGCTCGCCGAAATAGTTAAGACCGAAAAGAGTTGAGCCGCCTTCAACTTGAGTTTGCACAAGAGTTGGTGGAAATGTTTCGTAATAGCCTCGATCAAAGTAATGATCACGGAAGCATTGAGTAACAATGGAACGGAGACGTAAAATTTTCGATGTCTAAATAACATGATTCTTCACATTATTATCCGATAGACGAACGAAACACGCCGATCAACTCACGTTTTCGCCTCGAATCAACATATGTCGGTTGTCCAATTGCACGTCCGGATGAGAATCCTAGTTTATCACAAGAAAAGGGACGTTCGAGATACGACTATTTGAGCAATCATTTCAACAAACTTCGTTAAGTAATGTATCAGCACCACCTGGTGGCGAATGTCCAACAACTTGAAAGAAATCGGCGGTCAGTTCTTGACCACCCGGTGCAGTTTGTCCTTCAGGCACAGGACGTACGACACCGGTTACAGATATAGTTGCTTCAGTTGCTAAGATAACTGCATCATAGTTTTGACACTGGTAAAAAAGACAATAATCATCAGAGAATGTCAATGATTCTCGCTAGGACTTACAAGTTTATCGGAAAAAACACATTGTAGGAAGCCGGTACCATCTCGTAAGACAACGAACATCAAATTTTTGCCTAGAAGATAGAGAAATTCTCTAGGTCGATGATGATAGGCGCTCAGTTAGCAAACCTTGTCGTCGAATACGATGAACCCAACCAAAAACTTTCACATGTTCTTCATGATGTTCTTTCAATCCTTTGATTTTAAGCTAAATATCATTGAGATAGAGAAATCCTTGTGTAAAATTACATTACACATACCACTGTGGCTTTTGGTAATGATGTATCTTCAGAAATGACTATTTTTCGAGCTTCTTCGAGATTTTTTTCTCGTTGTTCTCGATCTTTTTCCTACATAATTTCATATTTCGCATATATGATCCGTTGATTCTTGTTAAAACTTACATCTCGTTCTGCTTTTGCTTTTTCCTTTTTGAGTTCTTCTTCATAACGTGTTTTAACCTTTTTCGATTGAGCTTTCGATAATAGTTCCCATTTGCCCTAGCATGCGAATATTTTAATATAATTCAATAGTGACAGATGAGTCATACTTGTGTTTCATCTTTAGCATCAACATAGACTGTCACACTATCTCCATGTTTACGATATGCCTAAGAAACGAGAGCTAATGCATAAACAAAATCTTGTTTTTTTTTAATCGAAAGAGAAACAAACTTGTAATGGCGTTTTGAATGGTTTACTTTCCGTACCATCTCCATTTTCATCGCTACCGTGTTTTTCAGATGTGTAAGCGATTAGTCCTTCTATATTGGATATTCAATATAAATCTAGTGACGAATGTCTAAGTTGGACTTACTAATGGAACATTCACCGAGTTTTTCTGTTGTTTCGTCTACCGAAGTTGCCATCTAGTGATAAAAGATAAAGACTATTTCAAATCTGTCGGAAGTCACTCAATCAACTGGTATAAATAGGTACTATCATTGCATCATCCTCGTCTCTTTTCATCATTCAAGCTCTAAAGAAAAAAAAGCAGGAAGAAACTACTATGGCGGTGTATTGCATACAATTACGTATGAATGTAGATTTCTGAGAGGCACAAAAACATTGTCGACTACAGCGACCTCCAAACAAATAAGCCCGAACGATGATTGGCTTATGTAAATGTAGTTGAATCGCATACTGTGCTATGAAAGATACATACTAGAAGAGAGAGAAAATAGGATGATTTGAAGAAGTGAAGAAGAATCAAAAAAATAAAAATAGGTCAGACATTTTACATACATCATACTAGGAAAAAACCATATAGTGAATTGCAAAGAATAAATCAATTATCCGCCTTTCGCATTCAGTTCTTCTTACCATCGGTTTGATTGTGTAGAAACCATCCCTGTGACGAACACTAAAAAATATTGTTGATAAGGAATTTGTCGACGATGATTATTCTTGTAGTGAAATGAACCGAGAGTGATTTGTGACTGTTAGGAAGGTTTTAATTCAGCGACTTGAGTGATTCTTGTAGAAGTCAATGTCCATAACATTCATCGATAGAAACGGATCGTTATTGTCGCTATGCAAGAAAAGTCAACGATGAGAGTAGAAAGAATGAATGGAAACAATTTCAGTAAAATCAATGTTAAACAAGAATACACTAACGTTTCTCTTCCTATTCTGATTTCATTGTACTATATCCAATGTTTGTCAGTAAATTAGCAGAAATTAGGTGATAGAAGTAATAGCTATCGACAGACGACGAACAAATATAAATCACATTTGTAATCCTTTCATCTACATGAGTTGTCCAATTCAAATTATAATACAAATACACATTCAGCTATTTGATAACACTTCGAGAATAAATGGCAATACTTGAACTAGATTGTTTCTATAAAACAATAATATATCATCTTTGATACATAGGTAAATATAACTCACGTAGTGTATATTCTTATTAAATAGTTCTATTCCCACTTTCTATGAATTTTATTTACTAAAAATAAAAGCTAAATCTTTACCTACCGACAATTATGTCTATAATTACTTTTACAAAATCGTCACTTATATTCGAAGTTAGTTACTCGAAAAAACGCTTTCAATAAATGTAATTATAATCGAACATGAAGTCATTTTCTGAGTGGTTCAAATTTTCCAAAAGAAGTGAACCAATAGCATGTGGTTAGCGTGTTTGATTCAATTCAGCGAACTTCGAATAAATGCCAACAATATCATTCTGAAGCAAAGATATTCTGAATCTGTCGACATGAAGGAGATGATTAATTGGCGTCAATTATATAATGAATCTCAGATGATTCGACCTGAAGATAAGGAAGTTTTAACAGAAGTGATTAAATTTTTGAAAAACGAAAAAGATTCTTCTATTGAACTCGAACTTTTCATTAGCGTATTTGTCGATTGGTAAGTATTTATAAAAATGATATGATGGAACAAGATCTCCATCGGTATGTTCAACGTCTATCGACAATATTTCGTTGCTGTCAAATGTGTTCACCAAAAAGCTATGTGAGAACATTTTTTTCCCGAAAATATCTGCTGTTACACAGGATATTTCTAGACAAATTATCGATGGATTGATACACAGATCGCAGGGACAAAAAAATTATACGATCTTCGTTTATCAGGGTAATAAACATTCGATTTCGTTATCGATTCATGTAAAGATTCTTTAGACAATCGGTGTCTCCCTTGGTATACTATTGGTATAAAACCATCGTTAAACCGTGTGATGAACGTGGCCAAGTATCTGATTTGTAAGTGAAAAACTTATAGTACATAAAATCGATCTTATTGTCTGAAGATGTGAATATTTTTAGCAAGCAGGGTGATGAACAGTCGGATTTGTCGATCTCATTGCTATCGAATATGAATGAAAATGTGGTAGTAAAAACTCGTTTTTGGAAATCAATTTTTCCGACCTTTCTCCATGATTTGATAATGAAGTAAGAATTCTCTTAGAAAAGACATGAAATAAACATGTCTATTCAAGATTTCAAATGTATTACACATACCGAAAGATTCGAAGTCTCTCATCATCAATTGAAGTTCATAATCAGCCAATGAAAACATTTCGATATTTGTTTCAAGTAATTGATTTTTCTGTTCAACTTTAGTCAATATTCTCTTCTCTCTTCATAGACAAACATTGCTCCAATTTTCGTATGCTTTATCTATAACGAGAACAGTTTTCGTGAGATATTTTGGATGTTTCGTCATTTGATAACAGTATTCAATTGGCCAACGGCAACGAAGATATTTGCTAGTCATTCATTCCAAACAAGTTCAAGATTCGAACGAATGATAATGAATCATTTAGGATTCGTTGATTTATCAGGTTTGAACATGAATCGAATAGATCTGTATTGTGTAAGTACGGATGATTTGTCAATAGTTAATTGAATTCATATAATCTATTTAGTACATTTGTCGATGTTTGAAAACATGCCAACAAAATGGACCAATAATCTTGCTTTTGGATTATTCAACAATTTTCCAACGAAATTCTTCAGATTTCTATCTTATATCTTTTCTATGTGATTTAATTCGATTTGGTAGAGTATTTACAATCTGTTCTCGTTACTTGTGATCGAACTGAATTTTTCAGATTTATCAATTCCTGATATGTTATTCATTCCTACACGTTTGCATCGATCAAATCTATCATTCAGCCAACCATTCCTATTCAAAGTAAAACTGAAATTGCGTTTAATGAAATGATCAATCGATATCGAATCCCTAGGAGTTAGTCGAATCGATTGTAAAGAAGATGAACATTCACAAGCAGTTCTACGAATTGATTAAATGCAAAGACGAGGTTGTTTCTCGATTTCTCGATTGTATTCTTTTACATTTGGCTTATGGTATGTAACAACGTCTCTCTCATGGGCATCGATCGTATCATCAGTCAAGTAATTTGCTGCTTCAGATACAAATCAACTGGTGACGACAAATCTCGAATTTGATCATGCTATTACCTGCATTGAACTTTGTCAATTAACAAACAATCCCGTTCGTCTAGTTCGATTGTATCTTTCCGAATATTCTTCTTGTTTTTGTCTAGTTATCAATCGATGCAATGTACAACACACTTCAAATAGCGTTGAAAACATGTTCATTTATCAGTACTGACAACCATCGATGGAATGAAATAACTGTCAAGAATATGAAAAAATATCAACTGTTGAATAAGAAATCGAAATCGAACTTGTTTTCTGTGATACTTCGAGAGTATTTTCTTGATATTTTAGCAGGTGATTCATTATTGAACTGAATCATATCGAACTACTTTATTTTTCATTTGATAAGCTTTATCGATTCTATCAAAAGTTCAACATGTTGGTACTCAATCACGTGTGCTGGAAATAGAAATGTCAAATCAGTTGACTTTTCTTCTGTTTACATTTGGTACTAAACAAAATCTGAACATTCGGCCATGTTTGAATCTATATCAGATAATTCAACAGATAATTCAACTGTGTCAAACAAGAAAATATATTCTAACGGTCAGCATTCATTTTTTTAAAAATCTTTATCGTTTAATGAAAATATATACATAAACTATGATGTAGGATTGTCTTCCACAAAAACCAATGCATTTTCATGAAACTATATTATCAGATCATGAATGGAGTGAAGATGAGGAAAATGATCTAATGGGAGAAGAATTTGTTGATTATGATGAAGATGACGATGAAATTATAATCAATGATTTACCGAATAGAGTTTCCGATACCGTCAAACCAATGCATCGAGTAAGAAAGGTCGTGAGCGAAAGGATTATCTACGAAATCATTTTTTTTTCAGATTTGTTTCCATGAAAATGAATTTCAATTGAGATTCTTCGCTAAATTAATTGGTCCTACAATTAAAGCAATTGTTTATATCCTGAAATATCACATTGAGAATCAATTCGAAACATTTACATTACAACTTCCTTCATTGTATGATTTTGGTAAAGTAAAATCTAATTTAGATCCATTTCTCATGTAAAACTTTCTCTCCTAGGCGAACTATTCGATCTGAACTTGAACGAAGTACTTCTGTATATTCGTCGAGCTTATGCATGTCGCCTAGCAGAACATTTGAATCTATCTGATGAAGTCTTAATGATTTTTCAACCAATGGACGAGAAGATATATCCATTATCCATGGACATTCTTGTGATGATTTACGGTGAATTTGTTAAACTACTATCTTGTTGTGATATGGAATAAAAGCGATGTTTTCCTAAGCTTTGCAATCATGAAATATCAACAAAAATCACCTTTCTATGGGAACATTTCAAATCGTATGAGATGAGTCTTCAGCAAACGAAAATAGTTCGTTAATTATGACGAATAATTGCTGATAACGTTGACAAGATGTCATGCTTTTTCATATTCTCTATCTATCATTCGATATCTGTCTATTGTCATCCTATAATTTACTTTTCATTTAACCATTAAATCGTTTCGTTGAGTGCACATCGATCACACTCGAGTCTCATTTTCGAATCGGTGTCTACACGCTTGTCATATCTCTGATATGTATGTTGATCAACTGTGTTCGTTTCATTCTTTCTTTTGTCAATTCGCTCCGCTTCATTGAATTCGTTGAATCGATGAGAAAGAGAGAGAGACAAAAAAAAAGAACGAATGAAACGGAGCAGATGTGAAACATTCGAACATTCGAACAGGTTAAGAACAGACTGATGATACACATACACATCGTTTTAATCACCACTCTCGAGGAGAATCGAACTTGGAAACAAAAGTATTTGAATATGTTCATTCTCTTCTAAGTGGCCGTTGAGCGATGACAATCTCGTCGATATTTATTTGATTTTATTTCAGTTTTTAAATACTACTTTAAAAACTTACATACGCAGATGAATTACTACTATGTGGAATGTGCGAATTATTTACTTGATGAATATCCAAATCGTACTGCGGTGAAACATTCAATGTTAACGACGGTTGTTGTAAATGGATTAGAAAATCTTTTTTTCTCGGTTGTTTTGGAGATAAACAAATTAATCTTTGAAATTCTTTTCGAAATATTGGTCCCGTTAATGTATAAACATAGAAATGTGATGCATGATTGATTTGATGTATCAGGATAAGCATTGTCGCGCATGTCAGGATTTGGCAGGAGTAGATGTTTTGAAAATTCGAACTCAGATGTGGACGAATGAAATCATTGATTTCCGACGGTAAGGATAGAAGTATGAATAAAATCGATGTTGATAGTAGAAACCAGGTTAACTGACGATCTTTTTCACGTCGTCGACGACTTTTTCGTTTCGATGAAATTTTAGCCATCGAGAAGTGTATTCGTCGGGTGTACTTGATGATAATAAATATATTACAGATAAATATAATGAGAAAGGGTAAAAGAACAGTTTTAATAATGTCGATGTATGAATCATAATAATTAGTGTAGAATGAACTGTAGGTGGTGTTCATTAGCAAACATGACCCGGTTTCATCGACATGAAAACCGATCAGGATGTGACTGTTAATTAAACTAAATACGAGAACAACTATTAAGACAGTCAGCTTTGCTGTTGATTTTCGACAGAACCGAAAACGCACGGAATAGTTTGATACGAGAATACAACGATCAATGGCGGCCAATGTTAGAAGGTAATTTGAAATATCCGTTGATGCATAAATAAGAAAAATAATTAATTTACACATCAATGGATATGACAATAATTGAATATTGAAACCATAAGAAAGAAGAGTTTCAATCGTATAGCCAAGTAACACATGAACGTCGCTGACACTTAAGGCTAAAAAGTAGATAGAACACGAACGAGAACGTAGTGTTTTGCGACTAAAAACTAAGATTGACAGGAAATTCCCAAGTAAACCAAATACAACGACAGATGTGCCAGCATAACGAAGAAATAACGAAACGTTGAACGTACACGACGCGGTGGAATTGTTTGAACTGTTTCTTTCTGTGTACATGATGAATTTGAAATGATCTACAATGGAGAAGCCCACCGTGTAATACGAGAGCAAGAATAGGAAAACAAATTCATTAATTCAGTTTATGATGTTATGTCGAATGTACCAGTGTTATGAAAATCGCTCGATCACTATGCTAATAAATGTTATTATTGTCAAACATATCGGTGAGAAGAAATGTAATAGAGTACAGCAAATATATATAGATATATGTATACTAGAATGCGAAAGCTCCCAGCATAAGGATGTGTTTTTCATAATCCAGATGTGAAACGATTCAATGAACTAAACTAATAATACCTCTTACCTTAAAAAAATTGAATTCTACAGTCCCGATAACTTGTAGATGTACTCGCGAGATAGAATACTCTGAGGAGACATCGACAGAAATTAATCAATACAGAAAAACTTTCTATTTTTAACTGCTTGTACGACGATCGCATAAGATTTAAAGCCGATAGATACTAACGACTGGGAACTTTTCCGGATGCTCTTTCCTCACCGTGAGACTAGAAAAACCTCGGTAAGACGAACTAATCTATTACGGTTGATTACCATATGGCATTATATATTAACATGCAGCCTGCAATAGTTTCCATTATTCCGATTCCGTGTTCTGGAACACTGCTTCGAATTTCTATAAGTTGAATCACCCTATTTTATTGATCGAAGTCAAATGAATGGAATAGTGCTGAGTAATTTATTAGATAAGAAGTCTTACGAATAACAATAGTCACTTACCGGACGTAATTTTCTTCTATGTTCGAGGCTTTTAGAAGATTTGCACATCGTCCAGGACCACGACGAAGTAGTGACTAAAACCGTGCGTGTCATTGGTATCCTATCCACAGCTGATGAATAAGCAAAAAAACCTCCTGATAATTAAAAAAATAGGAAATTTGATAACTGAATATTTCGACTTGGTTGGCTATGCTAGAAAACTACAATCTATCTGTACTTCCATGTCATCATGTTTTCTAATAAAGGCCAACTATTACAAAAAAATGACTTAGATTATATAGAGGACAGATTAATAAAAATTGGGGAAGATTTTCAACCTATTTACTTTTAATCTATCGTAGGAGAGTTTCCTGACTTCTGAACGATAAAACACAACTAAGCAGAAAATCATCTGTTATTTGAATAAATATTCAAGTCTGTGAGTTATGGTATGTCTTGTTCCCTTAAAATACATCCTTTCGTCAACATTGAAGGAACAAATAGCAGATGTTATCGAGGAAACATCTATATATTCGTGTTGTCGTAGGTGAATCATCTCTACGCGACTTCCGGTATGGAAAGAACGGAATAGCATATTACAATTAAACGTTTTTTCGAGCTCGTGTCACACTAGTGCGTATTAATAAAAAAAACCACTAATACTAAAGGCACGTTTTAAGGTTTTTCTGAAAGTATGAAAAGTGAGAAAAGTTCTACATGAAAGAAAAATGTCCTAATCAAAGCTTCTTCTTCTCCTAGTATGCATAATAGTTGAAAGTAAAATATCGTGATGTATACCGAGACTTCTACAATTGTTTTGCATACATATGCATGATCTTGTTCTGACTAGTGCTCGGAAAAGTGTTTATCTATGAAAATACAAAAACGACACTCATAGATGGATCTCTCTGTATTGAGACGATATGTTCAAATCGTAAACTAATCGAATATTTTTATTCGTTCAATGCTATCCGTCTTGAAGGTTCTGGCATTTACTATCAAAATGTCTCAAGAAGCAAATTAAACCTCTTCTCGTAATTCAATATGAATACGTCATGCCTGATAAAAAGCATTGAGTGTCACTTCATTGTTTTCTCGTTCATTTAAGAAGTAGTTAACTCACTGTAAGAGAAAACTAAATAAAAATATGTTAACAGAGAACGATTGTCGCTGTTCAATAGAATAAATCTATAATTAAGTATTTTACCGTTAGAATTCAGTCACGAACAAAAGACTGCAACGTTGATGGGTAAAAATAGCTTACTATCGATCGCAAAGTACGACGACGTCAACGACGTAATTAATAAAAATACTGCTGCGTGTTTGACAGTTTGAGTTCCAAAACTGTTAAAAGTGTTGTCGTCTTTAACAAACATTTATGTTAAAAACAAAGTGCAGTCGTCACATAAGAGCAAATATTTCTTTAATATGTGCATGACGTTTCCAATGAACAACATCTTAGATAAATCGAACAGTGTTCTACTAGCTTAAATAATGATCTGATTTTCGATATTAGAAACCGATCTTTGTGACTTGTTTTGTTAGTTCTCATTCTGTTTGAATATAGTTCTGCTAATGGGCATCATTCATTCGTTACCTGAAGAAGCATATGTGCTTTGTTTTATAATGCTTTATTGATCTAAATAAAACTGAAGTATGAGAGAAACCTATTTGTGCAGCTGATTCAATGATACTTAGATAAATAAGAAGAAAATAGTTAGCGTTTAAGTGTAACTATGGTTTTCAACTGCATCTTTTAGTTCGTTTTTTTTTCGAAATTCTCATAACTATTACAGACAGAAATCTGAAAACTTGACAATTGAACATCATGTTTTCAAAACATTCATCGTTGAGTTGCTCGAATCAGTCCTCACCAGATCTCAATCCATGGCAATATCAACTGCGACTTGATCAGATAAAAGCCAAGAGACACTACGATTGTTTTCCTGAATATCCTTACAATACCGCATTTGGTTCACTATTAACTGGATCGAATTACACAGATGCTAACTCGTGTGTATTTTCTGATATGATATTCTCGAAATATATGTTGTACTGATTAGACTAATCAGGAACGACGAATTTGCCTTGGAAGAACAACATGTCATTGTGCTTCTTTTAGAAAAACTTGTTGGTTTTCTCGATGAATTTTTAGTTTATCTTTCATCAATGATATCGTATGAACAATTTCAATCGTATCTACAGTTGACGAAAATCAAAGACATCGCCGAACGTATCTATCAACTTCGTCTAATGTTGCTTGCAGAGATCGATCGTAGTCCTGAAACCATCGCCACTTTTGACATCTCATTGATTCTTCGAGAACTTGCGTCACTTATTCATTGTTTGAGTGAACAACAACAACAACAAACAGAAAGATGCTCTGATCCATCACCAAACATCATCTTCTCACAACTACTGAATCGCTTGGAAAGAATTCTTCAGTCGTGTATGGATTGCATCAATCGACGTTGCAATCCTCAAGTAGGTTAGCACTCCGTTACTCATGTATTTTCTACTGAAAGATTGGTTTCACGAAATTTTAGTGTCACCAATCGATCGTACCCGATGCATCTCCATGTATGAACTCAATTCATACTATCGATAATCCAATGTCTATTCCATGGTCAGTTTTAAACCAAATAGAGTCATTGGGTGAAAGTGATAATGTTTTCGGTTTGGTATTTGGAATTAAAGATGAGAAAGTTCGTCGAAAGCTAGGATATCATGGTAGTAAACAGAAACCGGCAAGCCGATCGAGATGCTTATCGAATAAAAAGAAAAATCAACGATCTCAAAAAATTTTCGTGCATGACGAAGTCTCCCCTATTGATAATAAGTATCAAAAAGTGACAAAATCATTCAAAAATCGATCCTCGCCGTCACAACCAGCGAGACTTAACATCACTGCATCGAGAAGTAGTGTTTTTTTGCCAATAGAATATAGTAGACAATCTCTATTAGTGCAGCAAGCAAAAGGAAAACTCGACAACCATCAGCAAATTCAGTCTCTGTACACGAGCCCGACAGTATGAGTGATAGCTATACTATATCGCCACAACAATCTATACAACTTAACTCTATCTATGGTATGTAACATGAATTATGATCTGTAAGTTGTGTGATAAATTTCGATCTCACTCATTTTATAATAGATCGTTTGATGGGATCGACCAGTAATGAACGATTGTCGCCTCGTGTTGAAGATTTACCTGCTTCGACATTGTCGAATAATAGTATTTTACGTCGTACATCTTCCCATCTGAATGAAAAACAATCTAGTTCGTACAAGAACAGTAAAACAGGTTTGTTAGATCAAAACTTTGGCTATCGAACTCCATGAAAGATAGCGTTAAACGTAATGCCTCCAGAAACTTCAAATTTATCACCAGCTTTGAACAAATCAGTGAGCATCAATCGTTCTCGAGAAATGCTTCAATCCGAAACCAATGTGAAAGACGCAAGAAATACTTCAAATACTTTACAGAACGATGATGAGCAAAATCTTAGCCAAATAAACGTGAGCAAACTATCATGTATATCACACGATTAATCCAGGATAGTGTCAACTTTTCAGGCTGGTTATGTTGATTCGTCTGCACGGTCTGTATCGAAAAGAAACATTTTGTATGACGAGAACATGTCATACAAAAGTTCTCCTCTATCAATGAGATCGTTAAAACTGACAAAAAACGATCTACTCAAATCGAGTAGCATTGATCCGGGACTAAGTAACCAACAGGCAGTGAACGAAAGTATCAATAGATTTTATTCGTATAATTCTTCGAATTATCAAATTCCTACTTCGCCGAACATTCAACTGGCTACTCATACTCTTGCAGATAATATTTCGTCATTCAAAGTTATCGAAGGGCCACGCAGTGCAGAAGGAGAAATAAAGATTAGAGATACTCTCACTAATGAAAACGATGAACCGTTAACTCCTTATGTTAATTCCATGAGTACCCATCAACAACAGAGCACAAGTGCAATAGATGAGAAGAACGCTTCGTCGTATGTGCTTCAATTTCCAATGAAAAAACAAGGGTATTGGAGGAAGTTCATGAGTTGTATTCGACGAACAATAGCCAAATGATGTTGTACTCTCCTCAATCGTAATAAAATCTATGCTTTTAAGCTATGATTGTGCATTTATTTGGAAACTAAGTAGAGGAGAAATGAATGAGGAAAACTAAAATGGAAGAACTAGAGAGACAGTTTAATACGAAGAGAAGATATGTGTGAACTAATGAAATGTTTAGATTTTGAAACGATTATTTATCGAGTTTAATGCGATCATTGAATTCGGACAGGTGTCATTGAAGCAAGTGGTTTAGTTTCGAGTTCGATTCCAGTAACGCTGATACCAGCGGATCCAGCTCGGTTTCCACTAGCCGACGATTGTTGACCAACATTAATAGTTGATTGTGAAACACCAGGTGGTGTAACTGAGGCACGACGTGTTACATTTGAACCATTGTTATTCGATTGTGGTGCGTTAGCATTATTTGGTGTTGATTGATTATTGGATAAGGAAGCTTCTTCATCGTTTGCATTGATAAGACGTTGACCTTTCTTTTTCGCTTGATATTTATGAATACCAAATGCTGAGCCAGCGGCGATTGCAATTGCACCAAGAACGCCAATAACAATACCGACGATCATTCCAACTTTGCTGTTATCGGATTCACTTGATGCGGCCACTGTTGTTTTACCTTCAATGTTTACTAATTGAACTGTAAGACCGTCGATAGCTCCAGTATCATCACTTGTCAAACTTTGGACAGCAGCTTGAGTCTTAGCGGCATCGTTGATACTATCCACGGCAACTTCGAAGCCACCGATGACACTACCTATAAAATAGAAACATAATCAAGAATACCGTCAAGAAAATGAACTTCAGTAACAAACCTTTCTTCAAGACGATATCACTGACAACTGGAATTCCGTATTTGTATTTGAGAAGATTGTAAATTGACGCACGTGTAATTTCATCGCGACCAGTGTTTACCAGTTCGTCATAGTCACCTTTGAATGTAATATTTGATGGTGGATAACCAGTATATACTTGGATGACGGCTATCAAAAACGAAACATTTAGTTTGAATACGTAAAAACAAACGCAATCAATGACTTACTTGATGCTTCCTTCACGAGAATACCGTTCGATGTCATTGGAATAACATACAGATTGTTGGATGATCGCAGTTCAACTTTAACGATATACATACCAACAGCATCGATTGCGAGATTTGTTGCTGTTATTGTACCCGCTGTTGTATCAACAACAATTGCTGATGATGGGGATTGAATTAAGGACCCATTTCTCTTATACTGTAGTGAACTGTAAAGTGAAACAACGGCTGACCATGTAAAACTGCTCCATTGAATGTTTCCGATTTTAGCTTTGGAGATTTTATCAACGATGACAACTGAGAGATTGAATGTTTGATTGACGCTAACGATATCAAGCTTGTCTGATTGTCTAGCAGCTAGGACAGGATCAGAAACTGATACTGACGATGAGCTAACGACTAAGTTAGCGCTTGCGACAAACGCACTAAAAGGAAGAGTAGATGCAATTTTCAATTAATTGACATTGAAGAATCGATGCTTACTTGCTGACACCATTTGGTGTAACGAATCGAAATTCAATACGATATGAACCAGTAGCTGTTATACCGAAGTTTGTGTAATTTGCTTGTCCATTGACATAGTTAGCAACTGGACCAATGAGATTGATACCTGATTGACCGACAACAATAGCAGTTACTTGCCATGGTTGGTCGGTTGAGCCTAGTTTGTCGATGACTTTGCCTGATGCATCATACGCAACAAGTTTTGGTTGAACATCACATGGTGATTGTAAACGACAGGATGATGGCGAAGTTATTAATTTCAATTGACTGATGACTGATAATGCGACTGTATCTTGACTTTGTGGTTCTTGAACACTGAGATGCAGAGGATATGCACCACCGGTTGAAGGATGATTTGCCCATGTTTGTTGTGTTTCATTTGATTGGAATCCATTGATGATAGCTGATGTAATATTGGCGATTTCATCAGACGATGTTTGATTACCGACAGATAAAATTTGTGGTGGATCATTGCGAATTTCAACACGTAAGGTGATAGTTTGAACATTAACAGCTTGACGACGGACACGACTGCAAATGTACATAGAAGAATTCATTTACAAATTTGAATCCAGATTTTACAAATACTTACGTATCGTTATTAGCCGATATGATGTTGACACGTCGAATCTTATCAGCAGAAACACCGAGTAAAGCAGCCAAATTGTTAACTAGATTTGTTGTAAAGAATGCTGATGGTGTAGTAGCTGGTAAACCAAAGGTAAGAACGATGAGTTCCGAAATCTTCAAATCGATGACTGTAGCACCATTGATCAAGAATGATGCTACCTGTGTTGTTCTAAATGAACCGAAGGTAAATATTAGCATTTAGGTATCAACAAAAAAACAAGTATAACGCTTTTACCTATTGAAGTAATTTGTGCCGGCTGCCGACGCTAAGGTGACACCCGATGGTTGATCTGTGAGCATTAGGTATGAGTAAGTATTATCCCGATTTGTTGGTGAAACATAAACATCATTAGCGTAAACATCGATTTGTTGTAATGAAGTGTAATAGAGACCTAATGAAGTGGCGATTGTTGAATCAGCATTGAGTAAACGGAAGCGCATGTGATCGGGTGTTGTACTTGATAGATAAATATCATAATGGTGTCCTCCTTCGACTAATGCCATAAATGTTGACACACGTTTTTGACATGTATAACCATTGCACCAACCGTGATCTTGTGGACCGTTGATAAGATCAATATAACCGTTATCAGAAAGAACAGCAACTGGCGAGAGTCGTCGTGTTTCGGTATCTGCATCCATGCTTTCAATAATTAACATACGATAATCGACAACGTTTGGACATAAGTACATTTGGTAGGATGCTTGATAAGTACATGCCGATGAATGACCAATACCACGATTTGGATATTGAGTATTGATGTTAATCATTTGTCCAGTTTGATTAGCCAATACAACCTTTGGAATACGGAAATCACCAACGCCATGAGCTTGATTACCTGAAAAGAAGAGTTAGATCAAGGATATGAATATGTACAACTCGATGATGTCTATCAATTTACCCCATAGATATTCGGCTTGCGAGAAAGCAGTTGATGGTTGACCAAAGAATGTACCATCTGTATCAATGAGTAAACTTTTCTTCAGACCATCACAATCCATATCTAAAATTGATTAAATGGAAACAAATATCGATTAGTAATAAGTCCAAGAATCGTATTCATATCCGTTCTTACCAACACAATCGCTTGGATCGACAACATCAAGATTCGGTCGACCGTTAAATACTAAATTGGATGTTGCTGTATTGTAAACCGAGGCTTTAGTTATTGTAACCGGGTGTTGACCATCATCATTGTTTTGTGAAACTTGAATAGCAATATCACGACGTGAGCAAACATCATTGAAGAATGCAAATGTAACATTAGTAATGGTCATGATACCGTCAACTAGAAATGAGAGTGATGTGATTGTTGGGAAGACATTAACGAATCAACTTACTGCATGGATAAGCACCGATACTTGTATACGGATGGCGTGGAATCATATTGTCACGTGAAAAGTATGGGAACGAAATACCTGTACGTCCACCTGGATTTCCATCATTTGTTGATGATGCTGATACACGAGGAACTGCGGTTAAACTGTTAACGGCACTCAATGTATTTGGATCTGGAGTGTCGTTACAATCGTTTTGTGTGATAGCACCGATGACTACTGAATTACGGATGGTGATTGAGTTGTTACCAAATTCATGTGACGTCGCTAAAAGGCAAAGATTGATAGTTAATCATCATAGGATTGATTTCAGTGTTGTGTTGAAGATATTTACATGGTGGACCAAGAACGAAGGTAAAAATACCGACACTGCTGTCAGCTACTTTGCACGAGTCGACGATAATGTTGTGCTCAGTGTTGATGTATAAACCGTAGTACCATGCTTTGTAGGTGCTATTCAAAAATACAATCATATCAATCAAAGATATTTAGATACAAAACAAGACAGTGAGAAACTTACCTGAAACCCTTGATCAAAACGCAATCTAAAAGGAGGATTCATTGCGATAAGTATGATCTTTCTTCGAATCACTTACCGGTATCGTAATCGAAGCCTTTATCGTGTGGCCACATGTTGACACCAGCCATAACTGAATGAGCTTCATTGTTATCGTAATCGTTGACAATGTCAGTTGGTAAAACGACGCCTGGACATGCATTTCCTTGAATACGGTACGCTTGACGTTGTGCACCAACGACCAAGTTATCCTAAGAGAAATGGATGAGTGAACTCTTGAAATTCGTTCTACTAAATCAATCTACCTTCATGACAACACTGACTGCATCTCGTGACATTATAGCACCATCGTTGTTGATATTGAATGCAGCGTATTCTGGTTGAGCTTCACCAGACCAATAGTTACTTACTACAAGATTTTTCTGAATGATGTTGTTCTTGCCGGCAGCAACAATAGCTGATTCATATGTTCGATAGACAACGTTGTTTGTAACAGGAATACCATTCGAATCCCATAGACCAATTCTATAGACACACAGAAATAATAAATAGAATCAACACTAAGCATCTGAAAATCGATACTTACGCTGAATAGTAGCCAGTATCGAACGAGCATGAGTCAATATAAGTTGGTCGTGATGCATTCCAATCACCGAGATTGTATAAGTGAATAGCTTCACGTTTATCTTCGTTGGGAGCATCGACAAATTGACCGAAGCCAATGAATTGTGTATTCGATAATCGTGCATAACCTTTGTAGTATGTATAGATATTATCATTTGTAACAGTGTCAACGATATCTGTTGCATAGTCTGTGACAAGTACACGGAAACCCATCTTTTCGGAAGCTGGACTTTGATTAATAACTCGGACATTTCTTGACAAGAGACCAACAGCACCGGCAACATGGTAGGTTTGACCATTGGTAAATACATTGTTAATAACGATGTGCGTGTAAGCAAGAGCAGTTTTCAATGTGACTACTGTACCACTTCCACTAACGCTGGCAATTGTTAATCGTTCTGTATGTTCAATTCGTGTGTCAGTTGTTGTGAGAAGAATTTCGTCTCCAGCAACCCAGTCGACTGGTTCGCTTAAGGTAATCGAGTTTTGACCGGCAGATGCTGTCGTTGCAAGACGTGTCCATGAAACATTTCGTGAAATTCCATGAAGATCAAGACCACCTAAAACGCCGATGACTCGAGGTCCAAGTGATCCAGCATTATTCGGTAATAAAACGTTGACGGATGATGAACCAGTTATGATGATATCAACATTGGATGTAAGTGGATTATTTGGCCAACCTATAAAGATTCGAATTAAAGAAAAGGACATACTGATTGCATCAATATACATACCGACAATCAATTGACCACCATTGATGAGAATACTGTCAACATAGAGAATGTTATTGATACCCTTGAAAAGAAAACAGGCTCAAAAAGAAAGGAAATCTTATATATTTTTACTTGTTCGAATTCAAGAACACCATCGATACGTAACGATCGAACACGAGGTAACGGATAGTTGGCAACAAGCCATACGCCACGAGGAATGTAAATGTCTGTACCATTACCTGGTTTCACACTTCCTACAAAAAGGTACACGATGACAATTACTTGATCTTTGGAAGCGATCGAAAAACTATCTCACCATATCCACCATAGCCTGGTAATGCAAAAGCCCAGTCGGAATCATTTGACCAATACAGAGCACTTGCTGGTCGAGCGACAGCTGGCAATTCAAGGCCTGGTTGAGCTGGATATTCACAATTTGGATATCGGCATTTAACAACGTTCAGTGAGATAGACACATCAGCTGGTGCAGAACTAGTAGATGGGTTTTTAACTAAATTGATACAAACAAAATCGAATTGCAATTCATCTCGATGACGAAAAAGAGTACTAGATTACCGATGTATGAAAATTCGCTTGTAGTGTTATCGTAATACCAATCCCCATTGTTATTTGCAGATGTGAGTGGTGCGATTGATCCTTTGACTAGTGTATTCGATACAACAGAAACTTGGTCGGGCATATAAGAGACTTGATGACGAATGATAAGATAATCACCAGGTGCTAAGCTGTAAGCAACACCAGTATACGATAAATTGACTGTGCTCTACAAGTAAAAATGAATAGCGTAGGCGTGTTTAGAATGTCATCGAACAAATTTTAACTTACATTAGCATTTTCGAATTGAAATAGATAGGTCTTTTTAGCTAACAGGTTCATCATATAACCGTTTGTATGTGTTAATCGTTTTTTAAGATTGAGAACGACAGTGTTATGGTTGGCATCATCGTAAACATTCAAGACTTCGGCATTCTTACCGAGATTAGCGTTATTGAAAGCAAATCGAATCCAGGTGCCCAACGATGATGGACATGTGACAGCATTGAGAAAGTTGGGTGTCTTCGTACATGCCGTTGATGTATTCCAGAGACCGTCAGGTGAAATAATCACACCGCCAACAACATTAGCCAATGAACCATCTTCGTCTTGATAGAGACCATCATATGGCCAACGGAAGTTACCACGATTCAAGACATTTGTAAATTTCAATTGAGAGAATTTTGTTAACCAACCTAATGATAAAACGAAGTACTATTTAATCGTATTCTTTCATTCTTATCATACCTCCACAATAAATAAGACAACGGCCAGCGATGACTGGACCAAATATAGCTTGTGTGTTTGCACTTGGGTAGTTAATGAATGAAACGTTTCGTACACGTAGACCACGATCCCACATGACTAGGGAACGGAGAGAATGGAATGATCATCTCGATTGAGGATTTCAACACGCAACTTACCAACAAGACCACCTTCGCCTGGTACAACTGGAGTAGATGATACTTGTGAATCACCGATGACGATTGAGTTGATAACTGATGAACCAGCGTTTTCATTGTAGAATGTAGCACGAAGATTTGGAAGATTTGTTGCTTGATTATTAATGGCGGTGACACATCGAAGACCAGTATCAGCATTGTCGAATACTACAGCATTGCGAATTTGAATAGTGCTGGACATGACCCATTCAAAACCACGATTGTTTTTCCATGAAACTAATCCATCGAATACGGCTTGATATGGTGCATCATTGCCGCAATCGCCAGCAACAGTCGGTGAGTATTCAGGAAAGATCCAAACACCAAAACGACCGACACTGTGGACACTGTTGTTGAAGAAACGACCGAATTGTTGACGGTATGGGCAGGTGTTTGGATACATGGCAAATGATGGACCGTCGGGTGTACGAAGCATTCGATACCAGTAACCAAAGTGTGTACCACCAGCAACAGCATTATGTTCTACGATATTGTTTGGATTGGTGACCTAAGCCGACAGATACTATATTAATGAGAGGTTCATTAAAAAGAAGAAACTTACCCAGAAAGCAGCTGGTGTCACATCTTCGTTGAGTAAACTTGAGCTGGTGCGAACGAAGACGGCTAAATTACCACGTAGAGCATTGCCAGTTTCAACACCATCTTCCAAGAATATAGCACCACCCCTTAACAGATAGTACAATATTGTCAATATCCGTATTGATTAGTACTGTTTCACTTACATAATATCATAGATAACGTTATTTTCAACAGTTAAATAGTTGGTAGCGTGAACATTGACAGCTCGATTGAATGTTTGATGGATAGACGATGATTTGATGTACGATTGACTCATATTTCCATTCATGTGAAAGTGAACTGGATAGCGACCAAGTCGAAATGCTTGACCAGCATTAAATACCTAATCAAGTGATAACGACTATGAATGATCAACAGATTTAAGTAAAAATAGAGCTTACTTCAATGTTTGACAAACGAACGATGGCTTTTTGAACGCCGTCAGTACTGGCATCACTAGCACTAACCATAAGTGTTGCACCGAATTGATCGGAACCAATTTCTTGTCCATATCGACCGAGAAAGCATGTTTGAACAGCGAATTCACCTATGTTGTTCGTATGAGAATTTTATCATAGAATCTAGTAAAAGATCTACCTGGATTAAAGCCTGTTGGACAAGCTTCAATTGTTACATTCCATGTTTCTGTGACTGATCCTAAATACATACAAAAGGACATAAGTGTAGAGCAGAGTTCTTAGAATAGGTGTTTATGCAACAAACCTTGAAAGACGACATTGTGTGATAGAAGACCGACTTCAGCGCGCGCTTCAACAGACGTAGAACCGACACTCTTTGTTACACCCAAATGGCTATATGCTAATGGTGTGTTCAATGTTAAGGTAAGTCCGTTTGATGATACAGCGGTGATGGTACGTGTTTCAGTTTCTCCTTGACTGAGATGGTCACCAGTTGTGGCAATAACGATTTGACTACCTACTGGCCAGTTGACAGATTGTTGAAGAGTGATTTGGGAGGCACCAGCAGCAGCTGTAGATGCTAAGCGTGTCCATGTCTGAACCATGTTTGCGCCGTGCATGTCGATAGTACCTTCGCGTAAACCTAACACTTTCGCTCCAACTACAACACAAAGCAATCGATAGATTTGTTCAACAAGAAAACATCTCTCTCTCTCTCTTACAAATTGGTAATTCAATTGATCGTAATTGACCGTGCATAGTAATAACGGCTTTGTGTTGGAATGGAGCTGATTCTGTGCCAACTTGTAAACGACCACCATTGACAATTAAGATGTATTCAGCATTCAATGCAACATCTTGATTATCATCAAAAATTAATGATGCGTTATCGACAATGAGAGCTTTGAGAATAGGCGTTGTCGTATCGAAATAAACTGTTTTGCCACTATCGATCGAGACAATGGTACCTTCTTCAGGTGGTGAATCTCCTCCCCAAGTCCATGGGCTTGACCAAAGATCAATGTACTGGAATTGTTCTGATCCGATAGCGTTACCACCATTGACAACATTGACGATGACTGGCGCCTGAACTGTTGTTTGAGCGTAACTACCTGTCAAACAAGTAATTGATGTTGCTGAAGCTGTTTGAACAGAGCATGGTGAGCCAGCAATGCTAACTGTAACTCCGCTAGCTGATGTTCTACAACAGATAAATGAATGTTTTCTTTTTCCTGCAAAATGCAATCAATGGAATCTTACGGAAAATTTGTACCAGTAATTGTTAATGTTGTACCACCACCAGTTCCACCTCGTTTCGGACTAACAGCGGAAACCATTGCCGTTAAACTTGATTGATAAACATACGATACAGTTTGTGTTAAGCTGCCAACTGTAACTGCTAAATTACATGATTTATCAGAAGACTGATATGTTGCTGCTGGTGTGACACAGGTCAATTGAGTATTTGACAGAACGGATACCGATTGGCAAGGAGTATTGCAGATTGTGACAGTGATACTTGAACCATTGAATCCATCACCGTTAACAGTTACTGATTGACCACCACCGAAACCACCTCGTGACGGTGACGCAGCGCTGACTTGTAAAGCGTATTGAAATTGAGTCGATGAAGCCGATCGACCGGATGTGACGATCGAAGCGATGACTGGTTGATTTCCAGCTGGACTTGAACCAACTGTGCAGACAATGGATGTTGATGAAATGCTAGTAATTGCACATGGTGTTCCACCAATTGTGATGGTTGTTTGGCCACTAGCAAAATTTGAACCAGTGATTGTCAATGTTTGACCAGCAGAGCCTGATGTTGGATTGATAGATGAAATTGTTGGTGTAGCAGCTGCACTGTAAGTGAACGAACTTGATGATGGGAAGCTAACACCGTTAGAAACGACAGTAACGGTTGCTACTGATGGACTTGAGCCTTGAGCTGGAGCTATGCATTGGATTTGGCCTGATGTAATTTGAACGATTGTACATGCACTTGACCCAATGGTTACTTGAGTGTTATTAGCTGAGCCAGAGAATCCATTTCCATTGATTTGAACAAGAACACCACCGTATTGACTGCCGGATGATGGTGAAATACTCGAAATAGCTGCAGTCGATGTGAGTGATACTGATGAAACTACATTTCCGACACCTGAAAAAGAAATGAGCAACATGTTACTTTCTTAGTCTACTACTATTATGAATATGAGAATTGTACCATCGATTGAAACAGCAATTGGATAGTTGCCAGCTGGTACACTACCAATGTTGCATGTGATTGCTGAATTGGTAGCTGCTGTTACGGTACATGCTACGCCATTGACAGTAACATTAACATTTGCTGTTGAGATTGAACCTGCAGCTGCAAAGTTTTGACCGCTCAAAGTTAACGTTTGCGGACCAGTAATTGATGTTGGATTGACCGATGTAAGAGATGGTGTTGCACTTTGTGCCCATTTGTATGTACACGAACCTGATGCGCATACAGCTTGATTTAATCCAACTAAGATTTGAATAGGAATGTTTTGGTTGATATAAGCTGAAGGTGGAACATCAGTGACGAATTGGATTTGTGAGTATGTAATTGTTGCTGTTGATGTATATTCAATACTTCCGACAATGACACGTGTATCTGCTGGTGTGAAACCATCACCAGTGATTGTTACAAGAGTACCTCCAGCAGTTGAACCTAGTTCATGATAAAGTTTTAGTTCTATCTTTTTAAAAAGAAATGAAACTCACCTTGTGCTGGGGATACATTGGTGACTTTTGCTTGGAATTGAAATTTTAAGAGTCCATTGTTGCTCAAGAATCCTTGACGGCCTCTTGCAACATTGAAGCTTTGAACTGATTTAGCATTCAATAGTGAGTTCGAACCAATTTGGCAGACAAGTTGTGTGCTTGACGCGCTTGTTATTGGACATTCATAGGATGATCCAATGAGAACTGTGTTAGCACATGATGTTGAGCTGAAACCTGTTCCAGTAATTGTTATTGATGTTCCTGCTGGACCTTGTACAGGTGAAATCGATGTAACAGTGCCTACGGTACATGGTGTGAACAAAAAGTCTAAGTTATTCGATGGAACTGTTTGTGAACACGATGTTGGATTGATCAATGAATTTGCACCACAGGATGATGTAGGTATCGAGGCTAAAATTTATTGCTAGAAAAAATATTTCTCAATGAAATGAATGAACGCATACCTGTTGGTGTACAATAGAGACGTTGTCCGGTATATGTTGACGTTGGTGAACACCATGATTGAGTGTCATTGGCTGAGGTGCATGCTGTATAGGAAACTGAATTGAATGTGAATGGGAACGCACATGATTGAGCTAGCGAAGAATATTATCACTAAATGATATTCAATTTACGAGGAAGATTAGTACTTACCAGTAAACGAATTAGATGATACTTTGACGGTTAATGTTCGTGGTTGAGCAGCTACAACATTGATGACACCTCGCATAGAAGCTGAACCAGTCTGGTCGACAGGTGGAGTGTAATAATAGTATGTACCGACGGTTTGAAATTGATATGAGTATGATCCTAAAATAGAAAAACATTCGCTTTATGCGATTCATTGCTTAAATTTCGCACCTGATGATGATGTGTTGCCAGAATCGAAACCGCCTGCCAATGGAGTTGTTGAATAACCATTGGAAACCTGTACGACTTTGTAGGCTAATGATGATAAAAGTGCCGATGAGCCCCATTGCCATTCGACGACAGCACCTTGTTGAACAGTTGCGTATTGTGGTGACCATGCAAATCCAGCACCATATGTTGGATCAACACCATCGGCTGAGATGACTATACGAGGTGCAGCAGCTTCTGTTTGACAGTGGATTTGATCTGCTTGAACTGATTTGATGTCACATGCAACGTTGTCAGTACCATCAGTGAATGCAACTGTTGTTGAATTATCAAAACCTTGACCTTGTACATAGACATCACTGCCACCATATAATGAGCCGACTTGTGGTGAAATAGTTTGAACATAGAAACGATATTCGATTTGAACGGCTGGACGTGCATATCCATTTGCAGTTGAAACTCGAACTGAATAGATACCGGCTGCTAATGAGGGTAAATCAGCAATGATTTGACTTGATGATAATGATCGAATAGTTGCCTTCGTTGTGCCGATAAAGACTGCTACTGAGCTAGTACCAAAGTTTGTACCGGTAATTGTCAATTGACCACCGGCGACGGTGACAACACTGGGGCTTGATAATGTAATTGAAGGTGTATTGGTAACATCGTAAGCAAATTGAGTAGGTGACGTTGACGATGATGAGCCAGATGTGACGACAACCGATACTTGTGCATTGCTGACAGAAGCTGTTGGTGGAACAGTACATGTTATCAACGCGAATCCTGACACTACGGGGTTTGCGCATTCATTTCCGCCAATCGTTACTGACGAAGTCGATGAAAAGCCTGTTCCAGTAATGTTAATCGAATAACCACCACCTACAATGTCGTTCAAAATTCATAGATTTACTCAAGTGCTCTGCAAAAATAGGCACTCACCTGCGCCTCCTTGAACTGGTGTGATAGATGTAACTTGGAGTGAAACAGCAACTGTAAAACTTGATGTGCCTGTTGCTAAACCTTTGCTAGCAACGTTCACTTGAATGCCGTATGTGCCTGCAGGAGCAGCGGCGATCGTACAGGTAAGAGATGTTGATGAAGCAGCTGTCACTGTGCATGAGCCCGATGTACCAATAATAACTGTGTTGTCACTTGTTGTTGTACTGAACCCGGTACCTGTGATTGTTACTGTCATACCACTTTGTACGACTGATGTTACTGTTGGAGTTTGACTTGATGTCCATTGATAATCACATGTAGCTGCACCATCGCAATCTGAAATCGAACCACCGACGGAAACTATGACCTAAGGATAAAATGAACGTCAATAGAATATTGCACGGAGATAGATCTTTTTTACTTGAGGAGTAGTATGATAAGTTCTTGTTAGATCTCCTGTTAATGGATTGAAAAGAACACCACCAGATTGTACGCCGGTTGCTGTTACTGTTGTACCACTTGGTGTGACACTACCGGCATTGGAAACGGTAATGGATGTTTTTTGTCCACCATTGGCAATCCATTCAATCAAATATGAATAACCTGTACAATCGTTGATACGTTGAATATTCAAAAATCCGAAATCGGATGATGATTGTAAACGATTAGCTAAATCTGATGGTAGAATATCGACTGGTATTGATGCATATGTTTGTCCGTTGAAAACGAGATCGAATGTACCATTTGCAGCTGGCGATGCTGTAACTGTACGAGTTACTGTTGCGCTCTATAACAGATAACTTATAAATATTGCTGAAAAAGAACAAAATCTAAACATACTGATGATGGCCATGATACGAGTAAGTTTGGTTTTTCACAGTTAGTATATCGAAAGTTTGCTGTAATTTGTGAGCTACCTGGTGTGAATGTCACTTGCAAGGTGTTATAGACAACTTGATGCTTTGGAAAAAGTCGACGAGCACCTTCAATCGATGAACTTGAACATGTGTAAACGACATTGTTGCTATCAGCACAAACTGGAATGTTATTATTGTTCAATGTGCATGCTGAATATTGTTGTCCATTATATGTGAATGGAAAGATGCATGTTGAATTCGCTGATTGATCAATAGGATATGAGCTTGCCGCTTCATAGCCAGCTGGTAGTGCTGTTCGAAGTGAGACAACATCGAGAAAGATTCCTTTTCTCATGTTTTTGTCCAGCCCTGCGTATACAATAACATATGATGCTGATGGGTCGATTGCTCCCTGTGAAACGAGTTGTCCACCGACATCAACACACGTGTAGTGCCAGGATTTATCAGCGATGGGCGAGAAGGGTACCGATGCCCATACTATTGTTGTTGCATCACCGTTGATTTGAAGACCGAGACCAATGGACGTAACGTAGTTGTTGAGTAGGCGGTATGCAAAGCATAGGTAGTTTCCGGATAAACTATTTCCGCTCAATAGTGTATTGCCATTCTGTGAACATTGTCCACAGAATGCATTTGCTGTGATCGGTGTTTCGTCATAGACACAGTTGGATTCGAAATCGTTTAAGTAGAGCACCGATGGTGAATTTGCAGCACTGCTTATCGATGGTGGACATTGAATACTGAACAAGTTATTGAATGCTTGTTTCACAGTTGATTGACTAAGGTTTGCATTCGTATAATCGATGTAATCGGTGAGTTGGTCATCTAATGCAAAGGCAATTTGGGCACCAGAATCAACACCTTGAACTGTTTCAGTGACATTTGGTGTATTGACCGACGATGAGATGCATGTCAGAAGAGGAACATTACCCATCACAGCAGGGAATGTAACTATATAGAGTGTACTTGTAGCTGTAACTGTAACTGTTAATGGATAGATTGTTGGTAAATCATTGAGTGCTGCTTGAATAGTTGCAGCTGTTGGTCGACCAGTTTGAATGGCTAAAAGAAATGAATATCAAATGAAGATAACAAATTTAGAGATCAATGTCTACCTGTATAGACACCACGGAAACCAATTTGGAATGTTGAAGAATCAACTTGAACTGATTGAACTTCAGAAGTACCATTTGTCGCAGAATTCGTATAAGTAATACGCTAAACGATGGCAAAAAAGTACGTATGTATTGTATGAAAGTGTCAACTATGTTATCGTCATACTTGTTGTTCTGATTTAGCACCAGAATTGACTGTAATACGTTGGATTTCGTTCAATACTAAACTTGATGTGGCTGCTGTTAGTTTTGTTTCATGCATTCGTGCTTGTACTCCTAATCGTAGATATCCACTTGATCGAGAACCGACAGCAAACAGATAATAGCTGAAAGAGTAAAATATTTATGCTATCTTGTTCAGGAGAATACCAAACAGAACAGAAATCTTACTTGGTATTGTTGTTCAGTTGAATCGAAGATGATTGAGTGCTTGTGGCATCGGCAATGCGTGCTTTATTGGCTGGATCATCATCTGTGCTAAGGAACAAAGCAGCTGCGCCATTGGTATCTAAGATAAATGTATATGTTGCAGTCTTTGCAACACGAACGTAGCCGACGAGCCAAGCAGTTTCTGCTGATGCTGATGTTGATACATAGAGAGCATCGTCAGTCCATTTTGCATTGCCACTGGGTGAGGGTGGACTTGAACTTGATAGTGTCGCCTAAGATGTATGTATACTTTCGTAAACTATGACCTAAACTGCATCTTCTTACTTGAGTGTTGGAGCCAGATGCTACATAAAGTTGTAAACCACGACCACCTAACCAAATATAGAGAAGAAAATGAGAAAAACCATCACTGTTCACTGTAATTCGTACCTTCGAATCGGCTTTGGCTGCCTGATGGTATTGCTGATGTTTGACATTGGATAGTTGTTTGTGTTGAACTTACAATTGTACACGGTTGTCCGCCGACAGTGACTGTCAGTGGATAGCTTGCACTGTTACTAAAGAAATTACCAGTGATTGTTAATGTTGTTCCACCAGCTGTGCTGCCTGAGCTTGGCGATACACTCGAGACAACTGAAGAGGAAATGTATTATCAATGTAAATATAAAACAGAAGCAAACGTACTAGCATAGCTTTGAAAATTGTATAATTTTTCATCGGCCGAAACACGATATAAGTTTGCACTGACTAATGAACGACCAAATTCGTTTGTAACGAGCATGCTGATATTGAAGATACCTGTTTTCATAGAATTTTCCGTGATTATTTATCAGAATAAGCGAGTATATTGATTACATACCAACTTCTGAATCTTCGAAGTTACATGTCAATTGTGTGTTATTAACGTCGGCATAGCTAAAGTCGTTTGAAAGAACTTCTAAAGCAAACTCATAAATAGTACACTTACACTAGGCCACTCGATTGATTGATAACATTACACAAATGACCGCCGATGTAGATACTATGGAAACGGACACATCAAGTAAATTCACAACTCAAAACTAGAGATTTATTACCGAGAGATGAGTGCATTGTTATCTTGAGCACAACCATCAACATCACGTGAATAGCATGATGTTCTGAATGAACCGAATAGTGTAACTAACGATTGTGGTGTACCTGACTGAGGTTCAATATCAGTGATTGTTGGTGTTTGGATTGGCATTGATGCGAATAGAGCACGATTAGGATCACTGTATTGGTAGAGTGGAATTAGATTACCATTGACATAAACTCGAATTTGATAGACACTTTCTGGTAAAACTGGTGTATAGCATGTTAATTGTGTGCTTGTTGTTTTATCGTTATGCATTTGACAATCGTAGACTGCAAAACCATCTACCAATTGAATAGTGTTGGCGCTTGCTGTTGATGGAACTGAGCTGAAGCTGTTTTCTGCAAATCGATTACCATAGACCCAGATGAGAGTACCACCCTCTGTACTACCACCGTTCTGTCCCCAACCACCCGCTTTACGAACAGTTGCGTAATAGACGACAGCGTCATTTGGTACTAAAATGAAAATATAATATGTGTAGATAAAAATAATTTTTTCTCTGCAAAGCTAAATGTATTACCAATACACTTGGACCATGTAACTGCAGTATTGTTGGAATTAACTGCAGTAGCACATTGAGGTCGACTGTCACCGTTGTTTGGAGCGTTGATGGTACAAGTCGTATACGTCACCTATCATACAGTAAGAAAAAGCTTTGGCTTCTAACTAGTTTACGAAGGAAAAAAAATCTCGTTTCTTCAGCTCTAATCAGGATGTATGTCATGGTATTACTTACGCCGTTGTAATTAAACGGGAAAACACACGTTGAACCACTTGCAGTACTGACTATTTAAGAGAAATAAGTCTCGTATTTGAAAATGTTAGTGTCATAGACATACCCGGACACATTGTTGGAAGATTGGCCGAATCGGATTCGAATACCGGATCCCACATGTACGAGCATGATTGACTGCCTGAAAACAAGCTCCAATTAAAATGGGATAATCAATTGCATGGGTATTTACTTGCGAATTTTACTGTCAACAATAGCAGAATAGCTACTGTAATGAGACTCATTTTGTGTAACATTACCAAAGTAATGTTTTTGAGTTTCACTGCTTAAAATAATGTGTACTGATAAAATTCACTTGAACTTATATACTCCGTTGTTGTTTTCTTTCTCTCTCTCTCTCTCTCCCTTTCTTTTTCGTCAAACTGGAAAAAAATTCTCTAAAATTTTTTTATTAAAAGAATTTCTACGACATCACATTTATTCGTTTTTTGTTTTTCTAGTCAATAATGAATGTTCAAAATAACAGATCGAAATAAATTTATGAGATTTTTTTTCTCCATCAAGGTACTTAGTGCAAAAGTCTTAAGCGCATTTCAAGCAGTTCGAAACATAAACATTTCAATTCATGTTTTTGTTCTCGTTCAGAGCAGAATGGCAAACCTCCGAATACACTCTGACGTAGCATCAGTACGAAAAGGTCGTGCCGTAGACCTCTTGAGTATGTGAATATTTATTAAATTTTTCTCAATGAAATACTACAAGTGTCCGGCACTCATGTTGATTTAAGATCCGAAAAAAGAATCTCGATAGATATTCGCTGAGTAAAATAACGAAGTTCGTTATTAAAAGTTCTTGTTTTGAATCCATATTTCCCAGGGAAAGTCGTCATTAAATTCTTTGACCATTTTCATCCAATAAATATTAACCTTTTTTGTTTATTGAAATCCTAAAGAAAGTCATTATGAGCACGGACAAATAAAGCAATGCAAAAACTTTTCCTAGTTTTATTCGACAAAACTGCATTTCTGATCGTGAAGTCATGTTTGTGTGAAATATTTATTTTTCTGTTTGACATCAAAGGTCATACGTACCGTGTTTATAGAAGAGAAAAAAATATAAAAATGCGAACTTGAAACATTTCACTTGATTAACATTTTTATGCATGGAAATATGTTTTACTATTTTATTCCACCGAATTATTGAAGTTTTACAAGGACTTTGATTTTTATGCAATAACACTCTTGTCAATTTAAATCCAGTCCGAGACAACTTCTTTTATGGTTAATCATAGTTCATTAATATTGAAATTAGTGAAGCTCGATCACACTGTTGACTTCGTTTAATCGATCGCAAATTAGAAAAGAAAAAATCCATTATTTGAAATATTCAAATCAGTCGATGTATATTTAGAACTGAAGACAAAAAACATTGATTTGCTTTCTTGTGACGACAGAAGTTTCTGTAATTTTCTGTTAATCATTGTAAAATCAATATTGATTATGAAAATAAGTACATGAAGCTCTAGCGATATCGGAAAGATCAGCTCGCAAATTCTTCGACATGTATGGTTCGATGATGACATCAGCGATTTATATAAATTTATTACTTTACTTGGAGAATGTTCTCTTTCGCAACTTCAATTAAGCCGGTTTTGTAAAGAAAACAATCCGGTATGTATATATTTTGTTTACATTCCATAAAGAACTCGAACCCATGACTTTATTAAAAATATTCTGAAGTATGTAAAAGTAAGAACTTCTTATTTTCGTTTAAAAAGCACATTTTTACCGAAAGTTTATTTAAATAAGCGCAAAAAAGATATTTTTTTGCACTGCTATAGTCAGATATGATGTTAAAACGAAATTTGTGATGTAGGAAACAAGCACTTTAATGCTTTAAGTAGAGATCAGGTACGTTTTCACACGAATGTACTGAGAATAACGAACAGAATTCAAACAAGTCATGAAAGACTGAATGCAGTACAAGAATGTACGTGGTATTAGCTTGCAATCAACATACACAAAGTAATTTCCAGAATCGAAAGATTATGTCCATTATGTGAAATCACAAAAAAAGAAGAAATGGATAGAGAATCAGTGCATAAATATCATCTTGTTCGTTTATTCGACGAGCTGAAGAATCAGCAACGAGAGTGATACATATGCATGTATTGAATATTTTTCAAGAGAGGACGACGCTGATTATAAACTGAGATTCTAAACTTCTGGTATCCACTCTTTCTATACAATAGGAACTAATTCCATGATGCAATATTGATGTTTTTCTTAGATTCAATTCTCATATCAATTTAAAACCCATGGGTATCTCAAAAAATTCTTACTCTCATTAAGTTTTGTACAACAAAGTTGTTGGTTATAGCTCGTATTTAATTTAAATCGAAAAGTTCAATTGATACATTTGTTTTCAGTCATGAATTTCATTGTTTATTAATCAAAAGCCGAGGTGCAAATATGGTTCACAGTTTAACTTAACATATTGCAAAGTCTTCTTATACTCATGACTATGGACGACCTCTACATTGTGTAAAAGTTGTCGTCTTTTGAAAATTTAGCTTTACGTATATTATTCGATAGTTTTGTTTAAAATCATAATGAACTTTCAACTAATTTCTTACATAAATGAATTGTGAACATGTTAATAACCATTAGCAACAGCTACGAACATGGTTGAGGCGTGAAAAGGAAATCCCTTGTAATTGTCTGTTGCCTGAATCTTTTATACTCTAAAAGAAAAGAAAGTATTTTTCTTTTCTTTCTGTCTCTCTCCTCTCCCTCTTCTTTTCTTCTTGTTCATCAGATCACTTAAGCTCAAATATGAAAATAAAAGCTGGTAAAAAAGCTGAACCCGTAAGTATAAAAAAACTTTCTTCAAAAATATTTTCCCTTGATATTTCATTCGTAGCAACTCTACACCCACATTGCTTCAGCAATCATACCGTCGGCAAGTATTGTTGCTGTTCCGTCCGCCGCCAAAGATTTTCCTCAACAAAAGACCCGTGGAGCTGAGCAATGGGGCTCATTCGTTCCGGCTCTTCTCCATGCTTCTACCACGAATCAATTGCTTGTTTTACCATCATCTTCATTAGCCAATATCGATACTCGTCAACAACATGATGGACAAACACGTTCCGTACAGAAAACAAACATGGGACGAATCGATCCCAGTTCTGACGAAGAAGACAGGTATCGATTTTCCACATCGAGAATGATTTCTATTTCGAAAGATTTTCAATTTAGCGATGAAGATGAAAGACCACGACAACCAACTGGTAAACATGTAAGAATGAACAGGTAGATTTGAAGATTTTTATTCGAAAATATTCCTATTCTAGACTACGTCTCAATCATCAGCATTACCTACTCCTGAAAAGCGATTAACGCATCGTGTTGTTCATGATGAAGGTAATGTCCTTGAAATAAAAGCGCTTCAAAGAATTTTTGTATTTTATTTTGAATATGTCTGAAGAATCTAGAACAATCAGTACAGAACATGATTCGCCAACTCACCTGGATCCTAAACAAGCGCTCACAGCTGAATTATCCCGATCGATTGATGTATGTTTTAACTTCTGGCTCTAGTCGATCAACTGATCTCATTTTTGTTTGACAAACAGGAAAAATCTGCAAGACGAGCAGCGGTTCCTTCTCCACGTCAGTCCGTTCCACCATTAAATCTGAATCCTGTTCAAAGTCAAGCAGGTCGAACATCAGCTAGAAACGACGCCAAACTCGAAGTAAGTAATCTAACGCAAACATATGAATAAAAGAATCGAATTAAATCGATAACTTTTTGTTCCAAGGGCATTGGTATTGAACCACAAACAACAGGAGCTGTACGTTCATCTCTGAATGATACAACCACTGTTCCTGCTAGTGCTCGGTCAATTTCGTTCAAAGAACCCATTATTCATGAAGATTACGAATTGTCGACGTCATCGAAATCAGAAGATTCGACAACTGTGCTCGATGTAAAGAAAAACTCAATATTAAATCAACTAGGTAAGATTTCATTCATCACCTTGAAGCCAAACGTTCACTTCTTGTCTTTCATCCATTAAATAATAGTTCCACCTTCCGAAGACTATCAACAAAAACTGAATGGCCTTGAACATCGTAATCAATCATTAAACAATGAAGTTCAACAGCTTCGCTTGAATAATCGAGTAAATAGAAATGTTCTTTCAGATTCCGTTCCTTAATGGTTGCAATTAATTTAGACTCTTCAACGACAATATGAAGAACTACTCGAACAATTACAAACATCTCACAAACTTTCGCAACAAGAACTAACAGATATATTGAAGCAAACTGGACGTGGTAAACGTATTCTTTCCTACTGGAAGAGAATATTTATTTTGGTTGTTTTAGATCAAACAAAAGGCTTAGAAGAGTTGAATACAACGTTGCAGAATCGATGTGAACAATTACAAAATGAACTAAGTGCTATGAAAGATCGTTATACTGAAAGTTCGTTTAGGATAAATAGAATCGTATGTTACACTTGTCTTTTTCATGTTCAGGTCAAAACCAATCGAGTTTACGTGGATTGAAAAAGGAAAATCATTTTCTTAAAGATTACATTCATCGTTTAAATGCAGCTTCGAGTGATTATCAAGTAACGCATCCACCGAAGTCGTCCAAGAAAGAAATCGAAGTACGTCATGAGTTAGAATTTCATTTCCAACAGAATGAACATCATTTTTCACCTTGAAAATATTCGTTTACGAGTCAAAACTAAATACTTTTGCTTGTCAAGCATAGATATGAATCAGTACGTTCTTCTCTTTCATAAAAGAATACATCCCTGAAAGGATTTCATGTGTTTTTTAACCAATAGTCAGATTTACTTCATTGTATTAAATTGCGCTCGTCATTTTTCGCGTGTACAAACGATGTTATTTACATAATTGAACGTTGTCAACGTCAATATTCAATTGGCATCTGATTTGTTCTCTTTATGTTTGTAGAAAGAACAACGAAGATTGCAAGGCTTGCCAATGAGAGGGCCATCACCAATCTGGCTGGTACGGTTGTTTTGATGCTTTCATGGTTTGACGCAAAATTTTGTTATTCTAGCTCAATCAAAAGTTTCTCGCTCCACTTTTCGTTTGTTACGATGAAAAACTTTTCGAAAAGGATGAGTTTATCAAAAAGCTTCGAGTAAGCCATGAACCCATAGAAAAGCCGCAAATCAAACTTTTCCTTTCAGTCGGAATTGAATGAAATTCATGAACAAGTGAAATTACTTATTAATGAAAATGCTTCATTACATGAACGACTTGCTCGAACGGGAACAACATCTGGCAATCATGATCATCAACTGTCCGATATGTAAATAGAAATTTGCTTGGTGCAAACTCTTTGATCTGTTCTTCTCGGTGCTCTTTAGTGAACATATCAAACGACAAGCGTATCTTGTCTTGGAAGAAAACAAGGTGTTACAAGAGCAACTTGATCTGCAAACGAATCGTTTGACTGACGTGCAGAAAACGCAAATTCACGAAGGTATTGCTGAATGTGCGATAAAATCTGCGAAATTCCTATGAGAAATTCTAGTTTCGAATCTAACACGACGTTTACTGATTGTGGAAAGTGAAAAAAGCGAAAGTGATCGAGTACTAGAAACAATCCGTCTACGAAACGAGGATCTCAAACGGAAATACGACCAATTAATGCTTGATAATTCTCACCGAATCCACGTTCAAGAGCATGTGCAAGAGATTAGCGAAATGAAAAGATTAACAGGTACTTGATGAGCAAATGCGTTCTTTCATTTTGATTCGAACTCACGTTTGTGGATGTATTTTTAGATGAATTAAGTGAGAAACATGCTCATGAAATGCAATTACTCCTCCGTCGTGTTCAAGTGAGCTTTTCTTGTGATGTATCTACCTACAATGAAATGAATTGTGTAATTTTCCAGGATGCCGAAGCTGCGAAACGAATTTCGCATTTAAAATTAACCGATCAACGTAGTGTTATTGAACGATTGAAAGGTGAAATCAAAATTCTGAAGAAAACAGTTAAAAAACTGCAACTACGTGTGCAAACCTATGAGAAGAAACTCGAATTAGAACAAATCAAAGAACAGCGAATAACAACAATATTGGACAAGACTAATGAGGATCTTGGGCAAACGAAAATCGAACGTGACACTTATTTAGAATTGGTATGTGACCTGTTCTCCTTCTAACATTCTCATTCGATATTTTCAATAGGCCAAAGTGAAAGAAGATGAATTGAATAAAACTCGAGTACGATTAAATGATGAAGGAGACAAGTTAACTCAATTGGAAGAGCGGCTTGAAAATTATAAAAGTAGGACGAAGGAACGCTCAAGTGAAGTTCAAGAACAGTACGCATCTTGGCATAAATAAACAAAAGTCATATATATTTTGTAATTAGATTGAAACAGCAGCACGATAATTTGAAACTACGTTGTTTGGAGCATGAACAGCGCATTCAACAACTCATTAGCCTATTAAATGAAAAGCAAGCGCTCGTCGATGATCTCTACAATGAGAAACGGTTTGATAAATATAGTGTCCTTCGATGTCTATTCTTTGCGCTTGTTTTCAGAAATCTCGAAGTTAATCTTGAAACTATCTGGCAGGCCACAAACGCAGACGGTATGCGAATTCGCGAACAATTAGTTGATATGCGTGTTACAAGTTAGTAGCTCGATGTACATGATAGTTCTGTGATAGGAGAAGTTAATTAAACAGTGATTCTGGTGATCTACACATGTCTTAATACGTGTTTCTTTTTGTTGTCGTTTTGTTTCAATATAGTTGTGATGTATTTCATTCGATTCTATTTTTGTTTTGAAGAAATGCCCGAAAGAAAGAAAAAATGAACTTCTATCTATTTTTCTGTTTGATTTTTGTGCTTGACGAATATTTATTTGAAGAACGCATATACTCTCGTTGGAATATCGTACTGTTTTTCTTTTTTTCTTGCATGAAATGATTTTTTACGAAGAAAAAAAAAGAAGGAAAATAAATGATACAACTCGTCTCTCGTGTTTCGCGTTTGTTCCGAGATTTTAGAGACCGTACACACCGAGACAATCGTAGAAAGGTGATAATTTGCCAAGACGAGCTTGATATTTCAAATACCACAACGGTTTATTGGCACATGGATCTTCTTTTTTCGAACTTTTTTGACGAAATGGAAAGATTCTTGATAAATCGTCATTGTCTCCATCGTNAAGAGAATATTTCCCTTTATTTTCGAATAACATATGGCATATTTTGTTATTATGTATTTCGATGTTTTCTTTTCACTATGTATATGTGTACATTGGTGCACATTTCCAAGGTGAAATAACAGCATAACATCACAACAACACTACGAGTAACGCAAGGTCGACAGTGGTTGCCATCGAATATAAGTAGAAACAACAGAAACAGAAAAAGAAGACGAAGATGAAAAGAAATGAAGGAAAGAAAGAGATGGGCAACACAGGAAGCGGCAAACTATTAACATTTGCCACTCAAATATTCATAATTGGTTATAGTATGTTGAAGAAGTGCATTTATTTTCTTTGGCTTCAAAGTGCACAGCCGTGTTTTTCACGAAGAAATCATATTTTCACGGAAGAAACAATGCTATTCTAATATGTCATCCTACGCACACGTATTTACAGCTTTTCTTTTTTATTAATCATCCATAGAGGACATGACAATACTTGTCATATTAATCAGTAACAGCAGATATGAATACAAGTAATTTGAAGAACCCGAACAATCATGTGCGCAAGGTCAGAAGCAAAAAGTTGTAAATAAATCTGTTTCGTTATCATTTAATTGACGAAAGAGAAGAAGAAAAGAGAGAACATCGACTTGAAATTGCGTCAAATACTCGCGTCACATGTTGATCTTTCTCTCTCAGAGTTGCAATCAAAATAAGAGAAAATAAATTCTATTCTATTTGTCGACATCAACAATAACATATTTCATCGTATAGAAGATTAATAGTAGTAATGTCTAGATAAGTACAGATAGTCGAAGAACCTTTGGCGGAGGAAGGAAGTAGGAAATCATCATTGATGCGACAGAATGAAATTATTTCAATCGAGAAATCATTGGGAGATAAATAATAACAGTCAGACTATGTTATGAATGTCTAGACAAAAGATATGGTTCTTCCTTGGTTAAATCAAAATAGGTCCGATCGAATAAAACAAGAAAAAATAATGACTTACACGGGTGTAATCAAAAGACGTTAGTTGTTGAACTGGCGTTACCAATGAAGTTGATTCTGTGATTAACAGAGTAGGAAGAAGTTGTGGCGTAAGCGCTAAATCGACTGAACTTAACGTATTCGTGTTATTATCTTCGCTAACTGTCTTATCCGAACGTCTCAGCCGTTGTAAGAATGATCTTCGTGGGCGAAGATTCTGGGTTTTACTATTAAAATGTATATCTTCATTTGCACCGGTATGATGGATTTGTTGACAGCTATGAAAGGGCGTCTTTGATCGTATGAGTTCATTTTCATTATCTACATTGATTGTTGGAAATTGTGGACTAGATGGTGATTTACAAAGTTCGATGGTTGATTGACGGAAATCAATCGACGATTTGTGATGTTTCTTGAAGAAGAGATGTAACGACGTTGACAACGATCGATATCGGCGGTGTTTTTTACCACGAAGTGTTATACAGTGTAGACGTTTGAGAACATTCAGAAAGACGTTCGTGTGTACTGGCGATCGAGCGGTCGGTCGGGCAATATTCATTGACGATGATGATGATAGCGACGAGCATCTCGAGGAAATATTTGAATCATGTGCATCGATACCAGCGGTAGATTCACATGAACTCAGATAAAACGTATGATGTTCGGCTTCCTGTGGAACTCCGAGATACTCCATTCGTGCGTCACCGTGTAGGGAAATATCTTTCATAAATTAGCAAATCGACTAAGTTACGTATGCTCGGTAAATGAAAGCAAATCATACTATAACCTTTAACTGTGGTCATCGCGCACTTATGACATAAGATATATAAGAAAGGAAAAAAAAAGAGGAGGCCCACAGCACAAAAATATGGGAAAAAGAAAAGAAAAAAAAAGAGAAATATATGGCGAAGAGAAACTATAGACGAAAAGGGTGAGTGGGAGACGCAAGTTTTTTTCTCTTCAGCTATACGATGAAAAAGCAAAAGAATAGATTTCTGCTGTTCTGCAATAATGACACAGGGCGTTGTTGGGAATGTCTACAATAGTGTCGTCATCTGATGAGAGAACATTTGTTAAGGCTTCTTCAACATTCGTAGGATGACGTCATGTTTCCGTTAATAAGCACAACGACGTTACACTGTACTAGAAATTTCATTCATTCATCATCAAAGCATATGAATGGTTAGAATTTCATTACGTCTTATGACTAATTCATCCATCGCTGCAAACTTATCGATGAATCATCAGTACACTATGCGAGAACTTTCTAGAGTCTGTTATTTCTCGCTCGCAATTAAGTTTAATATACATGATAAATCAAATGGAAGGCAAGAAGAGAGAAGAAGCAGCATCCATAGCAATGTTAGTTAGTAACGCAAAAAAAGGAAATCAGTGATTTCTCATTCTAGTTACCATTTCAGAACTGGTAGTGAACGTAGATTTCTACAATCATATACGATTCCATGCATAAGTAGATAGAGCAAAACAACCGAAAGCAACCATTGGCCTTACCGTTGGTACAATTTCAGGCAGATCATCGTCTGCTAGCAGATTGTCATTTGAACTAACCGTTGTTGCCATAGTCACAGTGGATGAACGATCATTGGCCTGCTAGAATGAAACAAAACAAATTATAAAGAACTAATGATTACTAAGTTTCGAACATGAGTCATTATATTTTGAAATAACATTGGAAGCAACTAGATGAATAACCCCTTATGGTTACTAACACAATCGATCGTTTCGTCAGTGTCGAGTGTGAACAGAGAAACGCGACACGATTCGGTAAATTTGCTTTTCACGAGCGATTTACACAACCAAATTAATTCTTCTTATTAATGTCAATGAATAGTGAAAAACAAGAAAGGAAATGATTATTTCCGATATTAGGCCTATGATTTTTTTTATTATTAATTTTTCTTATTTACATACATAATTATAAAGTTTACATTGACATACATGAATGATTCGAGAGAAAATTATGTCAGCTGTAAACCATAGATTAATAATGGGGAAATCGACGATGATATTTACAATGCTGCGCTCGTGCTTCACAACTATTTAAAACTTTCCGGAAAACATTTAGCGCCGACACAGATTCTCTTGATTTTGTGTTGGCGCTCGAAGAGGACAAAAAGGAAAACAAAACGTCAGAGTGGATCTGTTTAGACTCTCAACATGCACTCAGGATACTATTCAGATCTGTTTTAGCGATAATTCTACAGATAACGAGATGCACCTTTTCACACGTCGAACTACTTAGTTTTACGGGAAAAATGATGCTGGCGTAGAAGATGTCTAATCAGGAATATTACTAAAAGTATATAGATGAATATCCAAAATACGTTCCAAAACGCCAGTATATTTGTCCATCAATCATTCGAGAGAGAGAGCGTTGTGATTGTCACGACTTTCTTGTTATATTTACGCATATTATTTGATCATGTTCCTTAAACATAAATATTATTTGATGGGAATCCAAAACATATTTTTCATCAAGGTTTAACAACAATTCATCCTCGTTCAAACTAAACTTAATTTCGCGTCGAGTATTTGAAGAAAAATACACGTTTTCTATCTATGTCAACACTAGTTCGTTCGAAAGAACATAACACTTGTGAGATAAGTGATTCAAACGACGCTTAAATTGTTCAAGAACGCCAGTGCATGTCAAGATAATAGACATCGATGCATCCGGACTGTAAGAAACTACTTCCGAAGGTACTGCAATGACGGCCAATTCACTATACATAACAATCAGATTACGATGTCAATGCTTTTTGACGTTAAAATCTTTGACAGACAATGGCAGAAGACAAAAATATTTCATACTCTATTTTGACGATAAAAGAATTGTGTTTAAAAATGTAAAAGTTTGATTCTTCTAAAAGTAAGCTTTCTTTAACATAAACAAAGAACTGTAATCAATGTAATTATTTCTACTGATTTATAATTAATACAAGGTTCTCTATTTATATCTAACATTGCAAAGTACAGACTTGAAGTTCTTTTTTGGACTGAGCTTCCTTGTGATCTATTCTCATCGTTCGCACAGAGTCTCGCAAAATATGACTGGCAAATAATAATTAAATCGCATATTTTCCTGTTTAATATATTCAATACGAATATTTTTCTCTCGCAATTACGATAACGATCTTGATAGGAAATATTATCTAAAATCATTTGACATTTCGGTATGTACGTTGCTGTTAGCAATAACTACGCTTGTTGTCTTTTTGAGATTCCTATGGTGCACCTGCTACTAATATCTCCAAGAATCTTTCATTCATGCGGATTTCTTTCGCATTCTAAGTTGGAATCAGTATACGTCTGCTTTGAGTTGAGTAAAAAAAAACTAATTACAAATCGTCTGATGAACATTTAAGACATCTTTCAATTAGTGAAATGAAAGTTTTTTGTTGTCTGCATAAAAAAGACTACAGAGAATAGCTCTATTGTTCATCTTTCTGAATGAATATTCACTTACATTAGGCTTTGAATTAGTTCCTTGACGTGTACCGAGGCCGACATTAGCATGTCCCATTGTTACGTTTGTGAATGCTGCCTCAGATTCCAAAAGAGACACATCATCTTTGTAATTTTGTGCTAAAGGCATGTTGTTATCGACTGTAGGTATCAAACTTTTCAATAGTTGTCTCGGAGCTTGTGGTTTCGATGATATGGGTAATGGACTAACAAGTGTTGACGATACAGTAAACGATTGTTGACAGAGTGTATTCGGCTGAAAAAGCGATATTACATCGATCGTAGATAATGTTTCACAACTACGAGGATTTGACGATTTCTAAACAAAACAAGAAACCAAATAGCATGAATACGATCGGCGATAATCAATTATCTCTGAGTATCTACAACTACATGGAAAGACGAGTGTAATATCCGAAGGTTTTTGTGGACATAATATACAATATAAGAAGCCCATAAACAAAAAATCTTGATATTAAGAGCAAGCAAATGGAAAAAAGAATGTGCTCTGTTGCTATTACTCGCTGGTATCTAGTTTAGCTGCGTCACCCTATTAAAAGCGCACAAGGATGGGGAGAACTAGAAAAAAACCAGAATGCTGAGTGACATTTTTTCGGGGTAAAAAAAAGGAAAGAAGAAAAACACGTCTAAAAGAAAGCAAGAAAAAATCCGTAATTACTATCGACGACTGATCGTTGTTGAGTAGGCGTTATGTGCGCGTGTAGCATATGGAAATACAAGTAGGGCAAGCGTAGAACAAGAGAGAAAAGAAGTGACAAGAAAATTGGCGATTATAAATACCGAAGTTTGACAAAAAAATGTGTAAAATTATTTTGCAGAACAATTAGTGAGCAATCAAGTAGAAAACACCTCACTCTTTCTACATTGGTAGTATGTTCCAACAGGAAAAGATACGCAGATGTTACCAATGAGGACTAGTACTTATTTCTACCGCAAGCTATTCTTCAATTTCCGTGTTCATTGAGGAAAAAAAGGAGAGGGGGAAAAGCATGGTTTTGTTTAGTGAATACGCCTTCGAATAAAGAAAGAATGTGATCGATCAATGGTATAAATAGGCCAATGAAAAAGATAAATTGCGGTGCAGATGAATATGCATCGACCCACGCAATGTCAACAATTTTGGGCTTGATAGAAATTGATTGACAATTGAATGCGTAAGAACGGAAAACTTCAGCTGCCTTTGTATCTCATATTCCTTTTTTTTTCTTCAAATACGATCATTCATTCTTCGTTTGATTCAAAACAATATGCGATAAATACAAGGCTTTGCGAGAACACTTACAAGAATAATAAAACATTCGATGACAGCAGACGATCTTCAATAAATTAGCATAAGTTGTCTGTATGTCGACATCAATGATAAAGATTTAGTACATGCTTACAAGAAGATTTCCCGACTAGACGCGTTTTTTCTTCTATGAAGGAAAAGAAAACAATGTTTCTCAAACTTCGGAAATATACATTCTGTCAAAACAAAGCTCGTTATAATACTCCTGAGAACTATTCGACCGATTTGCTGATAAGAATAGTAGTACATGTTACTATTCGATGATTAATATGCATAAACAGTGTTTGTGCTCACTCAATGACTACTCTCTTTATCTCTCTCAGTTCGCTACAGGCACATGCGTAGAATGGAATTAGAATAGTAAATAAGGTGGAGTAGGGAAATCAGCATATGTTAATGCGTCATTTGTTTTCGAAGTCACAAAATCTATATTTACTTCTTTGTTTCTCTTTTGAGTAGATTGCTTTGATAGAAGTGGCCATGATTCGCATAGTATTTTTTTCATCACTATTCCAATACGTTCAGTATATATACTGCATTGATCAATGATGTAATCATAGCAGTTGATCTTATCATTATCAGCATGTTGAACGTTGTTCGACGACAGGATTCGTTGTGACATTGATATTCGTTGTTTCGTATTGTGAGTGAAATAGAAGAATCGAAAGAAATCATATGGATAGCATGACACTTCGCATCATAGAAAGACAAATACAAAAACAGTAACTAAGTTCAATTCTTTGTCTTTCAGAAGCAGAGCAGCCGGCCAATCTTTTTAATAACATATATCGATGTTTAGATTTAGTAGAAGAATCGTGTGACGTCACCGTCCATCACATACATATATTTACCATACAGAGAAGAATAGAAAAAAGAAGAAGAACAGCAACAAGAGAGATCATTTTAGAATTTATCAACTAAATCCAACAAATATTGTTTATGTGAATCTTCACTATGTCCATTGCTTGCTCCGTCGGTTGTTGTATGATCGACGCCATTACTTTTCTTTGTATTACCCAAATTATTAGCATATTCTAAAGAGAGAAAAAATACTGAACTCCGTTGAACATGCTTTCAGATATTACTTACCGCGTACGATATCTTTGACGGAGTCAATGGAGCTATTCCTCATATTCAGAATTTGTAAAACACGCTGCCGTATTGATGGAATGTTTGATGTTACTGAAGCTATTTCAATAATAATATAATCGATCAATTGTAAAGTGAATAATCCGGCATCTAATCGACGAAGATAAGCTTCGTCTTCATCCTCTTCATCATCATCCTGCTCAGTATTGTTGCTCGCTGCTTTTACACGATTGTAGTACTGAAAATGCAGTTCCATTATTCGATCGACCTAGCACGTGAATTGTCATGCAAATGTTTACTGAAGAAAAATGACAAAAAGCTTGTCTTGTACCTTTTCGTGGTCGCTTTCAGTGAATTTATTGAATACACGTTGTCGATTCTCACCGGTACAATTTCGTACTAACGAAGCCACACAAGAAATGACATGTTCTGATGGGCAAAGAAACGAAATAAAACCAGGAATGATCGATCAAGATTCTTACCTTCATTTTCTGCTCGTGTTTCACCAGATCGTTTGCTTCCTTTCGGCGGTTTGATAAATAATGGAAAAATTGTGCGTAGACCAAGTATATCAACCATCTTTTGACAGTTCTCTTTTCCTTCATCACCTGTCATCGCAAAATCGAGAGTCCTCAATGCGCCATTTCGCGATGCCTTTCGCTCTCTAGGAAACAGAAAATGAATAGACTGAACGTTTGCGAAACAAGATCTCACCTGAGCATCAAATTCATCAGATGTGGACCTTCACCTTTGAGAAACCGCTGTCGATTAGCAGGAAACATTAACGACGAACATAAACAACTGAATAGATTTTCCATATATTCGAATTCTTCACTAGTTTGTGGGTCATGTTTTTTGTAGAACTAAAAGAGAGTTAGTCGAGAGATATAGTCTCCTTACAAACTATTGTAATTTACCGCAAGTAGTTGTAAGAGTATATCGATACCGTCAAGTTCGCCAAGCATTTGTCTATTTTCATCGTGATTTTGCAATAAAATTGACATTAATTCAGAGCAGTACAAAAGAATTGAATTGAATCCAGGTTTGGCCTAAATGCTCATCTAAAGTCTGCTCATATTTTGGGATCATTCTCTCTTTTACCTTTAAACGTTTTAATAGACATATTAATAAGCCTTGTTTACATGCATCAACGCACAACGAAGGACGAAATTCGGTCATATTTTCCACGATTGCTAGAAATAAAACAAATATGATCAGCTTCTCGATCTTTCTTCTTACCTAATGAATTATGAATACCATCGGCTTCCTCTTTCACATTCTCATCTAATCTATCCATATTTTGAACAAGTAATGACACGATTTGTTGTTCGGCCTAAAAGAAATCAAAAAACGAAACTATGTTCATGTTCCTTTTGAAATTACTAACCAAAGCATCAATCAGAAGTGCTGCTTCTTGTTCACTTTCAGTTAATGTATCGACATCTGTTAATTCTTGTACAAGACTAATAACTGCGATACTTATATCTGTATTTTCGTGCGTTAATAAGCTCATCAATAAAGATATGCCGTTCATATTGACGAGAACATGATAGAGTTCCGATTGTGTTGCAATTACATGTAATTCTTGAACTGCGTCGTTCAATTCAATTTCTGAGTCCATAAATCTAACGAAACAAAGAATTCTTCAGGTTCAGAACGATATACTATCGATGAATTTACTTTTCTGGATTATCAGGATACTTAATGCGCATTTCTTGATTTTTTGAAATACGTTTTTCCAGCTGTGAAAGCATTCGCTTCAGAGATGTCTCATCAAGCTCTTCCGCCTAGAAAAGAAGATCATTGAATAGTCATTGGAGTTCACTTTTCGTAATCGTCTTACTGATGACTCTTGTTCGAGCATTTGTAAAAGCTTATCACGTTCATTGTGACTTAGTGAAGCAAAATTCGTGTTATGTATCAATGAAGCGCTAGATGGTGTAGGTACATCGTCTAAGATTGGACGTTTTGCTCGTTTAGGATAACCTGCAGCCAAAGGTGTAGTCGAATCGGTTGTTCGTTTGCTTCCCAACACATTAGCAGCTGCAACTGCTGGTTTTTCTGGCTAAAAAGTTAGAAAATCATGTGTGAGATGATAAAAGACGATAAATCATACCTGATAATTTAAAAGCTCATCAACGTTCATGATAATTTGCTTTCTTTTTTTGAACAAAACTTAATCAATGAAGTTACAAAAGAAAAACGTCGTTGAAATCTCCAGCGACAAATGATTGGACAACAGAATAAACCTGTTAAACATCTCAACGTCCTTCTTCGATTGGTTAATGTTTGAAACCAATCGCTCGTCATACTAAATGTAAGTAAGTAAGCAATTCAATGCAATAATATTGTTTCTATCTCGAATATTTGGATCAAAATTATCGCATTGAACATTTCTAGATGACAACACCAACGCGTCCTTTAGCATCTGAAGAAATTTACGGTGAGAAATGGAATCGATGCGTCACAGACACAATCGTTAAAACAGGTAAGAAAATATCCATGACCAAATCATTCATTCGTTCGTCTAATTCTAGCGTCCGGTCTTGCTTTGGGTATCGTCTTTTCTGCAGTTCTCTTCCGACGTTCGTACTCATTGTAGCACCTTAAATATCTTACGTTCTCGTTCTCTAAAACTTAGGTCGCCCGTGGCCTGTTTTCTTGGGTACTGGTATTGGTCTCGGAATGGGATATGGAAACTGTCAAAACGAATTCCGTTCACCTTATGTTCCTGGGCAAGTATCGAAACTAGCGACACTTCGTGGACACCTATCACCTGTAAGCCGAACTTGTTAGTAGTTAATTATACTTGCTAGTCTTTTTTGTAGAAACCATCCAGTAATTAATGATCTTTGAACTGGTTATAATTGAACAACAATACATTGACTGTGTTCCTTTGTATCCATGAAATCATCGGTACCCATTTATCTTCTAGAAACATTCATTTTTTGCTAATGCTTTCCCAACTCATTGAATAAAATAGATAAAATTTACTATCAAACTTTCTTCTTTAACGATTTCCCTATACAACAATCACAGATATCAGAAGAATCCTCGCAACTCTGAGTCGAGGATACTTATCTCAGAAGCCGAGAACCAATCACTTTATCTAAGGCATAGATAACAAAAAGTTAATACGCATATTCATCACATAGATTAGTGAAAGTTTTCTCTTGTTCATTGTTGTCACCACGAGATTAGCAGTGTGTACAATCAAGAGGCATGTACTGTAGCATAATGAAGGCTAATCGTATTCTGTCTGTCATTTGTAAAATCAGTAATGATGAGAGAATGTTTACCCTATTCATTTCTTCGCATGTATGTTCTTTTATTGATATGATTATTGTTTAGTAACGGTAGAAAGGAAGACAGACAGACAAAAAGAAAAGGGGAGGTGAGTCTCATTTGAATATATTGCTGTTCAAAAGCGTGATCGACAGCGACGACAAAACACAATTGAAAATGCAAACGAGACGAAGGTAAAAATGAAGATTATGTCGTACATAAATGCAAAGCAACCAAATAGGAGGGAAAGGAGATTGAAACACGATTGTGTCATTGAACAGTCTATACAATGGTAAACATGGCTATAAGCTGAAAACACCGGGGTAAGTCGTTAGAAACTTCAAGAAATGATCTCTCTGAATCGTATTTTACTCTGTCTAACAAGAGAAAGGTCAGAAAAACAGAGGAGAAGAAGAAGAATATCAATCGTAATATGAGATATCAATGAATTTTCTTCTGTAACAGAATGGATATCATAGATATATATATTCTTTGTTTAATCCAAAGACATAAGTGATCGATCAAATGAATTTATGTTATAGATGTACATGTTGTCTGATATGATGAATAACATCTCGAGCTTATGTCATATTGTTATTAGATGATATTAAATAAATCTTTCATTTATTTGCTCTTTGCTGATCTGTCTAATCAAACCTTGAGAAACGACGATGATTCGTCTTGATCAGTCTTTAGGAGACTGTCTCAAGATGAGATAAATGTTCGAGTAACGAAATGTATGACATGACGCAAGGTCGAGATTTTGCTTATACTGCGTATGACGACCCTGGCATGCACACGCGATTAAATGTCATCATGAGAAATTGTTTTCAACAAAATTCCAACCTTTCAAATCATACCGAACATAACTCATAAAAATTCTCCAATGACAAAATTGAAAAACAGAATTTTTTCTAGACGTTATTACTCAGTTCTTGCAAGAAGATCTGATAATCTGATCGTTTGTATATCGTAGCCCGGGTAGCTCAGTCGGTAGAGCGTGTGGCTTTTAACCACAATGTCCAGGGTTCGAGCCCCTGCTCGGGCGTTACATTTAATTTTTTTTTCCTTTGTCGCTGATCAGCAGATCTAAAGTAACTACGCACGAGAGCAAGCAGATGATCGTCTCATCTGCAAGTAATTTGCGTCGAATAAACGAAACGAAAGAAAAAGAGAAAAAAGAAAAGTTATCGACGCCTGTCGTCATCTTCGTCTTTCCTCTTCTCCCTCTCTCTCTCTCTCTCTCTC